ATTAACTGTCAAACCAATGACTGATACCAACTATTTAAAGTAAAATTCGACCAAACTAAATTTAAGGTATAAAATTCATATTTTTTATAGAATTTTTGAAAAATAGATAAAATAGCATAAAGACCTCATGTCATAAGACCTTTTGTCGCACTAGTCCAAATTGTCTGCGTGCGACAAAATGACGTCTTATGACATTAGTTCTTTAATATACTATAATAAAATAATAAAATAATTTCCACATTTAGTATTATTGCACAAGAAAAGCGCACAATGACACAAAATGATATTTGACAACTGTCACCCAACTTAAAGCTAACTTCAGCCCGTGACTAAAAAGTCACAGCTTGTCAATCTGGAAGTGAATAGAAATTTTGCGATACAATGTATGTAATATGGTGAAATATGTAGACAAAACAGATTTTGTTGGCAAACGCATAAATAAATTTAATAAACTGAATAAAACCACTAAATATCTTAATTTTATGCGTTAATTTTTGGTGTTATTTACCACAAACATCTGCATTACACCGCTTTTAAGTTTGAGAGCGTCTAATGACAATACAAATGTGAATAAAAATAAATTCTACGTTTACCCGACTATTTTTAAATCGCGTTAATAATTTATGTAATAATTTTGTGTTAGGCGGCTGGGTGTTTGACACTTAGGTACCCAATTAGGGCGACGTATAATTTCTAGGTTAGGAATTTAATTATTGTCTTTAAAAGCGATTAGTGGGCAATTTGAGGAAACGATTGAATTATTAACCACTAATAGAGCTGTCATTAGTTGAAGGGCGATTAATAAATAATAAAATACACTAGTAGGGGTACGAAGTGAGCATGCCACTACTTACCTAATGCTAAAACCGGTGCAGCGTATTTCCTAAAATTTCTGTATAAAAACTCAACACACTCACTGAAACAATTCCGTCGAGCTCTGCGTGAACAATTTTGGCGGTTTTCCGTGCAAATGAACGCTTATTAGACGAGTTATTTAAAGAGTTTTAGGAAAAAATCAATAGAATGTAATTCTGACAGGAGGCTTTGAATTTTGGGCTGGACGAGGGCGGCTGAACGGCGCGACGCGTCTGACATCTGCGGGATTAGTCGCGAGTTGCGGGGCGAGATTGTTACAGGAAACGTCGCGACGTGTGGGGAGGGGGAAGGAGACTGTGACGCGGCGCGGTTGCGTAATGGCGCGTCATGGAGTTCCGTCGCGACGCTGTGCGGTGATACATGGCGCACGGTGGGGTAAAATTGAATTTTAAAACCAATATTTGACAAACTTTTTAAAATTTTCTTAATTTTTGATTGTTATATTTGCAAATATTTTAAAATTGTCTAAATAGGTATGCAATATTTTTAAAATTTTTAATATTTGCAATTTTTTTCAAAATTTCAAAACTCCCTAAAATTGCGAAAAATTTAAAATTTCCCATAGGCATTTAAAATATATTTTATGTTTTTTTAAATTTTCAAAATTTTTACAATAACTAAAATATTCAAAAGTTAATTTTCCAAAACATATTTTTTAAAATTTCCAACAATTTTAATATTTTTAAAATCCTTAAAATTGACACAAATTTTAAACCATATGCCATATTCCCACAAATTTTAAAATTTTCACATTTAAAAAAAATTTAAGTACTTAATTTGCAAACTTTCCTTAAAACTTCCAATATTTGCAATATTTATTTTCCAAATATTTTAAAATTTACAATATGTATTTCCAAAAACTTTAAAATTGTCAAAATGTACAATATTTTTAAAATTTTCAATATTTGCAATATTTTCAAAATTTACAAAATTTTTTAAATTTCACATTTTAAATCCAAATTTTTACAATTTTTTTAAAATTTTTGATTACTTTGCAAATATTTTAAAATTTACAATATGTATTTCCAAAAATTTTAAAATTGTCTAAATAAGTATCCAATATTTTTAAGATTTTCAATATTTGCAATTTTTTTCAAAATTTCAAAACTCCTTAAAATTGCGAAAAATTTAAAATTTCCCATAGGTATTTAAAATATATTTTATATTTTTTAAAATTTTCAAAATTTTTACAATAACTAAAATATTCAAAAGTTAATTTTCCAAAACATATTTTTTTAAATTTCCAACAATTTCAATATTTTAAAAATTTTCAATTTTTGCAAAATTTTCAAAATCCTTAAAATTGACACAAGTTTTAAACCATATGCCATATTCCCACAAATTTTAAAATTTTCACATTTTAAAACCAAAATTTGACAAATTTTTTAAAATTTTCAAAATTTTTAATTATTTAATTTGCAAAGTTTCCGTTGCAATATTTATTTTACAAATATTTTAAAATTTACAATATGCATATTGTTCTATCTATATATAATTGGGGTAGAAATTGTACAGTTTAAGCCTTAAACTTTACAATTTCTACCCCAATTATATATAGATAGATCAATCATCTTTAAGACTTAAAACAAGACTAACCTGAATAAAAAAAAGAAAATGCAGATAGAACACTATAATTCTCAGGTGACGAATTTTAAAATTTCTGGAAATACATTTAAAATTTCTGGAAATACATGTATTTCCAGAAATTTTAAAATTCGTCACCTGAGAATTATAGTGTTCTATCTGCATTTTCTTTTTTTTATTCAGGTTAGTCTTGTTTTAAGTCTTAAAGATGATTGATCTATCTATATATAATTGGGGTAGAAATTGTAAAGTTTAAGGCTTAAACTGTACAATTTCTACCCCAATTATATATAGATAGAACAATCATCTTTAAGACTTAAAACAAGACTAACCTGAATAAAAAAAAGAAAATGCAGATAGAACACTATAATTCTCAGGTGACGAATTGTCTAAACATCCAATATTTTTAAAATTTCCAATACATTTTCTTTTTAATTTCCGACAATTTCAATATTTTTAAAATTTTCAATATTTGCAAAATTTTCAAAATCCTTAAAATTGACAAATATTTTAAAACCATATGCCATATTCCCAAAAATTTTAAAATTTTTACATTTTAAAACCAAAATTTGACAAATTTTTTAAAATTTTTAATTACCAAATTTGCAAAGTAACCTATTTGCAATATTTATTTTCCAAATATTTTAAAATTTACAATATGTATTTCCAAAAATTTTAACATTGCCAAAATGTCCAATATTGTTAAAATTTTCAATATTTTCAAAATTTCCAAACTCCAAAAATTTTAAATTTGCAATATTTAAAATATATTTCCAAAATTGTTACAAATAAAATATTGAAAAGTTTTTAAATTTAAAATATATCCTATATTTGCAATATTTTAAAACTTCCAATACATATTTTTAACCTAAAACTTCCAATATGTATTTCCAAAAATTTTAAAATGTTCAACATTGTTAAAATTTTCAATATTTTCAAAATTTCCAAATATTTTAAAATTTACAATATGTATTTTCAAAAATTTTAACATTATCAAAATGTCCAATATTGTTAAAATTTTCAAAATTTTAAATTTGCAATATTAAAAATTTATTTAAAAATTTTTTACAATAACTAAAATTTTCAAAAGTTTTTAAATTTAAAAACCCATATTTGCAATATTTTCAAAATTCCTAAAATTTACAGCATTTGCAATTTTTCTAAATATTTTAAAATTTCCAATACATACGAATATTTATAAAAATTATCAATATTTTTAAAATATTCAATATTTGCAAAATTTTCAAAATCTTTAAAATTGATAAAAAAATTAAAATCATATGCCATATTTCCACAAATTTTAAAATTTTCACATTTACTAAAATCCTTAAAATTGTCCAAATGTCAAAAAATTTAAAAAAATTTAAGTTTTAAAAATAGTTATCCCATATTTGCAATATTTTTAAAATTTCCAATACATATTTGCAATTTTTACAAATATTTAAAAAGTTACAATATATTCAAAACTTTTAAAATTTCCAAAATTCTTAATGTCAAAATTTTCAAAATCCTTAAAATTAACAATAATTTTTAAGCCATATGCCCACAAATTTTAATAATTTCACAATAATTGTAATTATCACTAAAATCCTTAAAATTGTCAAAATGTCAAAAAATTTCAAAAAATTTAAATCTTAAAAATATACCATATTTGCAATAATTTTAAAACTCCTAAAATTTACAAATGCAAATTTTAGCCAATGTGAATTTTATTGAATAAGAATTTTATTCAGTGGAAGTTTTATCCAATGAGGATTTAATCCAATGATAATTTTATCTAGTGGAAATTGGATCCAATGGTAATTTTATTAAATGAATATGCAAAAGCGAAATTATTTTTTTTCTATTGATAAAACCATAGCGAACAAAATAAAAAACGTTTAAATTTGTTAATCTTAACAATGTTATAATAAAATAAACTGTCAAAAAGTAGATTTGACAACCTCATCATTTATAGTACTTTGGACCAATCAAAAAATTCTACTTCTGTCATTCTGTATTATTATATTATATTATTATTATACAGTACTACTAAGCAAACTCTAAAAAAGCTAAGGAATTACTTTTTTATAGATAAAAACACCAGTCTAAAAAACAACAAAATGTAATTAAATGGTTGAATTTATAAAATCGCAAGATACCTTTTTTGTAGAGCAATAAAATGTCTATAAGAAATTCTTATTAAGAATATACATTAAAATTGCTTTATATTTATATACAAGTAGGTTAAATTTTTTTTTATGGAATTTAAACTTTTATGGGGGTGATTTTTGTTTTATAAAAATATGCAATCAATTTAAAGTATTCCTTTATAAATCAATATTAAAAATTCGGCAAAATCTTCGGCATTTCAATGAAAATCACCCCCCCCCTCAACAGAGAAAAAATTCCAACAAGCTATGATCTTTATAGTTTCATTTTACTATTATATTTTACCACCCCCCCAGCAATATTTTTATCAACATTTAATGCATTTTTTTAATCTTTACATCTTATTATCAGAATAACAATAACTTTATTTTAAAAATTAAAACTATATGTCACTACTAAAATATGTTTATTGTACAAAAAATAAATGCAACAAAATTAATAAATACAACAGTTTTTTGTAAATATTAAATAAAAAGTTATGCATCTGGTTTAGCCGATATTCTATCGGCGGCATAATTTGCTAAATTTACCACGTTCGACCCCCCCGTACCGCTCGAGTTTGAATTTGTGGAACTGTATACATTACCTGCAACAATAATTTGTTTTAGTCATTTTCATATAACTATCAATGTAATTTCTAAAACAACATATACTTTAATATACTACCAGTATACAGATTCATTATCCAAAAATAAGAAGAAAAAGTCATATAAACGTGGGTCCGAAAATGCTTAGTTTTTAAGATACAGGGTGTTAAATATTTTTATTAAAAACGGCTTTTTTAAAATATCTTAAATATCCTTTGGCAGATTCTGTTGAAATTTGGCAACGTTATTTATAGTAATAAGTAGCTAATTTTTCTTTAACTACTATAAAACTTTCAAGTCCAGTGGCGTCCCGGGGGGCACCTTAAGAAATATTATTAAGAAAAAAATGTGCGCCACTGAATTTTTTGAAAGTTTTATAATTTTTTTAGATTAAGCCACTAAAAATACAACTTTTTTGTCTCTTGAGTATTTTTTGTATCTTATCTCGTTTTCGAAAGAAAAAATAAAAACCACATTATTACATGAAAATTAACAAAACTCATATTTTATACTTTTTGCCATGTTTGATCTTTTAAAAAATGATTCCAACTAAACTGGAAAATTTTAACGTAGTCAAAGAAAAATTAGCTACTTACTATAAATAACTTTGAAAAATTTCAACAGAATCGGCCAAAAGATATTTAAGATATTTTAAAAAGCCGTTTTTAAAAAAAATATTTTACACCCTCTATCTTAAAAACTAAGCATTTTCGGACCCACATTTATATGACTTTTTTTTCTTATTTTTGGATGATGTATCTCCAACCGAGCGTTGGCGCATGTTTTTTGAAACACCCTGTATATGGGGTATACAAGTATAAAAGAAAAATACCATAATGGTCGGATACAATTTTTGATCATATCTCGTTAACTTTTCAAGGGGGAAAATCACTATATTTTGATATACATATTTGCAAAATATGTTTTCTGGTCATTTTTAAGAAAAACGCAATTTTTTATATTTTTTTAACATTTTTGTTCGGGCTACTTACACAAATTTATTTTGCCATTTTATTATATTTAGTTTAAAATTGTGTATTTTTTTTCAAATTAAACCAAATATCCCTAGATAATATCGTGTTCTTAATCCAGTGTTGCCGCATCTTCTAAACGAGAATGACAGATTAAAAAACTCGACAACGCTGTAAGCTTTGTTCTTACTCCAAAATTTTAACTATTAATAGTTAAAATTTTGTAGTAATAACAAAATAAATTTATTTTTAAAATGCCATTAGAACATTGTGTTTAATCATTTTATATAATACCGCATTGAAAAATTTAAATAAAGAAAATATAATTCAATTTTTAAACCTAGCTAAATAACTCAAAAACTTTCCGGACACCCTGTATTTAAGATATTTTTTTCAATATAATACATCCTATATAGAATATATATCTCAATAATACAGCGGTTGCGGACCTAAGTTGAGGAACTTTTTCCTTAGAAACATCCAATTAAAAAACACCCTGTATATTATATGGACAACATGAACACTTTGAAACCTTTTTTTTTTGTTACTTTTACGTAGTTTGGAGATGGAGATTGTTTAACCAGACCAAACGTAAGTTATGCGTCCTTTTTTTAAATACGAATTTTGAGATAAAAAAATTTTAATACAAAACAAATTTCTTTACAATTGACATCACAGACATGTGTGGTGACACATGTCTGTGATTGGCACCGACATCACCCATAATAGTAAACAACAATAAATTTTTGTTTTAGTTTTATATGCTGGGTATAAAATAAAAAAAATCAGATCCTCAGTCAAATAAATTAAATAATGGAAATAACTTTTTAATGGAAATTTCCAAAATTTGTCGGTAGTTATTACTAAAAAGAATAACTTCATAATTTTAATTTTTTAATCCGATAAAATATATTTTAAAATTATATACAGAAATAGAAAAAAATAGAAATGGGTTAATATTAAAATAGAAACAAATATAAAAATGTTTGAGATGATTGCTCAATTTTATTAAATTGTGCAAATTCTATATCTATAAATTAAAAAGACATTAAAAATATTAAATACCGTTGAATTTTTTTATTAATTTTTATTCATACATTCTAATTTTTATTAGATACAAATCCACAGTACTTTTTGTATTATTTTAAATTCCCCATTACGAAGACATATTCACTCACAAGCTGTAAAAATTAATATTATTAATAGTTAATATACAATTAATAATTAGGTTTTTCCTCGAAATAAAATTGTAATTAGAAAAGCAATTTTTAAGGGTGATTATAGTCCAGTCATTTATGGCATCTGCTGGAAAATTAAAACGGGATGTCTTTTTTTATATTTATCGTTTAAAAACGATTTGCGTTTTATACTGGGTGTTTTTAAACATGCAGTCCGGTTTGACCGCAAGTGGCATTTAGTTCAAAATATTTTAGAAAAATAGACTTAATTGGATTATAAACGCTTTTAAAATTTCAAAAAATATCTTTTTTCCTTTTCCAGAAACTTATATTGGACCACGAATGTAAAACACCCTGTTAATATGCAATTAGCGTAGCATAGTAAAGCATATTAGGCTTCAGTATTTGTGACACAAATTTGGAAGAATTTTTTTTCAAACAATGAATCTTTGGGGCAAAATACTCGAATATACCCCTTAATTTTTTACATTTTTAATAAATAATCGGTGTGAAATTAAAAAGCTGTTTTTTTATAAAGGGTGAAAAAATTCAGAACGGTCTTCAACTATTAAGAATTAAAAAAGTTTTTATAAACATGTGTCTTGAAAATGAACCGACTAATTATATGACAATTGACATTAATTTTTTAAATTTTATCTTTTCACAGAAATTAAATGAAAAAATGTTAATAACTTCACACACAACCTTATGGCATGCCATTTTAGCATTTATTAGATAAAAGTTTAAAGATTAAACTTTAACACTTAAATTATGTTTCACAGAAATTTAGAAAGTCATATTTTTTTAAACTCAAAACAATTGATAGTCAAAAAATATTTGAAATATAAAATGCAACAGAAAAAATTTATGTTTAAAAATATTGATTTTTAAAAGTTTTGGTTGTAATATTTTATTCTACAAAATTATTGGTTAAGTCATTTAAATTATAGTTGATAAATTTTTAATAGAAAAATTCTCACATTACATTAAATGTAAGTTTTAAATTTTAAAGTACCTAGTAATTTTTGGATTAAAAATTTATCATTTAAATGACAAATTTAAACCAAATTTTTTTATTTTTAACAATTTTAAAGTGATATATTTTTAAGACAAAATTTATAACTTTACATTCAAATGTAAGTCGATAATTTTTAAATTACAAAGTGTAAACGTAGCTTTAGTAGAAGGCACAAGAGTCTGGGATCGGAGCCACGATGCAGCCAGTTTGATCCGTTGATGTTTTTTAATTGTCGAATTAACTTAGTACAATATGCACTAAAAATGTTTTGTTCTATTATTAAATTTATGTAATAAAGAAACATTTCATTACGATAATTTGTAAAACGCGTCAAATATTTATGGAGCAAGCACGATTTGGCAACACTGCTGATCAAACTGGCTGCATCGTGGCACCGATCTTGTGCCTTCTACTAAAGCTACGTTAACACTTTGTAATTTAAAAATTATCGACTTACATTTAAATGTAAAGTTATAAATTTTGTCTTAAAAATGTATCAATTTAAAATTGTTAAAAATAAAAGTTATTGGTTTAAATTTGTAATGAGTCATTTAAATGATAGTCGATAAATTTTTAATGCAAAAATTACCACTTTAAACATTTAAATGTAATGTTCAAATTTTTGTATTGAAAATTAATCGACTATCATTTAAATGACTCATTACAAATTTAAACCAATAATTTTGAAGAATAAAATATTAAAATTCCATTTTTTTTAACAATACATATTTTTAAACTTAAACTTTTACAGTTGCATTTTATATTTAAAATATTTTTTGATTAAAAATAGTTTTGAATTTACAAAAGTATTACTTTTTAAACTATTTTGGTAGAAAATGTTTTATATGTGTTTTTATTTTAAATAGCTTGATACTATTTTTAAATAATAAAAAATTAACTTTACCAAATTAATCTTAATAATTTTATAAAATATTTATTTAAGTTAACAAAATGCCACCCAAATAAATTATACTTGGGAAATTATATTTATTAAAAAATGATAGTGAACTGTTGGTTAGTAAATTTTGTCTTTCAATACATAGTTGAAAATATTATAAATTTATAAATGTAAACCTAAAATTTTTAGTTAAGAAAATTTTAAACCAATAACATTTTAAATTAAAAAAATATTTAATAAATGTTAAAACGGCGTGCCATACAACCTGTATTCTAAAATTTTCCAAAGGACTAAAATGACTGAACTAGATTTGTTAAAGGGGAAATAAAACAAAAACGCCCAAACAGATTTGGTAATAATCATTTATTAACAAATATTGAATATTTTTACAAATAACATACCAATATTCAAAATTATCGCGATCATCTTGAAACTTAAAAAATGCTATAAAATCTCTTTATTAAGGTATGACTACTATTCGTGGTATATACAAAAAAAAACAGAAAAAACGACCGGACTTCCACACTATTTCCCCGATAATGACACTAGTTTTCGTGTGAAAATGCAAAATTTAAGGTAAAACTCGATTTCGAGATTAGACTTTTTAGGAATTTGAGTGGTTAGTGCTTACTTTTCAGCAGCTTTTCCGACTGTTCGTCGAACTCTCTGTCGGAGATGTTCAGCATCAGGCTGTTGCCGTTGAGGTAGACTTTGTTTTGGGAGTTGGCGATCTGAAACAACGAAAAAAACAATGAAACTATGACATTCTAAATTGTGGTGTTGACATTCTTCAGTAAGTTCGAGCTTGCGTGTATGACATCTGTCATAGCCCATTTTAGACCTGTCACCTAATTACAGATGTCAAAAATGACATATGTATAAAACAAGGTCTTTACAAATATTTATTAAATACGTAGAATGAAAATAAAGACTTTTAAGCATGAATTATAGATTTCCTTCCTTCCTCCCGTAGAAGATGAACAATACGAAACCCAATAAACATTTTTGACGTAATTGTCACCATTAACATTTCCCGTGTAAGAATTTTTAATACTTTGTGATAATATTTTGCAATTATAGTAATAAAAAAAATCAAAGGATAAAATATTTTTTCAACAAAATCATATTTTAAAGTTATGTTAATATTTTAAAGTATTAATAATTGTTAAGCTTAATTAAAATTAATAACGGGCAATGATAATGGTGACAATTACGTCAAAAATGTTTATTTAAATCGTAGTGCCATTTATAAATTCCAGTACCGTAAGGACGGCATTCCTTCCTCCCGTAAAAATTTTTAAGTTTTAGCTTTCACAGTAAAGGTCTTTGACATGACCAATCACAGTGCTTGTTATGGACATGCGCTGTAGGGTGACAGCGCGTAGGCACAAAATATTTAAAATACATGATTGCTTAGTATTATTTAAGATAGGTGTTCAGTTTATTAAATAATTTGTGTCTCTAAATAGGATTTTTAGATATTGTACAATGTCTTTCATTTTTAGAAACGTTGCTTTGTAAAACCCCCTAGTTTCCCGGTCTTGGTAAAGTGGGCTAGTCTTCCAACGTCTTGTTCGATGTTTTTTTTAATTATTATAATGTATAATACAACAAGCTGCCTGGGCAATTAAAATTGTGATCACTTTGACTTTTTACAAGACGCACAAATCGTACGGGCACGACTAAGGGAGGAAGGAAGGAAGGCAATCTATAATGCAGGCTTTAATTGAAGGCAGTAGTAGCGCAATCTATTAAGAAAATTATATAGGTACTTTTTTTATAAATGTTAGATAGATCACCTTTGAAAAAAAAACAGTTTTATAAATATCATTGCTTATAAATATCGTGATATATATCGGTCGAACCCTGGTATAAAATGACAGATGTCAAATATAACAGATGTTAAGTAGTAGCGCCATCTATTAAGAAAATTATATACTTTTTTTTATAAATGTTAGATAGATTACCTTTAAAAAAACGGTTCTATAAATATCGTGATAAATATCATATATGGGGCAAAATTTGCCAAGTGTACCAGGTGAAAAAATTTTTGTCACCGATTTTGTTTAAACTTTACTTATTTGTTGTTCTTATAACGAAGAATCATAGCATAAAATTTTTTTGCTCTAGGATTGTTCATTCAAGAGTTATGGATTATTGAAATTTATATTTGGTGAAATCGCTTTTTATTTAAAAATTCATAACTTCTGTTCATCTCTTTATTAAATATTTTAATTTAACCACCTTAAATGATTTTTTCCGTACTTTTCAATGGGCTATACCGTTTTTGCAACAAAAAATAATTTGCAATTTTTTTTTGAAATTTTGCAATATTTTGCATTTTTTTAAACAATGTGTATTTTTTAATTTTTTTTAAAATAGCATAAAATCGAAGTTTATTATGTTACCTTTGAATAAAAAAAAAATTAGAGTGGGCCCGACATGTAGAAGTGAAGTTTTTCATATTTGAATGCGTGCGGGTCTAGCCATCGAATAGCTACTACACTGCCGTATGCGTTTATACTCAGTAGATGCGAGTAAACGAATACAAAATGATAATTTAAAATGTAAAATTATGTTTGAGTAGTCAATAATATATTTTAAATATTTACACTGCCGCACGATATAGTTTTTTAACTGTATTTTTTTGCACAAATTGTTTAAGCATGGGTATACATAGATTTCGCAAGGAGGATCGATGATATTAAATAAAAAATTTATTGTTATAACCTTAACGGCTTGCCTATAAGCTGGATAGGTCAATGGCGTTAATAATATATAATGTCTATAAACGGTTTTTGCTGTCATGACGAGCTCTAAACATTCGCCGTACGGACATTACTTACTTTTTAAACCGTAACGGTCAGTCAGAATATTTGTGTTGCAAATCGGCAGATTAAAATATGATTTTTTTAATTTAATTAATTACAGATTAAAATACGATTTGTAGATTTCGTAATTCTGAGGATTTTTGGCGGATATTACTAAAATAATTTTTATTTTTATTTTTGTGGCTAAAGTAAAATACAGAAAGAATACAGTGTTGGTGTTGTTTTTCTTCAATTTTTCGCCCTACCATACTAATTTTACATTTTAAATTATCATTTTGTATTCGTTTACTCGCATCTAGCTATTTAGCTATTCGATGGCTAGACCCGCACGCATTCAAATATGAAAAACTTCCCTTCTACATGTCGGGCCCACTCTAATTTTTTTTTTTATTCAAAAGTAACATAATAAACTTCGATTTTATGCTATTTAAAAAAAAATTAAAAAATACACATTGTTTAAAAAAATGCAAAATATTGCAAAATTTCAAAAAAAAATTGCAAATTTTTTTTTGTTGCAAAAACGGTATAGCCCATTGAAAATTACGGAAAAAATCATTTAAGGTGGTAAAATTAAAATATTTTATAAAGAGATGAACAGAAGTTATGAATTTTTAAATAAAAAGAGATTTCACCAAAAAGTAATAAATCGATGAATTTCAATAATCCATAACTCTTAAATGAACAATCCTAGAGCAAAAAAATTTTATGCCATGATTCTTCGTTATAAGAACAACAAATAAGTAAAGTTTAAACAAAATCGGTAACATAAATTTTTTCACCTGGTACACTTAGCAAATTTTGCCCCATATATCGGTCGAACCCTGGTATAAAATGACAGATGTTAAAAATGATGTGTTTTGAGATTTTTAAGTAAGTTAAAACTTAACAATAATTATGCCTAGAGATTCTTAATATTCTCAAAAAAGTTTTTATTATTTAAAAAAATGTCTTTGAGAATTTCTAAATTGTTCTTAAGTATATCCTGACATTGCTATGATATTTTCAAGCATTTTTACATTTTAAGATGCACTTTTATGATTATCATGGCTTTAAAATTCTAAAATGTTCTTTATTCTATTTTTTTTTTACAATAAAATGACAGATGTGAAAGATAAAAGATGTTAAAATGATGTGTTTTGAGATTTTTAAGTAAGTTAAAACTTCTTAAATATGTTTTTAACAATAATTATGCCTAAAGATTCTTAATATTCTCAAAAAAGTTTTTATTATTTAAAAAAATGACTGAGAATTTCTAAATTGTTCTTAAGTATATCCTGACATTGCTATGACATTTTCAAGTATTTTTTACATTCTAAGATGCACTTTTATGATTATCATGGCTTTAAAATTCTAAAATGTTGTTTATTCTTTTTTTACAATAAAATGACAGATGTCAAAGATAACAGATGTTAAAAATGATGTGTTTTGAGATTTTTAAGTAAGTTAAAACTTGTTAAATATGTTTTTAAAAATAATTATGCCTAGAGATTCTTAATATTCTCAAAAGAGTTTTTATTATTTAAAAAAATGACTTTGAGAATTTCTAAATTGGTCTTAAGTATATCCTGACATTGCTATGACATTTTCAAGTATTTTTTACATTCTAAGATGCACTTTTATGATTATCATGGCTTTAAAATTCTAAAATGTTGTTTATTCTTTTTTTTACAATAAAATGACAGATGTCAAAGATAACAGATGTTAAAAATGATGTGTTTTGAGATTTTTAAGTAAGTTAAAACTTCTTAAATTTGTTTTTAACAATAATTACGCCTAGAGATTCTTAATATTCTCAAAAAATTTTTTTATTATTTAAAAAAATGACTGAGAATTTCTAAATTGTTCTTAAGTATATCCTGACATTGCTATGACATTTTCAAATATTTTTTACATTCTAAGATGCACTTTTATTATCATAAAATAGTTTCAATTAGATAAAAAATATCATATAAGAATTTTTATTCTGCGAATTAAAAATATCACAGTAGATATTTAAAAATTAAATTTAATTTAATTCGTTAAATTAAAAATATCATAGGAGAAATTTTTAAATGCATGAAATATATCAAAAGAGATATTTTTAATTGATTGTGATATTTTTTATTTAAATTGAAAGTTTGGACACCCCTGGTATTCCAAACTAACTCTGTCGCTAGATGGCGGCACAATCACTTATCACAAACTAAATTTAATTTTAAAATATCTGCTATTATATTATTAATTCGCAGAATAAAAATTCTTATGTGATAATTTGTATGTAATTAAATATATCACTCTAGGGTTAATGAAATTTTTTAAATAAATTTTAAAATTATTAATTAAGTTTGAAGTGTCATTCTAATATTTAAGGAGCTACTCTGCAAAACTAATTAACTTAATTAATTTAAAAAAAAATGTACATTCAGTTTTTTTCGAATGTATTTTGACCTGCTAAACTCGAAAATAACAATACAATTTTTTATGCCAAGGTTTTTGAGATATATTTTTTGAATTTTTTTGAATTTGTTTTTTAAAGGTGGCTTTAAAATTTGGGTCATTGTGTTTTAAAGATTCTTAAAAGATTTATTTGAGATTATTTAGAAACAGCAGATAAAAAAATTAAACTTACCGTTCTGGAAATATTTTGGGCAGCCCTGATCTTCCTCAGCTTCAAGTAACCGGGATTCCTACCGATAGCTTCACCTAAGTAATCATTGGTTAAGAAAATAAACACAGAAAAATAACAGTGGCACATCTAAATAAGCACAAGAAATAAGAAATAGAAAAAAATTAAGCTCTACGTATTTTTTTTAGTAAAATCTAGACATTTCTATAGTTTAGTTTTTTACTATATTACTCACTCGCTTCTTTAAAGTAATTTACGGTTAAGGAAAGTATAAATCAAAAACAATAAATTTTTAAAAATCTGAAAAAAAAATTCTCAAACTCTTTAGAAAAAGGATATCATTTTGGCAGCTTCAGCTTCACCCTCGGCTTGCACGATTTTCGATTGTTTTTCTTGTATGGCTCTTTCAACTACAAAAGCAGCTCTTTGAGCTTCTTGCTGAGCAACCTGTTTAGCTTCCACTGCAGCTGTGTATTCTTTACCAAAGGAGAGTTCCGTGATGGAAACATCATCCAAGATGATGTTAAAGTCTTGTGCTCTTTCTACCAGTTCCCTTCTTACTAAGAGAGAAACCTATAAAAATATACGTGACAATTTGGTTGAGTAAAAAAACAAATTAAATTTTTAAAAACTACACTCAATAGATGAATACAAAAATGACCATAAATTTGCTCAATCGGCTCTTGTTAAAGTTTTATTAATGCAGAATAAGAATTCGTGAAACGAATCAGTTTTTACCGAGTTCATGATATCGAGAAAACTATTGCTTTTAACTATTACCCAATGATACTAGAACATTCCTAAAACATTTTTGAAATATATAAATAATTCTTAAACATTTTGGCCAAAATACAGGGTGTTAAAAAAAGGGTAAAATATTTATAGGGCATACGGGTCGTTTTAAAAAAAACACCCGCCTTCCGCTGTCCGTAAGTTTGAATTCCAATAACTTTGTTAAAAATTATCGGATCTTATTGATTTAAAAACCAAGTGAAAGCCTAACAAGCCCTTAGTAAACTCTTTCGGAAAATTTTTGTTTAGTTATTTCAGAATAATTTTTTTTTAATTTTGAAACACACATTTTCGCATGTCCCATTAGCGTTGTATAAAACTTACATACAAGTTTTTTTTTAAATATTGAATAACCAGAACTTTGTGTTGCTTTATAGCAATCCATAACATCCTTAGTTAATACAGTAAACAATTTATATATAAAATAATTAATTTTAATCTACTTTTTTTAAATTTGACTCATGTCCCAGACATTTTTTCCGTTGCGTTCCATCCGTCGCGTTACCGATAGAATATTAAAAAAAACATATATATGGCAACTTTTTTGGTACTCCCGTGATCAACAAATGATGTTCGGACGTACACATTACCCAGCCGAATTTATTTATTCAATCAGGAAGAAGATATCGGTTGAAACAGGTGCGGGCAACGCGAATGTAATAATTGTTTGTCCGCTAAGTTACTCAAAATAATAATAAAAATAACGTAAGAAAAAATACTATTTTTCATGTTTATGTTTATTTTAGGGAAGCTCATTGAGAGTAATTAATGACTGTAATATCTTATTATTATTTTAATATGGTTTTACAAAACTTTGTCCACTGCGTTACCGTGTCCACTATGTTACCTTATGGTAACGCAATGGACGTTAGGGTAACGCAATAGAATTTTTCGACAACAAAGTGGATATTTAGCGTCGCTTTTATTAAAAGTAGTTTATGATTAACCAATTTAAAATTATTTGTTATTACAACTCATGATATAGATTACATCCAAGGAAAAATTCCACGCAATATAAAAGGGACCTTCACCAGCTTATGGTCAAAGAAAAAGGGTGTCTACAATTTAGAAATCTAAGTTGTTATTCTGCAAGTGAGCACCACTACAAGGGATTTTGTTTATGCATTACTCTAAAATCGTACCAAGGTGGTACTACCACCCTATATAGTTTCTGTTTTACGTTATCTGATTAAGTCCTTTGTGTACCCCTGTCCGTTCACTGAAAGAAATATATGTTTGTTTTAGCAATGTTTGTGGTTCATATATGGACTACCACATACATTGCTAAAACAAACATATATTATATTTAGTTTTAACATAATATGTTAAAACTAAATATAAAAATGGTTAAGGTAAATATATTATATGTTTGTTTTAGCAATGTATGTGGTAGTCCATATATGAAACATAAATTTCTTTCAGTGTTGTGATACCAATGTCTATTTCGTTACTATTTTTAGTTTTTGTTAAAAAAAATACTTAAAATGATTTTTATACACTATCACTTGGTAATGTGTGTTTATAAATTAGAGTTTAATTCACTAATACAGTGACTAAAAGAAAATATTAATGGTATTGTTTTTTTAACAAAGAATCGGAATGGTTTCTTTTAAAAAGTAACTTAACGAACATACATATTTAAAAAAAAGCATACAATTTTTAATAAAAAATAAAATAAAAAATTGGAGTCAAAAGTTTGTGAACTAAGTACATTTTACTTCAAATTATTTTTATAACAACTTTTTTTATTGAATTAAATTTTGGATTTCAAATTTGTAATGGAGATATTTAAAGCTAGATAAACACATTTTTCTGAAAAAAACGTAAAAAAAATTAAAAAGTGCACTGCCTGTCTTAAATGTAAGTAGACAAAACTCTTAACATTTATAAAAATCCAACCAAAAGTCAATTTAAGCAAAAATAATATTTTGATCTTCATTTTCCTGAAAGCGGGTGTTTCTTGAAAATGACCCATATAGTAGAGCCAAAAAGAAGACGAAAAGTCCATTAATTAGTATTGTGTATTTGTCAGGAAACTTAACCTAACACTATTCAATTAAGGTCAATTCACACATAGCAAATCTGTATGGGTGCACGTCATCAACGGCATATGACGTCAGTGTTAAGGTCTATTCATACGTGCCCAGACACAATCTAACGCTCGTGTATTGTTGACTGTTTATACCGGTGGGGGCTGTTATTAAGATGGAATTATAACGTCCTTGTTATAATCTTCTGCACTAACTAATTAGGAGTTTGTTAATGGCAAATTTTTATTAAATGTGTTTAAAGAGAAAACAAACGGAGTTTAGGTATTACATTTTTATTACATATGCACATAACAAAAAAATACTAAATTATCAGAAACACAAAAATAATAAATTACCAGTCGTCCTTGTCATCAGAGCAAACCAGGTCAGAATTGAAGTCTAATTATTTCCCCAAATTTATTATTAAGGGCGCAATGTCTTCGAAATCTAATAACGGCTAGTTGCCAACAAGCCTTATTTCATTGTTTGCACAATCCAGGAATTGAATCTTATAATCATAATGTATAATATTATTTATAATAATTTGCAACAAACGATGCTTTCGGACGAAATGTCACAATTACAAAAATACGTCAAATATAAAATGACAGCGACCCATCAATAATATTGAACGGTGCGCGCCAGCCTTAAGCTATTACCAACTGGCACACACAAAAATTACTAAGTGAATGGTTTTATTTTGATAATTTCGTGAAAAAACGTTTTAAAACAAGGAAATTGTTACAGTTCTTGGTAAACAATACGCAAATGAATGATTTCTTTTTAATAACACATCAGAATTACGCCTTAAAAAAGCAAATTTAACGGCAGTAACTTTACAATTCAAAGTTGGTAATGCTGACGTCATTATATCTCATTGATGACGTGCACCCATATAGATTTGGCCGTATACAAAAATGTGGTTTTTATAATTTTTATTTAATTTTTTATTTCGGTAGGTAAAATGGATTGTGGTGGAAGCTCATACCTATGTTCAAAACAATACAAAGTTTAATAAATAATTTGTAGATTTTTAAATACTAAAATTATTAGCACCCACAATAAGCAATTTTCCTGCTTAGTGGGGATTACTTTCTTTTTATTTAATTTTTAAGTTCTACTCTAGTTTTTAAGTTAAGATTGTACCTATAAAATTAATATTGTACTTATTGATTAAATAACTATTATTATTATTATTATTTAAATTAGTGAGTGTATAGAAAAGTTTATAAGCGAGGTGCATACTATACTTTTTCTACGACAAATACTTATTAACTTAAAATGATTTAAATCAAAAATTTGTATAAAGCGCCATCTATGAAACAATAGGGGAATCTGTGTGTCAGCGTCAAATGTAACATTTTTATATTTTATATACACAGATTATAAAGGTTATAAATCGAAATGTATTTCTTGAAAATTTACAGTTGTTTACAGTAAAAGTAAAGAAAATGTTTTATGAGGACTTTACAGTGGAGTCCGTGTCCGAATTTAAGTTATAGTTTACTGCCGGCGAAATTAAAAGGTCAGTACAATGTTCATATAAACTTTTCAAATATTGGCGTTGAGAAACTATTTAATACTTTTGTATTTTTCACATTAAGTATTATTTTACATTATATGACATTTGACAACCTGTTGCCAACTTCAGCCCGTGCCTAAAGCGCCATAAAGCCACAACTTGTCAATGTGTATTTAAAAGGTCACTTAGTGTCATGGAAACATGTACGATGAAGGGCGTTTTAAAGGTGGGAGTAGAAAAACATATTTTTGTAGAAATGCGATAATTGTATAGTTGTCACTGTCAGTGATTTGTTTTATGTTAATTTTTCTGGCATTCTTTTTAGTTTGTCTCACCTCTACTGAGTCTGCTGAAGCTAGCATGTAATGTGCAACTTTATTTAATTAATAATTAATAACTAATTAAATAGGTGATTAAGAACAGTGGAACTCCAAAAAGTTTATTTTGACAAATCATTTTCTAAAATCAATTTAAAAGTTTTAAATGCATTTTTGGGGAGAATATATAAATCATTTTACAAAATATGGTTATAATATTTTATAAAATGGTTTAAATATTCTCACAAAAATGAATCTTACACTATAAAACTGATTTTAGGAGAAATTTTTAAATGCATTAAAAAATATCATAGGAGGTATTTTTAATTTTTTTAAATAAGCAGATATTTTTAATTGAATGTTATATTTTTAATTCAGATTGAAAGTTTGGACACCCCTGGTATTCCAAACTAATTATGTCGCTAGATGGCGGCACAATAACTGTCCGATGTCGCACTGGCCCAGCGTGTGCTAAATAAGGCCAGTCGCAATTAAAATTATCACGTTCAATTAAAAATATCTGCATTAAAAAAAATTATAAAATTAAATCGAATTTCTCCTATGATATTTTTAATTCATTTAAAAAATATCTCCTATAATATATTTAATTTAGCAAATTAAAAATAAGTATTTAACTAAAAAATACAAATACAAGAAACAGATATTTTAAATTCACTAACTTAAAAATATCTGTTTGGCATAAAAATTAAATCAATTTTTAATTAAGTGTGTTTAACAAAAAAATACAAATATAAGAAACAGATATTACAAGTTGATTTGTAGTTTCAATTTAATAAATAAATAAATAAATAATAAAATATTTTAAATTCACTAAATTAATAATATCAGTTTGGCAAAAAACGTCAAAATGCCCTAGAAATATTTTACCCTTTTTTTTAACACCCTGTATAAATAATTTAAAAAGTGCGTTTTTTTGGAAATAAATCTTTTTGATAAAATTGTACCCTTAATGAAAGTTCTATAAAACTTAAAACTTAACATTAAAAAATGTCCCAATGTTTTCTTGAACATTTTTTACTCTATACAGGTTGCACCAACTATCCTTCTATGTATTGGTTTCTTTTTTATTTTAGCTATGTCAGCCTTTATAAAAATAAAAGATGGTGATGGTACTTAATTTAAACAGTAGAAGGTGGTTGAAAATGTAGATTAATGTGTATGTTAACATTTAAAACTTACTTTATTTCAAAATTCTCAGGAATAGTAATAACGATTTTTTGTTTTGAGAGGTTTTTACTTTTTTTCAAATATTTTGAGAACTGCTAGTTTTTTTTGAATTTTAAATTTTTACACAACAAAGTGAGTAGATAGAGCTACTAATTCAGTAAATTTCATTCAAATCAGACAAAAATTGTTTGTTTTACAGCACTTTTATAAAATTACCGAATTTTGGTTAAAAAAGAAATAACTACATAATTTTTTTTAATTTAAATATATTACAAAAAAATATATAATAAAATCCTACCTGTTGCCTTTGTGTGATAAGTTGGGCAGCATTAAACTTGGCGACCACAGATTTTAATACTTCGTTACAAATTGAAGGTAAAACTTTCTCGTCATAATCCAGACCCAACTGTCTGTATACTGTGGGCAAGGCCGTCGCATTAGGCCTGGACAAAACCCTGAGAGAAATGTTAACCATCTGCAAATCCTTCGAACCTGTGGGAGAAGATATTTTTCTTGGACGAGATCTGATGTCGTAGATGATGGGGTATTGGAACCATGGTAACCTAAAGTGAAGACCTTCTGTGTATATTTCTTTTTGTATGCCACCAACTCTGTTGAACATTATTGCCCTGTGACCACCCTCAACTAAAAATAAATAATTATTGGTAGAAATAATAATAATAGCTATTCTTAACATTGTTTAAAACAAACAACTTAAGGGATTTCTCAAATCTTTGCAAACGTTGCAAATTTAGGGTTTTGGTTGGTAAATACAGTTGTCAAGTTGGTCGCATTGATTAAAACAAACTAACCTAGTTATAAATCTAATTGTGGTTGTGTATCAATTATTGTAGGTTACATTGTGCATTTGTCAAGTTGAGTTGTCAAAATTCGTAGTTAAAAATGCAATTAATTTGGCTTAGGTGGTGCTTGGATGAGTAAAATCATATAAAAAAGTAGTTAAATATAGGTTGCTTAACGGCCCGGAAGAGAAAGTATTCCTAGCGGATAATAATCTTCCCTTTGAAAAGAATTTATATAAAAAAAATTAAAATTTTTTTGTGAACGTAAATGTTGTCCAATGATGAATAATGTGTGATGTAATATTTATAAAACCAAATTCGTTACTTTTTTACTCCAAAAATGTCCATAAGGAGATGTACTTTTTCATCCATTGTGGCATTTGGCATAATTTCATCAAAATGAAGTTTTGCCCTCAAAAGGGCTTTTACATTCGAATTCGTTGCTATTATTTTTGGCATAATTATCTTTTTATTTATAATTAACAAGTAAATTATCAATAATAAATATTATTGTCAATTTGACAGTCTCAAAGTTTTTAATTAAATTCTTTAGCAGAAGTACCATTTTTAAATACTAAAAATACTAAGTCAAACTGGCATAAGCCACCAACCTAACAAAAAAAAATGAACTGCATATTTATTTAAAAAAATCTTTTCATTTATTTCTTAAAAACTGAATTGAATTGAATTGGCTTCACCAATATTTTTTTAACTTTATACCTTCAGTAATACACTTTCTGAAATTCAGTGTTAATGTGGTGTAATAACTGTTTAAATTAATCCCAAAACAATAAGATTCCAATAGAATTTTTAACCAAATGTTTGCTGGCAAACATACTTTTATTGTTTTAACAATTTTAAATCATATAAAATACCTATAAGAACATTATAAAATTTGTTTTGACACCAAAAAATATTAAGCAATATTGTTATCTAGATCAAAATAAGTTTAAATTATAAGAGTCAAAAAATATTCAAAATTAATGAGTTATTTATATTTAATAGAAACTCTTGTATAGAGTTAGGACGAAGATTTATTCAAAGTGTACGAAATTTACATTTGGACATGTAAATGACCTTTAACCTAACCCTACTTTTCACAACTCCCTAAAACTGTATTATCAGGCATATTCGCAAAAAAATGACAAAATTCTCGTTATGTACTCATTATGTAATTCCAATAGGACCAATATTTACCTGTGTACATAGCCTGGGACACACCGTAAACAGCGGCTCCTCCTAACGCCAACAATTTAAGCCCAATACCCAATCCGGGTGGTCCGCCTTTACCGAATTTTCCGGCCAGATCGTTTAACTTGCTTTGCGCCATTTTTCCGGATTTTATTTTCTAATTTTCACACTTAAAATAAACCGCAAGACATGCGGCGAACGTGATCAAAATGGCAGAATTGACAGACAGTGCAGCCAACTTAAAATAACCATGAAAATAGATTACGAAAGTGTTGGATTTTAATGAAATAAGAGTTTATTTGTACAAATTTTGTTTTATTATAATGATTTAAACAATAAATAATTATTTTGTAGGTTGTTACAACTCTAAAATAACGTTTTTATTCAGTTTAAGGTTCTTCTAATTGATGTTGGCAGCGCAATTTCTCCCAGCGTAGTTTAAATGCAATGTCTTTGTTCCAGATCAAGTTTAAGTGTTTCTTTTTTACTCCGTCGTCAAAAAAAGGTTTAAAAATATATAAAATCGCAATAACAGTGTAAAAATTGATTGTATTTAGTATTTACATAAATTTACATTAGAGGTATCGTTAATGTGTTTTTTATTTTAATTAATTTAGTTAACAGTCGTATTAAAATAAAAAAAATAGGTATAAAAAAAATGTTGTCACTCCATATTTGTCTAGCCTAACAAACGATTTCTAAGGAAAATGTTTTGTCTCTTTGATTTTCGTGGTCTGTATGCTTTTCTTGCCTGTGGTTTTATGTTGGCACCATTGTTTAACTTCATGACGTAGAATTCTTTGTCAACGTTCACGAAACGCGCCATTCGTTTGTTTTCGTATGGTTCGTCGGAGCCTGGAGGGTTTTGCCTCATCTAAACAGAAGAAAGACATTAACATTTTGTAAACATGAAATTTTTACAAAAGTTTGACTTTTTAGTTAAAAATATTGATTATTTTAAAATTTAATTTCCTAAATGTTTAAAAAAAAATTAACTGAACTTGAACTTGATTTTTATTTCAGAATATAAAAAATTACTAAAATATTAAATAACTTTAAACAAAATTTGACCGTAAAGTTCATTTTTTTTATCTGGACAACGTTGCAAATTTAGGGTTTTGGTTGGTAAATACAGTTGTCAAGTTGGTCGCATTGATTAAAACAAACTAAGCTAGTTATAAATCTAATTGTGGTTATGTATAAATTATTGTAGGTTACATTGTGCAGTTGTCAAGTTGAGTTGTCGAAATTCGTAGTTAAAAATGCAATTAATTTGGCTTTGGTGGTGCTTGGATGATCAACCTATATTTAACTACTTTTTTTATATGATTTTACTCGAGTAAAATCATATAAAAAGAGTAGTTAAATATAGGTTGCTTTACGGCCCAGAAGAGAAAGTATTCGTAGCGGATAATAATCTTCGCTTGGAAAAGAATTTATATAAACGAAATTAAATTTTTTTGTGAACGTAAATGTTGTCCAATGGTAAATAATGTGAAAATAATGTGTGATGTCATATTTATAAAACCAAATTCGTTACTTTTTTACTCCAAAAATGTCCATATAAGGCGGTGTACCTACTTTTTCTTCCATTGTGGCATTTGGCATAATTTCATCAAAATGAAGTTTTGCCCTCAAAAGGGCTTTTACATTCGAATTCGTTGCTATTATTTTTGGCATAATTATCTTTTTATTTATAATTGACAAGTAAATTATCAATAATAAATATTGTCACTTTGACAGTGTCAAAGTATTTAATTAAATAGATACTATAAATACCAAGTCAAACTGGCATAAGCCACCAACCTAACAAAAAAACACGAGTCCAGATAAAAAAAATGAACTGTAGTTTAATTATTTGACAAAATGCCTTTAAATTTCGATAAACTAAATTAATATCAAAGTGACATTTTGATGATACAAACTGGACTACCCTGTATATTAATTTAATTAATATTTTTTACCGATAAACATTTTTTTCTAATATTTTTAATTTAAAGGTCACCAACTTTTGTACAAAAGTAATTTATAAAAAAACCTGTTAAAACTCAAAATTTTGATTATTTTAATTAAATACACACACACTATAATATTAGTTTTGATCAGTAAATGTGTTTTTTAGTTTTTGTTTGGTTTAATTTGTGATAAGGCAAATTTTGCTTTATAATTAATTTATAATAAATTTTTTTAACGTTACCTACCCTTTTTATGTTGTGAATGTGTTGATTATGTTGATTGTTGATGTTAAATTTTGTTGATGGAGCATTTAAATGGATTTTTGGAGGTTTAATTTTAGAAACATACAGAAAATGAAAGTAAAGTGTGTCAAATAATAGTAAAAATAAAATTAGTGACAAATAAAAAAATAGTGTAATGGTAAAAGTAGAAAAAGTTCTTCTAATAATATAAAACAATAGTCTAAAAATGTTTTACATGAGTGGCTAATAGGTTTACAAGAAGAGTTAGTAACATAAAAAACACAAAAGCAAAAAAATCCCTCAATAAATATGTAAAAATATTTATTTTAAAGCCTTATAAAATTTCTATTAACTAAAGTTAAGTACCCAAAATGAAAAAATTAGACAGTTTTTAAAAAAAATATACACAAAATTTTGTTGAAAAATAATCAATTTTTTGTATATTTTATTATTGGTTAAAGTGTCTTAATTTTTCAAGCTAATCAGCACCCAATTTACACCTACACTGCAAAAAATGCAAAACAAATATAAAACAGATTTTGGCACATAAAAATCCAACGTTTTTAATATACATAATATGTATACATATTATACATATACATATTATTTATACCCATACGTGTGCCTTATTTATTAAGTTTATTATCAATAACAATTATTCATTATTCAATATGCATTTTTCACAGTGTATAAAAAACATAAGAGCAAAACTAAAATAATTTTTGTAATAATTATCTATTATTTCGTTAAATTAATATCTATGATGTGGTTAACAGCTCTATTACAAAAACTATTATTACTGGTTAGGAATCATTTAATAAATAAATTAAAAGGCAGTGTTAAAGCTAATTGGTTAGGTGTTTTAGGTAGCTCCCCGGGTTATTCATCTTTTTCGGATTTTTTCAATCTTTTCTGTAAAATAACATATTTTGTTAAGTAACAGTTTTTAATATGTTAAACATATATTTAGTACAGTTCTGCTGTCCACAGGAAACAAAACCGTTAAAAGTTGATTAAGGAAAACCACTCCTATTGCATAATATTTCCGTAATCAAAGCCTGATTTATAGATTGCCTTCCTTCATTCCGTCCTCCCGTAAAAGATGAACAATACAAAAATCGTAGTGCCATTTATAGATTCCCGTACGAGAATATTTAAACAGCACAACACTCGTTATTTCCGATGTGGTGATTGGCCGATTTTATTATTTATGAATCACAGTGCACTATATTTACACCAATCGTGTAGTTGCAATTCCAAAAACGTCATAGTCGCCCCTGGTAAACTAAAAAAAATCTAACATCTGTCAAATGGCATAATCTAACTTTTTAGTTCCTCCTTTATTTCTTATAACTTATAATGATCGGTAATAAAACGTTAATGTCACTAGGAACAGTATTATATTTTGTACAGAAAAGGTAAAATGACATTTTGCCCTAGTGTAGAATACAGAATTTCTTCACGAGTCCATGGGACAGCAGAGTTGTGTAGTAGTTTTATTTATTTAACTTAAACATGTAAAACCTAAATTTTAAATACATACATGTTTTTATTTTTTGAGTTCTTTTGGAATGAAAGCAAAAAAATAGAAGTTAACAAAGAAACAATAAAGTAGGTACCTCCTTTTTCATTTTTAAATGTTTAGTACCTATTCTGGATTATTTATAATTCATTAATTGACCGTTTTCCAAGCTCCATATATTGTTTGCTTTTTGGAAAGCTTACCATTATCCTGTATTTCTCTTTGCACGCAAAGTCAGATTCGTCTACGTCTTGGTAACAGTCACTTTTGTAGTATTCTGGTAATTTTTTGCCTTCGAATTCGCAAAGTTTCTTAAGCGGCCTTGCTCTAAAAAATAAGGAAACTATTGGGTCATATTTACACGTAATATATTAAAAGTTAAAACAAAAGAAAAATAAATATTGTTACAAATAAGCGAGAAACAGTACTGTTATGAAAAACACTTTGCTAATTCTAGAATATCAATCAATTAGTCATTTGGAACAAAAAATAATACATGCATTTTGGTCAATCCTGGAGTTTTTTATAAAATATAAAGTTTTTTTATTTGGACTGCGGCAACGTTGCAAATTTAGGGTTTTGGTTGGTACATACAGTTGTCAAGTTGGTCGCATTGATTAAAACAAACTAAGCTAGTTATAAATCTGGTTATGTATAAATTATTGTAGGTTACATTGTGCAGTTGTCAGGTTGAGTTGTCGAAATTCGTAGTTAAAAATGCAATTAATTTGGCTTTGGTGGTGCTTGGACGAGTAAAATCATATAAAAAAGTAGTTAAATATATATATACCTATAGGTTGCTTTACGGCCCAGAAGAGAAAGTATTCCTAGCGGATAATAATGTTCGCTTTGAAAAGAATTTATATAAAAGAAATTAAAATTTTTTGTGAACGTAAATGTTGTCCAATGGTGAATAATGTGAAAATAATGTGTGATGTAATATTTATAAAACCAAATTCGTTACTTTTTTACTCCAAAAATGTCCATAAGGCGATGTACTTTTTCTTCCATTGTGGCATTTGGCATAATTTCATCAAAATGGAGTTTTGCCCTCAAAAAGGCTTTTACATTCGAATTCGTTGCTATTATTTTTGGCATAATTATCTTTTTATTTATAATTGACAAGTAAATTATCAATAATAAATATTATTGTCAATTTGACAGTGTCAAAGTATTTAATTAAATTCTTTAGCAGAAGTGCCATTTTTAAATATATTTAGTTTGACTTATTTTTAGTATACTAAAAATAAGTCAAACTGGCATAAGACACCAACCTAACAAAAAAACACAAGTCCAGATAAAAAAATGAATTGTATATCTTGCAAAAAAATCATTATAAATTTTTATTTCAACCACTACACAAACTTTAAGGGCGGCAATTTTTATGTTGTTTATAATTCTTGTGCTTTGGGTTTGTGCTGTTTATAGTATAAACTTTATACAGATTAAAAATCGTTTTAAACGTTGAGTTTCTCACAGAGGCACTTGTAAGCCTTAAATGAGGCCTTAAATTGCCAAGGACAACCATTTAACTCCTCAAAAAATAAGCCTTATTTCATCAGATTGTCAAATATGTCAATTTTAAGGTTTATTTAAATTAATTACCATAACCCACAAATTTACCATACCCACAATTGAATCTTAAAATTGACAGTTTTATGACAGCCCTATATTAATATAAGGTTTGTTTTTTTTACAAAAAAAGTTTTACGGTGGCCCTTAGCACTTAAAGCCGAAGCACAAGAATTGTAAACAGCATAAAAATAGCCGCAGTATGTGTATTGGGTTGCCTAGCTTCGTGATTTTTATTATGCGCGAAACAAGATAGAACAGACATTAACACAACAATTGTTGTGTGGATTTTGATTTGAACAGTTTTTTTTTTAAATTTACCTACATATTTATTAATTTATAAAAACTTAAGATTAGTCTGCATGTATCTTCTTTGTAAGTCATGTTTTCCAAATAAGGAGCTCCCATCCCACACATAATACCATGACTAATTTTGGCGAATTAAAATAAAAAACTATAGGGGGCAATCAAAAACAACAACAAAAATATAGTACCTACATTTCTTATTTATCAATTGTTACATCATAGAAGTGAATAATAATTATTAAAAATATACCAACAATAAGAAACAAAATTGTTATTGTTAAGTACTGTTTTTCACGGTCTGGAGATATCCTTGTGGTTTGGTAAGGAAATTCAAATTTTAACGCTTAAATTTACAAAATACAGAAGTTTTATTTTAAACACTGCACAAAGTTATAACATTTAGAAGACCTGTATTTGTTTTTTTATAATGAGAGTATTATATGGAATGATAATACAATCTAAAACTATTTATCGATTTAAAGTGAAAAGGTTGAAAATCAGGTAGCAAGAAATCTGATTAGGCAAAGTAATTGCTACCGATTCTAGTCATAAGTGCACACGGATACGGAGCTTGGAGTTTTAGTAGTGCACAAAGCTTTTAATTAAGTTAACTGAGTTTTGATGATTTTCAACAAATTTTGGCATTCAACATTTTTGTTTACTTACTTCACAATTAGTTTGTCCATTCCAGTGGGTTTATGTATGGGGCAGTAGAACACGTCAGGGGTATTTTTGTCGAAGACAATGCTTTTTCTCATCATGTCTTTTGCCGCAAATATCTGTGCGATAAATGCAACTAATAACAATAAAACAATTGATGTGTTCATTTCTGAAAATAGCAAAATAAAATAAAATGTTGGTACAGTACATTTTAATTACATGTGCAATCATATTTACACGTAAAACATTAAAGTGAAGGACAAGAAAAAATGTCAATGTGTGGTAAATTGCAATGTAAATATATTTAGAATTTACTTATTTTAATTAAAAATTGTTTAATCAAATAAATTACAAATATCATGATTACCTATAAGTTAAGTAATAAATTGTTTAGCATATATACAGTGTGTCCCAGGATCAGGTTGCCAATAAGAAAAACTTTTTTAATATGAGATTCCCGTAAAAAATATAAATCAATGTACAAAGTGTTCAAAAATTAAGAAAACATTAAAATGCTTCAAGGAAGAAATAGTACCTTTATTTAGTATTTTAACGAAATACGAATTTTTACGAATTTAATATAAAAAATATATACTAGTAGATTATGTATCAAGTTTGATAAACGTATGGCACGCCGTTTTAACATTTATTAAATAATTTTTTAATTTAAAATTTTATTGGTTTAAAATTTTCCTAACTAAAAATTTTAGGTTTACATTTATAAATTTATAATATTTTAATCTAAAGAAAAGACAAAATTTACTAACCAACAGTTCACTTCTGTATTACACAATATTATTTTTTATCAATTTTTGCAAAAATTTTTAACTATCATTTTTTAATAAAAATAATTTTCCAAGTATAATTTATTTGGGGGGCATTTTGTTAACTTAAATAAATATTTTATAAAATTATTGAGATTAATTTGGTAAAGTTAAATTTTTTAGTATTAAAAATAGTATCAAGCCATTTAAAATAAAAACACATATAAAACATTTTTTACCAAAATAGTTTAAAAAGTAAAATTTTTTTAAACCAAAACTATTGATAATCAAAAAATATTTTAAATATAAAATGCAACTGTAAAAGTTAATAAACATTAATTTAAAAAAAATGGAATTTTAATATTTTATTCTTCAAAATTATTGGTTTGAATTTGTAAAGAGTCATTTAAATGATAGTCGATAAATTTTCAATACAAAAATTTGAACATTACATTTAAATGTTAGTTTTTAATTTTAAAGTGTTAATTTTCGCATTAAAAATGTATCGACCATCATTTAAATGACTCTTTACAAATTTAAACCAATAACAAGTGTAAACGTAGCTTTAGAAGAAGGCACAAGAGTCTGGGATCGGAGCCACGATGCAGCCAGTTTGATCAGCAGTGTTGCCAAATCGTGCTTGCTCCATAAATATTTGACTCGTTTTACAAATTATCGTAATGAAAGGTTTCTTTATTACATAAATTTAATAATAGAACAACAACATTTTTAGTGCCTATTGTACTAAGTTAATTCGACAATTAAAAAACATCAACGGATCAAACTGGCTGCATCGTGGCTCCGATCCCAGACTCTTGTGCCTTCTACTAAAGCTACGTTTACACTTTGTAATTTAAAAATTATCGACTTCCATTTAAATGAAAAGTTATAAATTTTGTCTTAAAAATATATCACTTTAAAATTGTTAAAAATAAAAAATTTTGGTTTAAATTTGTAGTCATTTAAATGATAGTCGATAAATTTTTAATCCATAAATTACTACTTTAAAATTTAAAACTTACATTTAATGTAATGTGAGAATTTTTGTATTAAATATTTATCAACTATGATTTAAATTTAAACCAATAATTTTGTAGAATAAAATATTACAACCAAAACTTTTAAAAATCCATATGATTAAACATAAATTTTTACTGTTGCATTTTATATTTAAAATATTTTTGACTATCAATAGTTTTGAGTTTAAAAAAAATTTAAACTTTAATCTTTAAACTTTTATCTAATAAATCCTAAAACGGCGTGCCATAGTGGGCCCCCTTATTTCGGAACACCCTGTATAAAGGGTAAAACTAGTTTTTTGACATTTTAGTGCGTCAATTTGACATTCGCATCGGTGTAGAAGGGATCAAAATTTTCCAGTGTTAATAATTTGAATTGAAGCGATATAAAAACAAGATGGCGCCCACCCAGCAGACAGCAAGAGGGGTAAAAACCCCGGGTACAAGAGCCGCAAGGAAATCGACTATTTCCACCGCGGTCCAACGAGGAGTTAAGAAACCCCAACGTCACCGTTCGGGTACTGAATGTACGGTCAGGGTCGTTCTGAGGAATCTAAAGGGTTCGATTATTTTGGATAAAACCACAACTTTCTTGAATTTCTTGGTCAAGTTGTCGCAGCTGAGCGACGATGACGAGTGGAAGGAACTGATACAGATCGTTCAAACATTGCACAAAGAAAATTCGAACTGCTAATTCAGTATAAGTAAATATAAAATGTCCAGCAATTTTTTAAAAATGTTGATATGTTTACATTTAAAAAAATATCTGTATACCTATGTATAAATAATAAAAAGCATATTCCACAGTTCAACACGATTTTCCTCCCATGAAAAACTTTAAAATAGTTATTTATGTCATTAGGTTAAGAAGTAAGGCTTTTTGTGCTAAGCTCAATTGAGCGAAGCACAAAAAGGCACTTCTTGGCCGAATGGCATACAACATTTTATCTTCAAAGCACTTTATATAGGTCAATTTAATTCAACATCAAAGCGGCCTAACCTCACTTTTTTAGAATCTCATTTATTTATTAGCTAAAGATTACATTAAATGTACAATAATTATTATTGCTTTTAGAAGCAGTTATAGTTTAACAATACCTAGGTACATGATTTAAGTAGAAATGGATTTTTGCTATTACATTGAATTCAATTAATTATTTAATAAATAGGTAGGTATCTAATTTCAATTTGTTTGGATTTTTATTTAAAAAAAAATAGGTAGTTTGGAATGTTTAAGCTGTGTTTAACACTTAATTTCAATGAAAACTTAAAGCAAATTAAAAATTAAAGATAATTTAAATCGTAGAAAAAGAATCGTGCGTTTTCTGCTTGCCTAACCTCACTTTTTGTTTTATTATTCATATTTAATTTTACAATAATTTAATAAAAAATATTAAACATTAACAGTAAAACAAACAAATTATAATAAGCACTATAGTGCTTATTATAAATAAATTAAACCAGTTTAGTACGTTAATTTCTTAGAAAAGGATTAATTTGTCAAAACAATACCCCTAGCAAGAAAAAATCGAACTAATTACTTGCCTCATAAAAATTTTTATCGGCCTAGGCCATAACAAGGTATTTCTTTATCGAATGTTGACAACAATAAAGTTTAAATTATAGACCGCGTGGAGATAAATAATATTATTTATATGTTACCCGCGATATTGTGTTTTGATCTTTCATGATTAAATAGATATTACAGCTCAGGTTCCAGATTTTTAACCGCAATTAAGTATTTTTTACAATGTTTTAAAAGACTAAAACCTATCCTCCGTGACTGTTACTCTTTCTAGGTTAACCTATATGTTTTCAAATATCTGAGGTAGTAAAAGCATACTAAAAATATCAGTTCACTAAGTAAATTAACAACATCCAAAGCAATCGAATCAAATATAAAATATTATTAAAAATTAAAAGAAATAATTTTTATAACCATTTATGTAGGTGTTACAAAAATTGATTCTATCCTCCGTGAATATGTTTTTGCTTTGAATTTTATGCAACGGATGGCGCTTTAATCACTTTAAATAAGCAAAAACCTCTGTTTACGACATTATAGATGCATGTGATTCCTGAAGGTCAGTTAGAATTTATATGCAGATGAGAGTGTTGCTGGTTTATAATTCAAAAGTTTCAGTTCATTAATTTGCTATTTAAAAACCTATCCACCGTGAAGTGTAATATCTCAGTAAGTAGATTTTTTTATAAATATTTTATGTACAATTGTATTTTTTAAAAATATTAAGGTGTCAAAAGAAACAATAACTTATTTCAAATATACAAAGGTATGTTTTAAAAAAACATAAGAAATCATAACCTCCGTGAAGCTATCTTCCGTGAAGCTCTAATATTCAAAATGTATGATTTCTTAAAATGCTTGCATTAGTGCAGAACCACTTATGTTATGTTATTACTAGACCTGGTGGCTTCCCAAAAACCCCATTATAGACTAACAGTGAAACAACCAAAAATAAAAATAATCATTTTCACTTGGGTGACATCTCAATATATTCACCCATATATGTTGGAACAAATATTGTCTATATTTCTAAAATATTTAAAAGAAAATGCCACATCCGGTTTGACCGGAAGTGACATCAACTTTGTTATTTCAAATAGAACACCCCATATATTTTTACGTTAATAAAATTCCAAGTAAAATTATTATACCAGTATAATGTAACACCTTGTATGTTTTTACCTAATCAAAATTTTAATAGCAAATTAAAAAATCTTTGAATTAATCTTAGTATTCCCTATACCCAAAGTTAATAATTTAAGAAATATTTAACAATTTCTAAAATTTTAAGTATTATTTTGTATCAAGAAACCTGTGACGGATGAGTTGACGGTATCTATGGTTACCATGTAATCTGTCATTGTTCAAAATTTAATGACGACAATTTTGTTAAAACAATTTGTTAACTAATTAACTGTTTTGTAAACAAAATAACTGATAAAAAAGCAGTTGGGTAGTGAATTATAAAAAAACATTGACAAGCCAAATATTTTTAAAATTTAAAAGTAATACAAATGTGTTTGTAAATTTTGAACAAAAATTCAACAAAGCTGTTAACAATTGGATGTAAGCTCATTGGAGATAATAAAATATAAAATTTATTTTATGCAATATTCAACGTGTCATCCCTTCACATTTAAGCATTTCTTAATTCTTACTTCTATATTACAATATAGACGTTACCCTTTTTGAATATTGTGGGTCTAATTAGAATATATTATTAGAAATTGTTAAATATCTCTAAAAGTATAAAATTAAGGTATAGGAAATAGTTACATAAACCGAAATGTTTTTTAATTTTATATTTAATTATTCAAAAACATACAGCTGTTTTTATTTTAAATGTAACACCCTAGGGTGTTACATTTAAAATAAAAAAGTTATTAACGTTTTAAGTTAGCCTAATTTGCCCTGGGTTTTCTTGGGTAATTTGTTAAAAAATATTAAAGAATTGATATGGATTCTTGTAAACAATATTTTAAGACTTAAAAAAAATTTTGATTGACGCGCGAGTTTTCTATTTGACATAACTAAGTTGATGTCACTTCCGGTCAAACCGGAAGTGGCATGTTCAAAATATTTTATAAAAATAGGCTTAAATGGATAATAGATGCTTTTAAAATTTCAAATCAATATCTTTTTCAGTGTCCATTTATTCAGTGAATATTTTTTTTAAAACAATAAAATCTAGTCTAGTCTTTTATATATTATGTGCCGAATACCGTGGATAACATTTTAAAAATGACGTGATCTGAAAAAACCCGCGGGTATCATTTTTTTAAGTCTAGGATTTTTTCATGGCAGGGAAAAAAATCAAATTCTGTCGTACTCTCTTATAAAAGCGACAACTTTCAAAAATAATATTATTCATCAACATCTGCACAATAATCGACTGTTTCCCAACATAATAATAAAAAACTTTCTATTTGTTTTAATTAAAGAAACGGCATGTAAGTACTAATTACAGGCAACAAAAGCAAAAAAATCAACTCTAACTGGAATCAACATATCCGTGACAAATAAAACAAGAGAACCTCGTCGAACAGTTACAAATGTCACTTGATTGACACAAATTTCACTTTTTCAACGCCTTTGTCACATAGTTTACCAGATTTTTAAATTACTTTAACCAGGGGTGATAAAAGAGTGTTAATACTTACTCTTAAACTATTTTTAACTATTAATACACTATATTACACGTATAAATATGGTAAATTTTAGGATCGCATCACCTTCGCGCTTTCACAATGGTAAGATCAAGAAACCTTGTGGTAAATTGGCTACGTCATAAGAACAGTTAAGTCGTAAAGAGAATGGCGAGATGCCTAAGAGTAGGTGTCTTACCTTGATAGCTACGGGGGACGGTCGACAATTTCCCTTACTGATGGTTAATAGTTTTATCCAGCACAAATTAACAATAAGCTAATTTAAGGTGGGTATTTTATGCTGCAAAATTAAGCGTGCGTATAATTTTGACATCTGACATTTTTGGTTTGTTTGGATTTTGTTTAAACTCCGTTTTAGCATCTGTTAGGTACTTAAAATGAATGAAAACTATAAACTACACGTCAAACAATAAACTAAAGAATTCTTAACGCAGTCATTGAACAACAGCAGCACGTTTTATTTTATTTTCGGGTATGTTGGCATTACTGACCCGATTTATTTAAAAATTGCGCCGCAACCTGCGCAAGAAAAATAAAAATTAACATTATCATTAAGAAGATAAAAGTTGGCCATCTCTTAATGTTACCTTAATGTTAACGTTAATTGTAATTGCTAAACCAAACTGTCAACATGTTCATGCATAATTTAAGTATAACTAAATAAGAACATCCTGAAACTTCTGCAACCTAACGCAGAACAAACCATGGACCATGGTCCATGGTGCACCATTGTAATTTAACAAAAACACACAAAACAAACGAGGTTATGTTCGGTTCAGTTTTTTAACATTTCACGGTAGGCTTAACTATGGCACGCCGTTTTAACATTTATTAAATAATTTTTTAATTTAAGTCTTTTATTGGTTTAAAATTTTCCTAACTAAAAATTTTAGGTTTACATTTATAAATTTATAATATTTTCAACTATCATGTATTGAAAGACAACATTTACTAACCAACAGTTCACTTCTGTATCAAACAATATTATTTTCTATCAATTTTTGCAAAAATTTTTAACTATAATTTTTTAATAAAAATAATTTCCGACGTATAATTTATTTGGGTGGAATTTTGTTAACTTAAATAAATATTTTATAAAATTATTGAGATTAATTTGGTAAAGTTAAATTTTTTAGTATTTAAAAATAGTATCAAGCCATTTAAAATTAAAACACATGAGTATGAGTATAAGAGACGTATAACCAGCCCCATTTCCTCTTGACTCTCGAACCCCGTACAGGCCTATGTTTACTTACGCCGATTTTTGTTCTTCCCCAGCAACTGCACGGCTTCACCCGTGTTTGCTGGGTGCGAATGTCCATTGCGTTCCGTACTGTCCCCTATTTGGGGCTCGAGAGCGAGAGGCGAATAGTTATAATAGCCATTCCCGGGTTCGCCGAGCCTATGCTATACGCTCGGTGGGGTATGGATGAGGGACGGGAGGGAGTTGGTTTTTGGGGGACAATTACGCCGACTTAAAACTAAGTACGACGCGGAATCCCCCTAGACCAGTCGATTAGTAATACTCCAAACATTTGGGATTACTATTTGGAGTTGGGGAGTTGTTATTTCGCTGCAGGGGTGTAGTTTCCTAGTCAAGGTCTTTGTCTTGTTCGTTATTGTCATTGTCCGTGTTCTGGTCAGATAGTTCCTGCCCTTGGTAAAGTGTGTCAGTTGTTTTTAATATTTTTGTCCCAAGCACATTTTGTGGTAGAGTTCCGTCTTTGTTTATCAAATTCCAAAGCTTGCATTTATTCACTAGTCAAACAAATCACAAGCGCGATTTACTGTTGTCTAATGTTTACAAATCTCGAGTTTGGCTATTAGGCCCTTTTTTTTAATGTGTTAGAATTATGTGTTCAATGTTAGTTTACTCTGTCAGTCCAGTGTTTATTTCGGTCTCGATTGGGACCGCCTTACGCATTTGCTGTTGACAGACTTATTGCCCCACGCCGCGTGCCCTTCATGGGTTTTAAAGATATCCCAATAAACACAACGATACCTAACACCATTAACATTGCCCGTGTAAGAATTTTTAACACTTTTTAATACAATTTTGCAATGATAGTAATTAAAAACAAAACAATTGTTTAAAGTTCTTAACATAATCATATTTTAAAGTTATTTTAACATTTTCAAGTAAAATAAATGTTATGTTTAATGAAATGAATACGGGCAATGTTAATGGTGACAAATAACGGAAAATGCTTGCCGTATTTATATTGCAGATTTGTATCAGGTCATGCATACTCTTAAAGTAAAACTTATCAGATTTTTCCCTTTGCGGATGGCCACCTCCCCTCTTCTCCGACCTCCCCCGTCCGTCCAGTGAAAAGCCTCCAATGACAGGTGGCACCCAAGTCATTCATATTACCCAACACTCCACTCCTCAATGACCGTTACACCATTTAGCTTGCACTCCATGAAAATGTTTGTTTCACTTATCAGTTCGCACCCCTTTTTTTTTAATTATTGTTGGTTTCATCTTTAAACTTTTACGTTTCAAGAGCTCGCCCGCGTGACGCGACTCGTCTTCTCGAGAGCTGGAGCCGAACTGTTTAAAATTAAAACACATATGTTAGCGAAAGGGTACTTAAGAGCATACCAAGGGCAAGAGAAGATAAACAAATGAGGACCTACGTAGACACATTAGTTTTAACGGCAGTCTGCCTGACACTTTGAAAACGATCGGTTGATATTGTGAGAGTAAAGTTTTGAATAAAGACTTATAGTACTAAATAAATTAGTTTAAATTATTTAAATAACATTATTGTTATTTATTTATAACACATATACCTAAAACATTTTTTACCAAAATAGTTTAAAAAGTTAAATTTTTGTTAACTCAAAACTATTGATAATCAAAAAATATTTTAAATATAAAATGCAACTGTAAAAGTTTAGGTTTAAAAATATTAATTTTTAAAAAATGGAATTTTAATATTTTATTCTTCAAAATTATTGGTTTGAATTTGTAAAAAGTCATTTATATGATAGTCAATAAATTTTCAATACAAAAATTTGAACATTACATTTAAATGTTAGTTTTAAATTTTAAAGTGGTAATTTTTGCATTAAAACTTTATCGACTATCATTTAAATGACTCTTTACAAATTTAAACCAATAACTTTTATTTTTAACAATTTTAAATTGATACATTTTTAAGACAAAATTTATAACTTTACATTTAAATGTAAGTCGATAATTTTTAAATTACAAAGTGTAAACGTAGCTTTAGTAGAAGGCACAAGAGTCTGGGATCGGAGTCACGATGCAGCCAGTTTGATCCGCAGTGTTGCCAAATCGTGCTTGCTCCATAAATATTTGACGCGTTTTACAAATTATCGTATTATTTTGTCTTAAAAATATATCACTTTAAAATTGTTAAAAATAAAAAAATTTGGTTTAAATTTGTAAAGAGTCATTTAAATGATAGTCGATAAATTTTTAATCCAAAAATTACTACTTTAAAATTTAAAACTAACATTTAAATTTTTGTATTAAAAATTTATCAACTCTTTAAAAATTTAAACCAATAATTTTTTAGAATAAAATATTACAAACAAACCTTTTAAAAATCAATATTTTTAAACATAAATTTTTACTGTTGCATTTTATGTTTAAAATATTTTTTGACTATCAAATGATTTGAGTTTAAAAAAATTTAACTTTATAAATTTCTGTTAAAACATAATTTAAGTGCTAAACTTTAATCTTTAAACTTTTATCTAATAAATGGTAAAACGGCGTGCCATACTTAACACGTCCACTATTTTAATATGTATATGTGTTGAACAGTTCCAACCTCACTTTTTCCCAATTTAAAACCCGATTGGTTTATATCACAGTAAACATTAAAATCGGCCAATCACTGATGCCTAACAACGTGAATAATGAGTTCAATATTCCCGTTTCTAGGCGCATTATAACGGTCACCATTACACATGAAACTTGAAACTTTGAAATATCTCAGTTAGTATACATTTTACGAAAAAATGTTTAAAATAAAAATTAAATGATTCGAGGGGGGATATCAATCAGTACTAAAATTGGTCCTCATACTCTCCTCCTTATAGGGGGAACAGGGGGTAACTTTAAAATTTCCAATGGAACACCCTATTTTTTATTGCAGATTCGGTCATTCGACTAAAAATAGGTAGATTTTGTCTAAAACATTTTTTCATATTTGTAATAGATGGCGCTGTAATGAAAAAAAATCAATATTGTTCGATTTTTCTTCTGTATACGATTCTGCAATAATTTTTCTATAAAAATATCACTTTTTTTGGTAATAATTATCTTATTAAATTAAATCTGATTTTTTTAAGTACCCACGATTTTTTAACTAATATTTAAGTTTCATTTGGTTTAAGTTTTATACATTATTTCATTCGGTGATAATTATCAATTGCGCACCATGGTCACTTTTTACCTGCCAGCATTAAATCCTTTAATTTAAAGGATTATTGTACTATTTTTAATAAAAATACCTCATTTAAGGTTAAAAAAACATTATTTTTTCAATTAATTAATTTAATCCTAATTGAGGTATAAAAACATGGGATTTAGTTATAAATAATAATTATTATTGAGGTATAAAGAAACTATTTATAGTTTAGCATTATTTAATCAATTTAGTTCGAAGATTAATTTGCAAACAAAAAGACCTACTTTCGTTAAGCAGTTATTCATAATGGATTTTTTAACAGTGGAAGAAAAAATAGAAATGATTTTGATTTATGGAGAAGCAGGCAGAAATCTTGATGATGCTGTTAATATCTACGCTCAGCGTTTTCCGGATAAAATTCAATCACGTACTTCATTTCACCGTACAGTTAAGCAGTTTACCACAAACGGGAGTGTTCAACCGAAAAAAGAGTTCGTCGAGCAACAGTCACAGGTGGAAATAATGAAATTAATGCATTAGCAGCAACGGCCGCTAATCCTCATGCAAGCACAAGAGAATTATCTAAGTTTTTTTTAGAAATGAATTGTACATTTTATGCAATAACACTTTTTACCAATCTAACAACTGTTAAATAGTTTTAACCTCACCTTTTCCAAATTTAATGCACTAGTACTTACGTATTCAATAAGTTTAATATTGCTAAAAATTATTTGAGCATAAAATAAAAATTCATATTATTTATTTAACATTTTATTAAAGATCTTAAAAAACGACATTTTGTGTACTTACAAAAAAGACTGCGTAAAAAAACAATACACAATGGTAAGTTTACTATTAAATAAATAGTTATTTCAAAGCAATAGCTTTTTAATAATACATTAAACATAATATGTACGCTACTGACTAAATTATACGTTTTGTACGCATATACAAATCAAAAAATTATTTTAAACATAATAATTATAAATATATGCTAGACTTGAATTTAATTATAGTAGTTATTGACTTATTATTAATTAAGAAGATTAAAAAAATAACTGTTTTTGTTGTATAATGTAAGTTACTGGCAAAAAAATTAAAAATATAATTATTATTAAATATAAGTTCTATTGTACTCAAAATTTTGAATTAAAAACAACATTTTTAAATGTAAAATGCTTTTTTATACAAAGTGGTCCAGTTTATATCATCAAAATTTCACTTTCTATAATATATTCTGAAATATAAAAGATAATTTATCTAAATTTGTTATGCATTTACATACATATATTTAACAGAATACCATTACTTGAAGTATTTTTAAGTTTTTAATAATAATAATAATAATAATAATAGCTACTAAAACCTGGGACAACCTGTATCTTTTCACATTAAATACTGTTTTTAAATTCGAAATTCATATTTTTTAAGGACACCCTTTATAAAATCCCCAAGTAGCAGTAATTTTACTTGGGATTTTATAATTTGTTTTATAGAATTACATAATTAAGTACACACTTTATCAACGTCAGCAAAATTTTATACTTTTCTAAAGGAAAGACAAAATGATTTTTTTGTACGGCAAATTTAAATTTATAACATCAAAATGAAGAAACATTTTAACACATTTAACATTAAAATTTGGGAAGGACAGATATAGATTTGCAATGCCTAGTAATTCTTACACTATGGTTCTATACAAAAATTAACACTTACAATTTATTTAGAATCACTTTATATTATGCGTTTAATTTTTATTTGTCTCCATCTCTCTTTTTGTAACAATTTTTTTGGTGGAAAGGCTTAAAGCTTTAGTGAACGGTGTTATAACGATATATAGATCTGAAAGAAAGTATAAGTGTCAGTAAAAGCTTTATTATTTAAATTTAGGGAAGTTTTTCATACTATTTTTGATAAATAGGTCTAATTTCACCCAAATGGTGTAATGGGCAACACTGATTGCTAGTTGTAATTTTAGTTTTTCAATTTAGCTTATAGTATAATTATAGAATGTAATAAATATTGCATTTTTTAGGTTGTCGATATGAGTGCAGACGGAAATTTTTTTAAATGTTCTAAGTTTGCAATATTTTTTAAATTTTTTAAAATTTTTACAATTTTCTGAAATTCCCCATTTCCAAATTTTAAAAATTCCCAAAATTTTTACAATTACCAACTGTCAAAATTTTTAAAATTTACATAATTTTCATTTACAACTTTATCCAAAAGTGTAAAATTTGCAATATTTTAAAAAATTCCTAAAATTGTCGAAATATACAAAATGTTAATCTTTTATTAAATTCAAAAATTATCCCATATTTGCGATATTTCCTGAAGTTCCTAAAATTCACAATATTTGCAATTATTCTTTTTAAATATTCTAAAATGTACAATATTTGCAATATGTTATTCCAAATTTTTTTAAATTTCCAAAATTTTTAAAATATCCAATATTTTTAAAATTTACAATATTTGCAATATGTATTTTCAAAATTTTTAAAATCTCCAAAATTCTTAAAATTGTCAAATTATAAATATTTTTAAAATTTCCATTATTTGCCTTTTTTTCTTTTCAAATATTTTAAAATTTACAATATTTGCAATATTTATTTACATAACTTTTAAAGTTTTCCAATTACCTAAAAATGTCAAAATTTACAATATTTTTTAAATTATCAAAAAACTTAAAATTGACAAAAATTTTAAAACCAATTTTCATAATTTTTATAAAAAATACCTGAAATTCTTAATATGTACTTACATACATATTTGCAATTTTTATTTTTCAAAAATTTTAAAATTTAATATTTGAAACATGTTTCAAATTCTAAAAAATTCAATTTTTTTCAAAATTTTCAAGGTTTAAAATTTAGAAAATCCTTAAAATGGACAAAATTTATTTATTTAAAAAAAATTAAAATTCACAATTAGTAAAATCCTTAAAATTGTCAAAACTAAAAAAAATACCATATTTGCAATATTTTAAAATTTACTAAAATTTTACAATATTTGCAATTTTTCTAAATATTTTAAAATTTCCAATATTTCCAAAATTGTTTAGTATTTCCAAAATTCTTAATATTGCCAAAATTTCCAAAATCCTTAAAATTGACAAAAAATTTAAAACCAATAACTATTTCCAAATTTTAAGTTTCCAAAATTTTTACAATTTCCAAAACTCTTATAATTGTCATAATTTTCAAATTTTTTAATATTTACATAATTTCCATTTGCAATTATATCCAAAATTCTTAATTTTTAAAATTATATAAATTTCTAATATTTTAAATAATTGCAATTTTTTCAAAATATTCTAAAATTTACAATATTTGCAATATTTCCAAAATTAAAATTTTTTTAAAATTGCTAATATTTACAATTTTTCCTTTTCAAATATTTTAAAATTTACAATATTTGCAATATGTTTTACCAAAATTTTTAAAATTTCCAAAATTCTTAAAATTGTCAATACATTACAATATTTTTTAAATACTCAAAATCCTTAAAATTGACAAACTAAAATTTTTAATATGTATTTGCAATTTTTATTTACCTAATATTTTAAAATTTGCAATTTTTGCAAAATTTCAATTTTTTTAAAACTTTCAATGTTCAAAATGTACAAAATCCTTAAAATTGACAAAAATTTTAAAATTCCTAAAATTTACAATATTTGCAATTTTTTTCAAATATTTTAAAATTTTCAATATAAATTGTCAAAATTTTCAAAATATGCCATATTTGGAATATTTTAAAAATTTCTAAAATTTTCCATGTTTGCAATTTTTTCTAAATATTTTAAAATTTTCAATATTTTTAAAATATCCAATATTTGCGATATTTCCAAAATTGACAAAATCTCCAAAAAATTTAAAATTATAAAAATTTCAATAATTATAAAAATCTTAAAAATCATTAAAATTATGTTTTCTTACTACCTCGACTCAAAATACGTTGTTTCGTCCGCGATTTCACGGCAGAAAGTTTACGTTTCTTGCATTGGTCAAGCTATACGCGCACACTCTAATAGCGGGAGTAAAAATTTTTTAGTCGTGTGCTTAACATTCAAATTTCGTACTGCCAACATGAGAAACACAAAAATATGACAGTTTTAAACCATAATTTTGCAATTATAACAACAAATAAACAATTTATGTTTTTACTTTTTTACTTTTTATGTTGTTTTAAGTGTTTAATGGTACTTATATTTGTTATAAAGTAGTAATTTGTTAATTAAAATACAACCTTTTATTTTTACTGTATTGGCACCGCTGAATTACCATGACAGTTTGATTGATTTTGAATGTAAACGTCAGAATTAAATTAAACGTCAGATTTTAATTTTGACACAAGTTTTTTTATATACATTTAATTTTTTCCCGTATTTTCTGCGGGGTAGCAAGAAAAATAGTATACACTACACGGGCAGAAAGTGTGAGAGCCCTGAACTGCGCGCCATGATGCCCTCGGCTTCGCCTCGGGCATCATGGCGCGCAGTGCAGGAATCTCACACTTTCTGCCCTTGTAGTGTAATATACTATTTTAATAAAACCATTGGTTTGCACACCCAGTACAAATAATTGAGGTTATGTAAATGTCAGTTTAACGATAATTTTGTCCTATTTTTCTAAAAATACTTAATTTAGATCACAAAAATAGATATAATAGATATTATAATAGATATTATTTTCAGAAAATAAACGAAATACCTTAATTATTTGTATTTAAATGCCAAGGTGGCACTTTTGGGTGTGGACCATAGTGGTTACATAAGTGAACTCACAGATTTTTTTTTATTTTAGCTTCTTAGTTTAAGTAATAATGTACCAATTGCTTGTCATCATTTTAGCTTGCAGTATATGTCGTCATTTGGGTTCGTTTACGTCATTATTTTAGCCTATCATTACCAACATTATCCGTAATTTATTGTACTCACCTTAGCCAGCTGCTCCTACTGCGTCTGCGCCTCCGTCTTGCTGTCGCTCCGCCTGCCGGCGCCGTTCAACTTTTTCAGCGCCATGCGCAGCAGCGGCGACCACGCGACCGGCCACAAGCAGAACAAGATGGCGCCGACCCAGCTGCAGTTCGAGAACCCGCGCCAGTAGCGTCCGAACTGGAGCAGACCGAACGGTATGAGGCACCAGCCCATGAAGACGAACGTGTAGAGCCGAAGGGCGATTTGCAGCGGGATTTTCGCCTGCTCCGAGTAGAATATCGAGGAGAGGGTCTCGTTTTTGCCCACGATGGATTTTATCTGCAAAACACGGGTTGCGACGGTTAGAGATTTGATTTTTAACACGGACTAAATACAATTGCTGTGGTTAAATCGGTAATATTAAAGATGGCGCTAATGATAAGTTAAATTTGAATTTAACTTATAATCAGTAGAAGTTGGGGTTCACCAATTAATTTGCAGACCTAATAAATTGTTGAAAGATCTTAATATACTCACCACGGTGCTGTTCTGAGAGGTGATTTTTGGACTTTCTGTGAAACCTAATTTTTTTTATATTCTTGTTAATTAGGTCATAACTAAAAATTTAAGAGCAAAATAAAAAAAAACTGACGGTTTGAATTGTTTTAATTGGCTGTTTATTAAAAATATTATGCACTCTTTCAATTATCCAATTAAAACTAGCGATTTAATTTAAATATTTAATATTTGCATAACTAAAAAAAGGTTTTTAATTTTTTTTTTTATATATTTTACTGCTTTGTTGCAATAAACGTTCAAACTTTTTATCTAACCTTTGACATATACATTTATGTTCCCTTAATTAATATATCCTTAAAGGTTGCCATGAAACTTAGATCTATTAAAAATTTATTTGACGTTTGAATTGTCATTTTCAGTATACGTATTATATAATTTTTGTTCTCTCAGAATCGCAAGTTTTAATTGGAGAATTGAAAGTGTGCATACATATTTTTAATAAACATCCAATTAAAACAAAATTAACCGTCAAATTTTTTTTATTTTGCTCTTAAAATTTTAGTTGTGACCTAATTAACAAGAATATAAAAAAAAATTAGGTTTCACAGAATGTCCAAAAATCACCTCTCAGAACTGCACCGTGTCACGTCTATTTTCAAAATCCTAAAACTTACAATATTTGCAATTTTACTTTTTCAAATATTTTAAAATTTACAAATAGGTATTTCCATTGTAACGGTTGCGACACTAAAACTGCGTAATCGCGTAACGGACGCGACCTTAGACCAAGTTGGTTTTTAAAGTTGATACTGTAAAATTTTTGATGAAAGCATATAGTAATAATTTTTGTGTAAAACTTGAATAGCAACCTTAAACAAGCACGTATTTGAAATGCACAAATATTATATACTTTAATTTTCAAACAATTTCTCAAAATGTAACGGGTGCGACATTTGAACATTTTATCGAGTATTGAATCTCTTTCGTGTTTATTTTTAATGTTAGCTTCTTAGCATCACAATGAACGAATATTTTAAGGTTATAAATTACGTCGCAATTAAACTATTTGACTTCAGATGTAGTTTTTATTTTGTTAAATAACACAACTGATTTTTTGTCAAGGTGGGGTAAGGTTTCGCGGAAATACCCAAATGTGTAAGTAATATGTATTACCAAAATTTTTAAAATCTCCAAAATTCTAAAATTGTCAAACTTTCCAAAATCCTTAAAATAACCAAAATTTTTAATTATCAAATTTTCAAAATTACCCAAAACTTCCAATAATTGCAATATTTATTTTCCAAATACATATATTAAAATTTACATTAGGTATGTATATCCAAAAATTTTAAAAATTCCCAAATGTCTAAAATATATTTCCAAAAATTTTAAAATCTCCAAAATTTTAAAATTGTCAAACTTTCCAAAATCCTTAAAATAACCAAACCTTTTGAAACCAAAATTTTTTATTACCAAATTTGCAAAATTACCTAAACCTTTCAATATTGGGAAAATTTATTTTCCAAATATTTTAAAATTGACAATATATTATTTTATAATTCTTAAAATTGTCAAAATATCCAATATTTAAAAAAAAAATTTAAATTTCAAAACTACTTAAAATTGACAAAAATTTTAAAACCAATATTTGCCATATTTAAAATATATTTCCAAAAATTTTCACAATTACTAAAATATTCAAGTTGCAATAATTGCAGTATTTTCAAAATTCCTAAAACTTATATTTGCAATTATTCCAAATATTTTAAAATGACAAAAATTTTAAAACCATATGCCATATTTCCACAAATTTTCAAAATTACTAAAATCCTTAAAATTGTCAAAATGTCAAAATTTGTAAAAAAAAATTAAATTTTAAAAATATCCCATATGGGATAATGTATATTAATTAGCAATATAATATAATATATGTATATTAGGGTGTGTCATATTTGAGCAACTTTTTTTTTCAACTAAAAAAAGAGGCTAAAAACTTTCAGGAAGGTGAAAAAAGAAGCCTCTAAAAATTTAAGCTCTTAATAATAACATTAAGTGGTGCCTGTTCCTAACTTTCCATTTTCCATTTAAATAACATGAAAAAAAAAATTTCTTTTTTCTTATTTTTGTATCTTGACATTTAAGCATTGTAAAAACGAACTGAAAAATTATTTTGATAGGAAATTGAACGCTCTACAAAAAAGTACTAATTTATTTTTTCATAGAGTATGAAATTATGACTTTTATTTTATTAAACTAATATTCTTTTTATGTCTTAAAAATTATTTTAAGAAAAAATAATTATTTTCGTATAGAAAGAAAGTAACACTTACATCTCAATTTTTTTTCATTTTATTTTATTTACTATGAAAAAAAGTTATTTGTGTTCAATAAATTTGTTCAATAATTATAATGGATTAAATAAAACAATGAATTTGTTATTGTATTGAATTTTTAATCTTTCTTTATTTTTAATCATCTTTCTTTATTTAAAATTTGCAAAATTACCTGAAACTTCCAATATTTGCAATATTTATTTTCAAATATTTTAAAATTTACAATATGTATATCTAAAATTTTTAAAATTCTTAAAATTGTCATAATATCCAATATTTTTTAAAAATGTTCAAAATTTCTGAACTTCACTAAAATATTCAAGTTTTTAAATTTCAAAAATATCCCATATTATGTACTGTGTGTATATTTTCAAAATTTTTAAAATTTCCAAATTCTTTGAAAATATATGCTATATTTCCACAAATTTTAAAATTTTCACAATTACTAAAATCCTTAAAATTGTAAAAATTTAAAAAAAAATTAAAAATATCCCTTATTAGCAATATTTTTAAAATTCCTAAAATTTACAATACATATTTGCAAAAAATGTAGAGTAGTAACGCCATCAACCTATCCAGCTTACAGGCAAAGCCTATAAGGTTCGGTTCTTCAGCGGGACCTACTGTTTAACGTGGAATCCGAACCACGGTCCTCGATGAGTTAGACTCATCTACCGACTTTCAACGCGCACAACACCCAAGGCTGTGACCGGGAATCGAACCCGCTACCTTTCGAGCGCAGTTTGTCTCGGCATAGCCGCCTAACCCACTGCGCTACCCGTGGCCCCACATATTTGAAATTTTTCCAAATATTTTAAAATTTTCTATATTTTCAATATCCAAAATTATTAATGTCAAAATTTGCCAAATTTTCAAAATTTTTAATTACCAAATTTGCAAAATTACCTTCTTAATAATAATAATTTATTTTCAGAAATATCACTGTACAATAAATACACATACAACTATACAATGTAAATAGAAAAAAAGTCAACAAACTACAAATGAATCGGTTCAAAACTCAGAAATACTATACAATTCTTTATCACAGATATAATCAAACAATTTAGGTTTAAAGCTTTTTTCTGTAGTTTTTTTTATACTACAGGTAATTTATTGTAAAATTTAATGGCCGAGTACTGACAGCTTTTTTCAAATATAGTTAGCCTATGACTAGGGTTCAGTAAATAAACATTACGACTAGACTTTGGCTCTAGGTGACAAAATTTGCTGTAATTTTTAAATAGTTCAAATATATATAAGCCAGGTAGCGTGAGGATCCTATTTCTTTTAAAGTGTGTCCTACATGTTTCCCTATATGGAATACCAAGCAATAATCTTAAAGCTCTTTTTTGAGCTTTGAAGACCAACTCAATATTTCTGGCATGTCCCCAAAATATAAGTCCAAATCTTAATAAGCTTTGAAAATTACTAAAATAAACCATTTTCATGGTTTCCATATTTACATACATTTTTAAAATTCTCAGCGAGTAACACACTCTATTAAGTTTTGGCAACAGGTTTTCGATATGTACATCCCAGCACAAATACTCATCTACATAAATTCCTAACATTTTTACACAATCTACAAAATTACAGTTGTTCGGCTTAACTACATTAGATCTTACTGTTTTAAAAACTACATAATGGGTTTTATTGTTATTTAATATCAATTCATTTTGGCACATATAAATGTCTATGTCGGACATTAACGTATTGATCTAGGCCTCTGCCTGGTCTAAATTTCCCGACTTGATTAAAAGTGTCGAGTCATCCGCGAAATTCACCATAGATGTATCAGGCGATTTTATGATACTGTCCATGTCAACTTCTAATATTGGCAATATATATTTTCTAAATATTTTAAAATTTACAATATACCTATGTATTTTTCCAAAAATCTTTAAATTGTTAAAAATTTCTAAAATCCTTAAAATTGCCAAACATTTTAAAACCAATATTTAGAATATATGTATTTCCAAAAATTTTAAAATTTCCAAAATTTTCACAATCATAAAACTAAAATATTTAGCAATTTTCACAATTACTAAAATATTCAAGTTTTTAAATTAAAAAAAATATTCCATATTTGCAATATTTTCGAAATTCCTAAAATTTACAATATTTGCAATTTTTCCAAATATTTTAAAATGTCCAATTTATATTTTTAAAAATTTTCAATATTTGCAAAAATTTTAAAACCATATGCCATATTTCCACAAATTTTAAAATTTTCACAATTACCAAAATCCTTAAAATTGTCAAAATGTCAAAGTTTAAAAAAAAATGTAAGTTTTAAAAATATCCCATACTAGCAATATTTTTAAAATTCCTAAAATTTCCAATACATATTTGCAATTTTGCCAAATATTTTAAAATTTTCTATAATTTAAATTTTTTTAAAATTTCCAAAATTATTTTAATGTCAAAATTTTCAATATTTTTAAAACTTTCAAAATTTCTTAAATATACAATATTTGCAATTTTTCCAAATATTTTAAAATTGTCAAAATTTTCAATATACTCACGTCTCTTTCCATGTAGATGACGATAAACTCGAAGAAGAAGCACACGTAGTACCCACTATGGAACCCATGCCAAACAGCCAAGAAAAGCAGGGCTGCCAGCTGGCTGACGTGCCTGTAAATCATAAAAATAATAATAATAATCTTTTGCACCCGTTATGCCATCTGTTGAATGTTTTCAATATCTATTCTTTTTTTAGAAATCTTTAGTTATGATCGAAATGAATTTAACTTGCACCCAAACAAAATTCGTAAATTTTAACTAAAGATTTTTTAAAGAGAAAAAAGGATTAAAAAACATGTGTACCTGTTATTGAGGAACTTCAGTCTTTTGTAGATGTACTGCGCCACCCAGTGGTTGGTGTTCACGTTAAACGATTGTATGTAATGGTTAAATTCGGTCGTGTTCTCGAATACAGCCAACTTGATGTTCTCGACGCCGTTCCATTTTATCTCGCCGGTGGTCTCGTCCGTTCCATTGTGGGACATGCCTGTTGCAAAAAAAGTTAGATACGTTTTGGAATACTAGGGTCGTTTTCAAAAAACAACCGCCTTCCGCTGTCCGTAAGTTTGAATTCCAATAACTTTGTTAAAAATTATCGGATCTTATTGATTTAAAAACCAAGTGAAAGCCTAACAAGCCCTTAGTAAACTCTTTCAGAAAATGTTTGTTTAGTTATTTCAGAATAATTTTTTTTTAATTTTGAAACTTGTGAAACACACATTTTCGCATGTCCCATTAGCATTTTATAAAACTTACATACATGTTTTTTTAATATTGAATAACCAGAACCTTGTGTTGCTTTATAGCAATTCATAACATCCTTAGTTAATACAGTAAACAATTTATATATAAAATAATTAATTTTAATCTACTTTTTTTAAATTTGACTCATGTCCCAGACATTTTTTCCGTTGCGTTACGTCCGTCGCGTTACCGATAGAATATTAAAAAAACATATACATGGCAACTTTTTTGGCACTCACGTGATCAACAAATGATGTTCGGACGTACACATTACCCAGCTGAATTTATTTATTTAATCAGGAAGAAGATATCGGTTAAAACAGGTGCGGGTAACGCGAATGTAATAATTGTTTGTCCGCTAAGTTAAAAGTCAAAAAAATAATAAAAATAAGGTAAGAAAAAATACTATTTTTCATCTTTATGTTTATTTTAGGGCACTAAAGCTCATTGAGAGTAATTAAAGACTGTAATGTCTTATTATTATGTTTTAGATATGGTTTTACAAAACTTTGTCCACTACGTTACCGAGTCCACTATGTTACCTTATGGTAACGCAATGGAATTTAGGGTAACGCAATAGAATTTTTCGACAACGAAGTGGATATTTAGCGTCGCTTTTATTAAAAGTAGTTTATGATTAACCAATTTAAAATTATTTGTAATTACAACTCATGATATAGATTACATCCTAGGAATAATTCCACGCAATATAAAAGTACTAAAAGGGACCTTCACCAGCTTATAGTCAAAGAAAAATGGTGTCTACAATTTAAAAATCTAAGTTGTCATTCTGCAAGTGAGCACCACTACAAGGGATTTTGTTTATGCATTACTCTAAAATCGTACCACCCTATATAGTTTCTTTTTTAGGTTATCTGATTAAGTCCTTTGTGTACCCCTGTCCGTTGTGATACCAATGTCTATTTCGTTACTTTTTTTAGTTTTTGTTAAAAAAAAAATACTTAAAATGATTTTTATACACTATCACCTGGTAATACGTGTTTATAAATTAGAGTTTAATTCACTAATACAGTGACTAAAAGAAAATAATAATGGTATTGTTTTTTTAATAAAGAATCGGAATGGTTTCTTTTAAAAAGTAACTTAACGAACGTACATATTTAAAAAAAAGCATACAATTTTTAATAAAAAATAAAATAAAAAATTGGAGTCAAAAGTCAAAAGTACATTTTATTTCAAAATATTTTTATAACACCTTTTTTTATTGAATTAAATTTTGGATTTCAAATTGGTAACACAGTGGAGATATATAAAGCTAGCTAAACACATTTTCTGAAAAAAACGTAAAAAAAAATTAAAAAGTGCACTGCACATTTATAAAAATCCAACCAAAAGTCAATTTAAGCAAAAAAATATTTTGATCTTAATTTTCCTGAAAGCGGGTGTTTCTTGAAAATGAATCACTAACAACAGTATAGAGTCATTCCAAATAAAAACACCAAATTGGGTGCGCTGCTTGATTTTTTATTTCGATAAAAAATATTGAGGATGATCTTTTAGGTATCAAATATGAAAATCCGTTGCCGTTTTAATTTTTGGATTCTTTACTTTTAATCGGCACCCTTTAGAAATCTGAAATCGTGTCAATTTCTTACTCTCTTATAGTGGGCCAGAACTTTTTTTCTGTGATAAATATTGAAATGATTTTAATTTTGTTTTACTGTTCAGTAAGTGTGTTTTCGATATAAATTCTTATTATCCAATTAGTTAATCTCATAAAAGAATGGTACACCACTAAAGATTCATGATAATTTGTCAATTTTTGTGATTTTTGTCTGGCTCCTGTGCCTATTCTACTAAATCTAGAAAGTTATTTTTTTCAGGTATCATACAATAGAAAACGTAAGTATAATTTTAAGTTTCCAGACTATCATTTTATTTATTAAAAAATTTATTGAAACTTGATAATTCTTTAAATTAGTCAATTTTGCCCTCAGAAATCATTATGTTGAGGAAAAAATAAAAATCTGAAACTTTCACGAAATGTAGTCCCCACCTTCATCTTTTCAGTCCAGTTAGTCTTGTTTTGTTATTTTTACTCCTTTAAAAGATATATTAATTTTTTAGTAGCGATATTGTTAGTTTTATTTATAATTTAAAATTTAGATGGCTTTCATGTCAGAACTGTCAAAAATATTTCATAAATATTTATTTATAATAAGTATTTCTTTGGTAAATTTTGTATATAACATAATATGTCGTAAAAACGTAAAAAATGCGTTAAGCAGTTTTTTGTCGGTTTCTTTCACAATTTAAACCAAGTTGTTCTATTATTTTGATCCCTTTAGTAAGGCACTGAATAGTTAAAAGTTATATGTATGTATTTTAAATGTTAGTGTGGGAAAATAATTTACACAATCTGTAAATACTTCTTTAAATTTTAGTTTTTAGGTAACTGGTTAAAATAAAACATGTTATAATAAAGGGGTTTATTTAGAATATTTTTGGGTTTTTGCTTATTTTTAACAATTTAAAACTTCTCAGAACTTAAATATTTTCTATGAGAAAGAGGTACAAAATTATGATATGTTCTTGTATTTTTAATTGCAATTAAATTCATGAATCTCGAACACTCAAACTTGCAAACTTTTTGAAATCACAATTTACATACGCACAAATAATATTTATGAAATATTTTTGACAGTTCTGACATTTCTCTACCAAACATGAATTGACTAAGTCAAAGCCATCTAAATTTTAAATTATAAATTAAACTAACAATATCGCTTCTTTACTACATTAAAAAAATTATTTTATCTTTTACATGGATAAAAATAACAAAACAAGACTAACTAGTCTGAAAAGATGAAGGTGGGGACTACATTTCCTGAAAGTTTCAGATTTTTATTTTTTCCTCAACATAATGATTTCTGAGGGCAAAATTGGCTAATTTTGAAAATTATCAAGTTTCAATAATGTTTTTAATAAAGAAAATGATAGTCTAGAAACTTAAAATAATAGTTACGTTTTCTATTGTATAAGTACTTGATACCTGAAAAAAAGCAACCTTCTAGATTTAGCAGAATAGGCACAGGAGCCAGACAAAAATCACAAAAATTGGCAAATTATTACAAATCTTTACTGGTTTACCATTCTTTTATGAGATGAACTAATTGGATAATAATTAATATTGAAAACATACTTACTAGGCAGTAAAATAAAATTACAATCATTTCAATAATTGCCTCAGAAAAAAAGTTTTAGCCTCTTATAAGAGAGTAAGAAAATGACACGATTTCAGGTTTCTAAAGGGTGCCGATTAAAAATAAAGCAAAGAAAATTAAAACGGCCACGAATTTTCATATATGATACCTAAAAGATCATCCTCAAATTTTTTCATTAAAATAAAAAATCATGCAGCGCACTTTTAATTTCATTTTTGGTGTTTTTATTTGGATTGACTCACAGACCACCAAAACAAATGGACGTATTTGTTTACGTTTAAAAAGCGAGTAAAGGATAGTTTCACATTCTTAACACCGTCGAAAGAAACACGGCTTCCAACGTTGTCAGAAGTATAGATTACACGCCTTTTTGGACGTTCATCATTACATAATGAACATCAATAATTACCAGTAATTCGTTTGAATAATAAAAAAATTGTAAAAAGGATTTGTTCATCATTTTCTTTAGATATTTTTCTCTATTTAAAGAAAGTAAATCATTTAATAATTATTAAAATTAAATATTAACAACGTTGGTAAATTCGTCATATTTGACAGAATAGAAAAAGGTTATGTTCTGTGGGTTGACAGCTTGTTGTTTTGTGTTTTCGTTTGTGTATTTCTATCGTGTTTGAGTTAATTATGGAGTCTAAATACTTTATTTTTTACTAAAAATAACAATACATGGAAATATCGTTTGTAAGTACTTACCTACTTATTATTTTTTAAATCCCAATACGTCACTGGAAGAAAACATAAAATTCTATCGCCAATTTAACGCTTAGACTGTGACCGTTTGATGAGGTCACTGGAAGAAAACATAAAATTCTATCTCCAATTTGACGCTTAGACTGTGACCGTTTGTTGACCGCAAACAAAGCATTGTTATTGAATGGCAATCACAGACCACCAAAACAAATGGACGGCGCATTGCCATTCAATAACAATGATTTGTTTGCGGTCAACAAACGGTCACAGTCTAAGCGTCAAATTGGAGATAGAATTTTATGTTTTCTTCCAGTGACGTCATCAAACGGTCACAGTCTAAGCGTTAAATTGGCGATAGAATTTTACGTTTTCTTCCAGTGACGTATTGGGATTAAAAAAATAAGTAGTTAGGTACTTACAAACGATATTTCCATGTAGGTATTGTTATTTTTAGTAAAAAATAATGTATTTAAACTCCATAATTAACTTAAACACGATAGAAATACACAAACGAAAACACAAAACAACAAGCTGTCAACCCACAGAACATAACCTTTTTCTATGCTGTCAAATATGACGAATTTACCACTGTTGTTAATATTTAATTTTAATAATTATTAAATGATTTACTTTCTTTAAATAGAGAAAAATATCTAAAGAAAATGATGAACAAATCCTTTTTACAATTTTTTTATTATTCAAACGAATTACTGGTAATTATTAATGTTCATTATGTTTGATGAACGTCCAAAAAGGCGTGTAATCTATACTTCTGACAACGTTGGAAGCCGTGTTTCTTTCGACGGTGTTTAGAATGTGAAAGTATGCTTCACTCACTTTTTAAACGTAAACAAATCCGTCCATTTGTTTTGGTGGTCTGTGGATGACTCTATAGCAACCCTGGAAAGCAAAACTTACCGAACAGCATGCAAGCCCCCTCGGTCAACAGCCAGCACGAGATGTATTTGTACAGGGTGAAGCGTCCCCACACGCCCATGACCAGCATGCGACGGAAAAAGCCGAGCGAGGCGAACTCCTCCGACAGCAGGTACTCGTCGGAGACGAAGTAGCCGAGAACGTGAAAGATGGAGAGGTAGAAGGCGCCGATGCAGAATCGTTTGACTGCCGCGTTTGTGCTATCAGGTGCGGCACCCTAAAAATAAAAAAATATAAAACCTGTCAACACCAATTTGCCACTATTAGGTACTATGCCCCACACCTCAAAGTCCCACCACGTGACCACGCACGGAACGCAGTCTTTTGAATATTTGACATTTAAGGGTTTTCAGGTTATGTATCTGTCAAAGTATAGTCAATGAAAGAAATAATATTTATAGTGTTACCGCTTATCAGGGTTGCCAGGTATGGCTAATTTTAGCCAAATTGGCTACTTTTTAAAGCCAATGGCTAAAAAAATATCAGTTTGGCGTATGGCTATAAAAGTTGGCTATATTTCAAAATGTTTGGTGATTTTTTGGCTAATACAGGCAACAACTGCTAATACATGATAGATGCACAGTGTTGTCAACATTTGAGTTTTATTATTTATTAATACGAGTACTTCGTTCAATACAAATAAGCCCGTGTGGTCTAGGTTGCCTTTACCGTTTTCTATGGTACTAGTTCTCTAACCTTTATAATCTGTGGATCTTAGCTATTAATTTTTTTTTATGTATTTAATGAAATGTTTCAAACAAATAAGTATTAAATGTTATTAGATCTAAATATAAGTAATGCAGAATCAGATGATTACTTAACAGGAAGTATAAATCTTATTGGTGATAATTTTACAGTTCCTTGTATTTCAGAAAATTAGTTTTTGTTTTTATGTAACCTCGCAAGAATAACTAATTTTATAGAATAGGTATTTTGTTTTATTGTTAATGTTATTATTATTTATTGTTAATTTGGAATTTTGTTCTTAACAGTTGGCTTATTCTTGGCTATTTGTTTTTTTTAACAGTTGGCTATTTCATGGCTATTTTATTCAGTCCAACTGGCTAAATTGTATTTTACATACCTGGCAACCCTGCCGCTTATGTTTAAGCGTTAAAAGTTAATAAATCTTTATAGTATCACAATAACAATGGTTGGTTTAAGAATTTAGGTATATAAATACTGCATTTAATGAAATTACAAAGTGTAAGGTGCAATATAAGTGATATTTTTGTGCATTGGGTCTACATTTCTCCATAAAATAGTTTTAACTAAACACCATTTATTTAAAAAAATCTAACTTCTCTATTATGAAATAACAATATCTGTATCAAAGGTAGGTTAATGTATTAGAACAAAAAATATCATCTAATTTTGTATTTTAAGGTTAGAAAAATCTATTTTCACCAAAATAAATAAGTGGATTATTTGAAAGAGTGTGTTAATATGGTCATAAATAAATATAGGTATACTAAATAATTGTTGATTATAATAATTATGGTTCAAATTAAATTGAAGCTTTTATACTTCTAATGACAAAACTTGTGCATACCTCTCGGCATACTTACTTTAAGTTAGATTATAAGAAAACAAACAATTTTTAGAGAAACTTGCTATGTGAAAATATTTAATACTCCCATGACATGTGATTTATTAAAATTTTTTGATGTAGATCAAATTCAGTCGAAGCTTTTTAACTATTTGTATTGACAAAACTTTATGTAGGTACCTACCATTTTATATTATACAGTCTTTTAAATAATCCAAAATACTTATTTATTTTGGTCAAAATAAATTTTTCTAACCTTAAAATTACAAAATTAGATGATTTTTTTGTTATAATATATTAACCTACCTTTAATACAGATATTCTTATTCCATAATAGACAAGCTAGATTTTTTTAAATAAATGCTGTTTAGTTAAAATTATTTTATGGAGAAAACCAGATATTTGGACCAAATGCACAAAAATATTACTTATTTGGCAACATACACTTTAGAATTTCATTAAATGCAGTATTTATATTCTTAAATTCTTAAACCATCCATTGTTATTCTATTGTTATAAAGATTTATACATTTTTAACGCCTAAACATAATATTATTTCTTTCGTTGACTTTATTTTGACAGATACATAACCTGAAAAGCCTTAAATGCCAAATTTTCAAAAGACTGCGTTCCGTACGTAGTCACGTGGTGGGACTTTGAGGTGTGAAAATTATTCAATTATATATGGGTCATTCCTAGAGAAAAACAGTTTTTTTCCGATGTGAAAAAAACATGAAAAAAAAACTAGAAAAAAACGTTTTTGTTTCAAATCCGCTACAATTAAGCATATTCTGTCAATAAATAACATCAATCTTAAAAAATGGAGTAATTTTTCCAAATGAAATTTTGAGTAAAATGTATATTAATAAATAATAAAGTGAAATGTAGAATATATTACATTTTTCATTATTGAGAAATTCTCAATGAGAATTTTGACCAAGACTAAAAAATCTGATTTCTTATTATTTGGTAGATCCCACATAAGAAACAATAGCAATGTAAAACTTCTACACTAATACAAAAAATTAAAGGATGGAAAAAAAATCCACATTTTTTGCGATTTTTCGGATAGCGGTATCTTTGTTAAAAATGGTTGTATTGGAACCGTAAAAAAAGCAATTTGAAGCTTGAAGTTTCTAGTTTTGAGATTTTTAGATGAAAAACGTCTAACGCTCAATCCTAACGAATACCGTAATAAGCTTTCTTTTTTGGTAATATGTATATTTATTTTTTCTCAGTATCACTTGTCATGGAATGGCCCATATTATGATTTTTTTATATTTTATCTAGTGTCATGGAAACATGTACGATTATGGGAGTGTTAAAGGTGGGAGTAGAAAAAAATTGAACGCCATCTGGAAATCATTCTTTTAACTTCTAAAAATGTAGATAGGTACCTAATGCAATAATTTTTAAAAGCATTATTTTAACATTTAATACATTTTAATAATGGTTTTTACTTAATAAAAAAAACTTTTACACATTGGACTTAAAACCTTATACCTTATAAACTTTTCGAGTTGAAGCATTGTTATAACTGATTTTAAATTAAACATATTTTAACTATTTAGAAATGTTTTGCCAGGTATTTGTTTTCTGTAATATTTTGAATATTTTAAATTGAAATGATGCCAGTAAAAAAATCGATATACCTACCTAATACATTATAATTTTAAACTGCATTATCATACTAAAATAAATATTGATTTAAACATGTTATACACTTCCCGGCTGGGTTAAACCTTTTTATTCCTTATTACGAAAAAAAATCAGTTTTCACAAAATCTCCTACTTTTTAAAAAAATGAGATTCGATAAAAAATTTAAAATAAATGTACAGGGTGCTCAGAATTTAAGAATAAATGAAAATGCTTCTTTATTTATTATTTTATAGACAAATTTTATAAAAGAAAGTGATCACTTTCAATAAATAAATAAATCAAATTATTTTCAATTTAGACTTTCTCAATTTTTCTATAAAATTTATAATTTTTATTATAGTTCGGTTAATTTAAAAAAAGTTACGTAATTACAAGTTTATTAAAATGCCTTTTAAAAATTGGTTCTGTGGACCCCCCCTTTAAAAAATAACTATGTTTATTAAATAAATAAATAAATAAACTTTATTTACACAACTACTAAACAAATAACTTTTTTTATCAAAATTAAATTTAAATAAATGGCATTGACAATTAATTTTGCTTTGTTTTTAAACCATAATTAGGAATCAATAAACAAATTATCATTAGTATAAAAAAGGCAGTTAAAACGTTTAATTTAAAATTAATGATTGTCCTTATTAAAATAAATGCATTTAATAAAAACAAGTATTATTATTATTGGAAAATATACAAATGTATTAAATAAATAAATAAAAAATACATCCATATTGCAAAATACAATATTGAATAAGGATATATTTTTGCAGTGTTGTTAAGTTAGTTTTTGTTCTAGCATAGGCACCACAACTTATTTTCAAATTTGTTTGTAAGAGATTTTTATAATTTACTACATGTCAAAACATATTACTTGTTATTTTTACAGCTTATCAAGTTTTGATTGACTTTATATTTTATTTAAATAATAAGTTTAGCGATAAAATAAATTAAAAATCAATACAAAGGCATTTTTTACAGTAAATAAATTAATAAAAAATATTGAAATATTTCTATTAAATTTTAAATACAGAGTGCACCAAGTTTCCTATGGGTATTTTTTATTTAATAAGCTACAGGGTCGATTTTGTCAGAGAAAAGTAACACGCCTATTAAAATCAAATTTAAAAATTGGACAAAAACCAAAACATTTATAAAAATAAAAACCTGTGAAACGAAAAATCGTTATAACTTCCCTTTTCTTGGGATATTTTTAAACAAATTTAGTTTTAAATGTTGACTACTATATTTTGAGTTACCATCACCATCTTTTGTTTTATAATAGCCGCTATAACTTATGTCGTATAGTTTTATACATCGCGTCGATTTTTTTTACCTAACCATATGAAATTTTTTTTTTAAACTTTCCACTTCTGGTTTTGGGAGGTTTTCGTTTTTTTTATTTGGGAACCTCTGAATATTTTCCAAATTGTAACTACCATTTTAACAGACTTTTCTCTAATTTAACTTTAACTTTTAGCTCTAAATAAAAAAAGATACCATACATAGAAGTATATACTAGGTGCACCATGTATAATCTAAATTAAACTTTTTTATATGGGTGATTCTACAAAAGTTGGACAACTTGATGTCATCAGTCAATAGAGTAGGTATTTTAATATTTTTTGTAAATATTTTAGTATATTATAAAAGATCCAGGTTTTTTTAACTTCTCCACCCAATTTTAATGTATTTTTTCAAAAGAACGTTTGTAGAAAAACATAATAAATATTTAAAACATCAGTACCTTGGCGTGTCAAAACTCCTAAATCAAATATTTGAGTGGTTTTATTCTAAAATATATTCAATTTTTCTTAAATTTTTCAATTTCACTATAAACTATAAAACATTAAATATTGTATTTTTCATATTTTATCATAGATTTGAATAATAGCAATTTAAAAAAAATGACAATCTTTCTGTATTCAATGTTAAAATTTAAAATTCCTGCGAAATATTGAAGTTTAAACGTCAAGTCCTCGTTTTAACTCAAGTGTTGGTAAAACATTACCTACAGAGCCCGCCCTTTGCACGACAGTCATCTTGAAAACAATACAAGCGGCGAAGTTGTGGTGAATGCACGTATAGTTCCAGTCAAAATTTCAGTACTGTGGTGAATAGTTATTTTCTTACGTATATATATGTCATTGTAATTTATATAAGGCTATATGTGATTTGTTGATAAGTAGCATCCACTAATAAAAAATATCAGTAAAATACTTAATTCCGAATTATAATCTCAAATTTGTATCCCATTCATCAGTACCGTGTCGTCAGTTCCATGTTCGATGTTTCGGTTATCTTTTTTTCGCAAACTTCAATTTAAATTCTTCTTGCGCAGAACTTGTTTATTTAATGTCATAAACTCATATAAATTTGGTGTGGGTCCCATATCTAATAATTGGGATATCGGTATACCCAAAATCCACCAGCCGCCACTGATGTGTGGTACTATTTGATTTTAAAATATTTAATGTATAATATGCTCAAAGTTGCAATAAATCTTATATTTTCCAATAAATTATGTATTTAATTAGTACCCTGGTATACTCGTCACTTCCCTTCTATTCAAATTTAGAAAACATATATATTTCAGAAACTGTTTGAAAAGTGACTGGCCCGGTCTGGAACAGTATATTTATTATATTATCTATGTTCTCATAACAAAATACTATTTAATTTTCTCCGAAAACTATATAAACAAAATGAGGTCAAAAGTAGAATCACCCATATATTTTTTAAAATTTAATTTAAATAATTTTATTCAGAAATAGTTTTTTGATATATTTTTAGCAATAAAATTTTCATATTTATTGTAAATTAAATTTTTATTTCTTTGTTTATTAAAAAGAAACAAAATGTATTGAATTAGGTATTAACTATTATTAAGGAATTTATTAATTAAGTGTGTTGTATGAACAAATGCAAATTATATTTTTTAAACATTTCTAAGCATTTCTAATCAGTCCATTGCTTAAAAATCACCTCATTAAAATAAAAAACAATGGGAGTGACTATGACTATATTTATTAGACTGGGCCAAAAAAATCAACTATTATTTTTAAGTATATCGAAAATATTGTTTGGGGTAACAAAAAAAAATTAAGGTGAAAGTTTGAGTCCATAATATTAATATTATCGCAATTTAAGATGTTTTTTCCGGAGCGAGTTTTTGTCTCAGAACTCCCAAACCATTGAGTTTAACAAAATTGATTTAAGAATATTTTTTGAAGAAAATTGAATGCTCTACAAAAAAGGTTTGATTGGAATTTCCCGTCAGATAAACCGTTTTCTTACAATCATGGCTTAAAAATTGGTATAGTTTTACAATTTCATCTTTTAAATTTGGAATTTTGGAATTCATGTAAAAATCAGTACCCGGAAAAAACCGATAGATATTCTTATGGGAAATCAAATGCTCTACAAAAAAGTCTCCAAACATTTTTCGCTAAATTCACTCCATCAAAAGTATTTCAAAAGGTTAAATTTGAAGTCAAAAAGAAATTCTTGTTTTTACCGCTCTAGATTTTTTTGGGTCAGTTAAAAACTTGACTTCTTTTATCGATGATAATCTTTATGTTATTGATAAAGTTACTGAAAATTAAAAAAAAAATAACAAATTAGAATTTTTTCGCTTTAAGAAGCTATTTTCTTTAGAAAATATTATTTTCACTGTTACCTATTTAATCGTTTGTTTTGTTATTGGAAATTGTTAATTAGTTATAATACACATTTATAAAGTAAAATAAAATTATCACCCATAAAAAATAAGTCTATAGAGGAAAAAACAAGAATTTCGTTTTGACTTCAACTTTAACCTTGAATAACTTTTGATTGAGAGAATTTAGCCAAAAATGTTAGGAGGCTTTTTTTGTAAAGCATTTGATTTCCCATAAGAATATTCATCGGTTTTTTCTGGGTACTGATTTTTACGTGAATTACAAAATTCCAAAGTTAAAAGGTCAAAATGTAAAACTATACCAATTTTTAAGGCATAATTTTAAGGAAACGGTGCATCTGATTTTGTAGAGCATTTAATTTTCTTAAAAACATATGTATATGTCAATTTTGTTAAACTCAATGGTTTGGTAGTTCTGAGACAAAAACTTGCTGAGGAAAAAAAATTTAAAATTGCGATGATAGACCTCTTAATATTAATATTATGGTCTCAAACTTTCAAAATATTTTTTTTTTGTCACCCCAAACCATATTTTCGATAAACATTTCAAAAAAAAAAAAAATAGTTGATTTTTTTGGCCCAGTCTAATATTTATATTGGGTTTGCCAAATACAATTTTATATCAGTAAGGTATTTTAAATCTAAACTAACTGATGTGATTTTCTTGTGCTATTTTTAAAATAGGAAAATTGGTGATAATAGTATAATAGATTAATAAACTTCATTTTAGTCACGAATTTAATTTAGGCACGAGCGAGCTTGTCTAGAAAAGTTTATAAACGAGTTGCATACTATACTTTTTCTACGACAAATACTTAACATTATCAAAAAAAATGATTTAAATTAATTATTTGTATAAAGCGACTTCTAAACGAAAATAAAGTAACCATCCCAATAAACATTTTTGACGTAATTTTCACCCGTTATTATTTTAATTAAACTTGACAATTATTGATACTTTAAAATATTAAAATAACTTGAAATTATGATTGTGTTAAGAACATATTTTATTTCTGATTTTTTTTATTACTATAATTGTAAAATATTATCGCAAAGTATTAAAAATTCTTACACGGGAAATGTAAAAGGTACAAAAAGTGACGGTTGTATTTATTGGAATTCCTGTTAGAATTTTTAACAATCATAAATTTTTCTGTGTTAATCAAATTTTTTGACACCCTGTAAATTAATATTAAAAACTTACATCTTTGCTGAATTTTCCCTCGACAAAATCAAGATATCTGCGCATGGAAAATTGCGGACCCACCAGGAAAGAAGTGGGGAACAAACTGTGACCGTACAGTTCCAAGATGGAGGGCAATTCTTTCAGCGCCACCTTTTTGTTTTCTGCCGAAAGCGTTTCTTCCGGCTGCTTTCCATCGTACAGATCGAAGGAGATAGCTGACAAAAAAAAATCATAAAAATTTCCTTTAAAAAAAAAATTAAAAATGTTTTATTGTACCTATTAGCCTCAGAACCAAAATACACTGTGGCAGTGTCCAGTTAATGTCATAGCCATCTGTGCTGGAATAAATGTAACCTAAAAAAATTTAAAACGTCAAAAAGTTAATAAAACAATAACAAGATGTAAAGTTGGTTTTAAAAGTCACTTGGTGCAGTTTTCGCCCAAAAACTATAAAACGTAAAACATTCTAGTCACTAATTTAATAAGTGCATAGAAAAGTTTAGAAACGAGTTGAAAACTAAACATTTTCTACGACAAATACTAGTTATAAATCTAATTGTGGTTATGTATAAATTATTGTAGGTTACATTGTGCAGTTGTCAAGTTGAGTTGTCGAAATTCGTAGTTAAAAATGCAATTAATTTGGCTTTGGTGGTGCTTGGATGACTAAAATCATATAAAAAAAGTAGTTAAATATAGGTTGCTTTACGGCCCAGAAGAGAATGTATTCCTAGCGGATAATAATCTTCGCTTTAAAAAGAATTTATATAAAAGAAATTAAAATTTTTTGTGAACGTAAATGTTGTCCAATGGTGAATAATGTGAAAATAATGTGTGATGTAATATTTATAAAACCAAATTCGTTACTTTTTTACTCCAAAAATGTCCATAAGGCGATGTGCTTTTTCTTCCATTGTGGCATTTGGCATAATTTCATCAAAATGAAGTTTTGCCCTCAAAATGGCTTTTACATTCGAATTCGTTGCTATTATTTTTGGCATAATTATCTTTTTATATATAATTGACAAGTAAATTATCAATAATAAATATTATTGTCAATTTGACAGTGTCAAAGTATTTAATTAAATTCTTTAGCAAAAGTACCATTTTTAAATACTAAAAATACTAAGTCAAACTGACATAAGCCACCAACTTAATAAAAAAGCACGAGTCTAAATTTAAAAAAATTAACTGTGTTATCCTTTGACTTTTTTACTACTATAATGGAAAAATATTATCACAAGTATTAAAAATTCTAACAAGGAAAATGTAAGGTACAAAAAGTGACAGTTGTATTTTTTGGAATTCCGTTAGAATTTTCAACTTGGGAATCTACCGGCTTTAAAATCTCAAATTTTTCTGTGTAAATCAAAATTTATCCCTTGAAAATAGACTAACAATCAATATAAAAACAGTTGAAGAAAAGAGAATGTTTAATGGGCACTGTACGCAAAATTTTTAACGCTTTATCAGTTAAATCTACTTAACTGCATTAGCTAACTAACTAAAATGGCATTTATCAAACTTGATAAAAAATATACAATTATTGTATTTTTAGTTTAAAAATAGTGATAATTATAATTATAGGTATTTAAAATTATCGAAAAACGTGTATAATTATAACACATATTTTTTTTTTAATTAATATATTTATTTTGTTTTATTTATAACAATTGTTTACAACTTAATGAATTTAGGCTAAAAAATGCATGCATATTCATTTGCTAGATAAATCATTAATTTAATTATACATTTAAAAATACATAAATTATTTTCGTATTCTAAAAATAAAACACAAATACCCACTACATTTGCATATAGAGATTTTATTATAATTATAAAAATATTATAGATAAGGAATATGCAATTTAGAAAGAACACCATAAAATTTAATAAACATTTTAAATGTATATTTATTACAGTCAACATAAATTTTGCGTCGGAGATTAGGTTATGCAATTACTATGGGTCTATAAAAAAATAAATTTTATAAAAAGTTGGCTTTTGTAGCAAAGATAACGTTTTGATAATATTATAAAATATATGATATAATTTTTAAACAAACGTTTGTATAGTTTGTTTTTATTAAATTTAACTATTACATTGTCTTACAAACTGTTTTACTCTTATGTAAATCAGAAAGTACTTAAAAGGGGTTGTCCATAAATCTCGTGACGCTGGTAGGGGGAGCGACCATCACGATTTGTCACGGCCGAAAGGGGACGAAAATTTTTGTTTTGCCGAGTTGTATAATCTATGCAATATCAACTTTAGAAATTAGTCTTGTCTCAGGTATCAATTTACGTAAAAAAAAGTCAAACTTACCTATTAGTAAGTACGTTAAATTGAACACAAACGTTATAGCCACACTTGTAGCAGTCCCCTGTAAAACGCTTAAAACGCAAAAAGTAAAAAATGTAGCTAAAACATTGTGGAACATTTCGTTTCCATAGTTCCAGTATCCCAGGGCAAACCCAGTGAATATAAAATAAAGGTGTTGTAGATTCGCTTCCTTTCCGTAAACATACTTTCGATGGATCAAAGCCAAGGGGTACCCTGTAAATAATGAGAAGAAAGTTCATCAAGTGAATAGTTGGCATTACTATCTATTTATATTTTTGTGTGCTAAATAGTTTATCTGATTTATTTATCAAAACCTTATGCTGCAATGAAAACTATAGAGCATTTTTTCTACTTTGTTGGGTCAAAAAAAACAAGGCAATTTTCAGAAGTTGCTAATTTTTATCAAAAATTAAAAACTAAACTAAAAAATAATCATAACTTTATTACCTATTTGTTTATTTTTGGCCAATTTTGCCAATCTACAGGTGTTCAAAAATTAGGAAAACATTAACTTAATTTTTAATTTTTTAAAAATTTGAATAAGAAAAAGTTGTTTGTAATTAAAAACTAAGTCTTAAAACAAATACAACCAAATCAAAATGTATGTGACATTTTTGCAAAATCCAGTACATCCATAATATTTAGATATAATTACAGTCCTTATTTTAAATTAAAGTAAAAAAATATTTTTTTAAGTTAAAAATATAAAATTTATCATCATAATAATTGTTATTAAACAAAAACTGGAACTGGAAAATGTTACTTACAATGTTATTCAATGCATGTTAACTGAACATGAACTTAATGTAATGTAATATTATTATGTTAATATCTTAAAAAGGAAGTTTTTTGGGGTGTAAGTACATTAATTCTCATTCACACTAGAATCATCCTCTTTGTGTAAACATAATTTAGAACCCTAGGTATATAATAAACTAAAAAACGCACATAACTCCTTTCCAAATATTTAGACCATAAAAAAGACACATCTTAAAACTTATTAATTTTAAACTTTCTATTCATTTTTGTGTGCTACTTTGTGGTGTGTGCTATTTTCTCTGATTTATTAAATAAAACCTTGTTCAGTGAATTACAGTGATTAAAAACTAAACCCAATTTAATACATAACGATAATCTAACGTCTAATTTAAATATAGAGCACTTTGAACTCTGTGCACCATTAAAATGCAAATATATTTCGAACTTAAAACTAAAATTTTTGAATTAAAATATTCTTACCTGCAAATATAGTTAACAATAGCTTTAAAGCAGGCACTGTTGTGCCTATTTGACAACTAAAATATTCTATAAACCCGTTCGTGATTTCACAAGACATTTTTAAAATTAAATAATTGGACTAATATTTTTTCAAGTGCATATTTAGACAGCGTTTGACATTTGCGTCAAGGTGGTGAGGGAAATCAGATGATAATTGAGTTCAGACGTACGTTCTGAAAGTAAACAATTTTGTTCACAGGCCTGCACTAACTGGGCTAGAGTACACTTGTGTGTTGTATGGTCACATCTAAAAAATGACTTTTATCTTCAATCAGTCCATAATTTAAACTTTGTTGTTGTCAACGCTTGTTACGAAAGTAATTGATTATAGCCTAAGCACTTAAAAAAGATTGATTCCAATCGGGTTAGGTTATTTATGGCCTAGGCCGTAAATATTCATTATTTACTACTTTGTCATATCGATCCTAACTTACTTTCTACTTTTAATAACTGAGGGCCTTCCATTAGTATTAAAGGGGTATAAATGCTTCTGCCTGTAAAAGCAAAATGCCTTACCTACAAAATTAGGTAAAACATATCATTTTATTGTTTTAACAATACTTTAACCCCTTTTATTCTAAGGCCCTCGATTGTACGTTTTATGTATTAATACATTAACAATTGTTTATAAAAACAAAAAAGGTCGATAATTTGTAAAAAAAGCTCAAATGAATCTATCTATAGTTCTTTTTTTATCTGGACTGCGGCAACGTTGCAAATTTAGGGTTTTGGTTGGTAATTAAAGAACCAAAATTGATCGCATAACTAAGCTAGTTATAAATCTAATTGTGGTTATGTATAAAATATTGTAGGTTACATTGTGCAGTTGTTAAGTTGAGTTGTCGAAATTCGTAGTTAAAAATGAATTAATTTGGCTTTGGTGGTGCTTGGATGAGTAAAATCATATAAAAAAAGAAGTTAAATATATGTTGATTTACGGCCCAGAAGAGAAAGTATTCCTAGCGGATAATAATCTTCGCTTTGAAAAGAATTTATATAAAAGAAATTAAATTTTTTTGTGAACGTTAATATTGTCCAATGAGGAATATACATTATAATCTGAAAATAATGTGTGATGTAATATTTATAAAACCAAATTCGTTACTTTTTTACTCCAAAAATGTCCATAAGGCGATGTACTTTTTCTTCTATTGTGGCATTTGGCATAATTTCATCAAAATGAAGTTTTGCCCTCAAAAGGGCTTTTACATTCGAATTCGTTGCTATTATTTTTGGCATAATTATCTTTTTTTTATTATTGACAAGTAAATTATCAATAATAAATATTATTGTCAATTTGACAGTGTCAAAGTATTTAATTAAAATACTAAGTCAAACTGACTAACAAAAAAAACACGAGTCCAGATAAAAAAAATGAACTGTATGTATTGTTTATAAAAACAAAAAAGGTCGATAATTTGTAAACAAAGATCAAATGAAAAATATCTATTAAAAAAAGTGTTGATGTCGATGAGATCTACAACCTCTATAATAATTGCGCTGTCCCTTTTAAGTAGAAACGCCCTGTATAATGAAGTGGACAAAAAATGATAATTTCGATTTACCCTCGTAAAATACAAAGAGGTTCACTTGAACTACTGCACTAAAACGACGTATGTCTATGATTAATTTTATCAACATTTCACACAAAATCTTTAAATAAACAACTATTTAGATATTTTTAGGCAATTTTCTTAACACGTACGGTACGTGACGTAATTCGAATTATTAGTCTTATTTAATTTTTTAGTATTTTTTTCGCCCCTAGGGATTTTTGCGTCTTTCTGTTTGCTCGTTTTGATAACCGATTAGTTAAGTGTCAAAGATGTCGGATAAACCTGAAAATTTACCGAATTCAAACTCCGAATTGGACGGAAATTCCGAAAACAAACCACAAAGTACAAGGTAAACTAAAAAATAAACCATTAATTATCTTATTTGTTGAAAAATTTACCCGAAAATATGCTTAGTAGATTTTAAAAATCATGTTTCTTTGGGGTTATATTTCATTGAAATCGATATCTTAACAAGCTTTAAATCTTCTTAATAATTAATTGCTGGTTTTATTTTGTTGTGCGCCAAAATTCACTCGCATTTCAAGCCCTAAAAGAATATGCTTGTCATTACTAACCTAACTTTTTAATTCAATTTACTCCAATAATTGTATGTAGGTATAGATAGGGCCTGTTTAAACTGCTTTTAATTACAAAGTTCATTCACTTTATTATTTATATTCATATTAACGTTTTCAAAAACTCAACCTTACCTTTGAACCTCTTCATTATTTATCCATATCTATTGTTGAAATAGATTAGTATTAGTATTTGTTGTCTACAATGTTTTAAACATTTTTAGGAATTAAAAAATTTAATAATATTCATCTTTTTCTAGCTTAGGTAATATTGTTGACTATAAAGCTTATAGCTTGAGTTATCATTAAAACAATTAAAAACCAAAGATAATAAATTATACAGGGTGTGTCATTTAACTGGAAACTTTGAAATACCCCAGTTAGTACATTTTTTTTTATCTGGAATAGTGTTTTTTTATTAGGTTGGTGGCTTATGCCAGTTTGACTTAGTATTTTTAGTATTTAAAAATGGTACTTCTGCTAATTGTCAATAATATTTATTATTGATAATTTACTTGTCAATTATAAATAAAAAGATAATTATGCCAAAAATAATAGCAACGAATTCGAATGTAAAAGCCCTTTTGAGGGCAAAACTTCATTTTGATGAAATTATGCCAAATGCCACAATGGAAGAAAAAGTACATCGCCTTATGGACATTTTTGGAGTAAAAAAGTAACGAATTTGGTTTTATAAATATTACATCACACATTATTTTCACATTATTCATCATTGGACAACACTTACGTTCACAAAAAATTTTAATTTCTTTCATATAAATTCTTTTCAAAGCGAAGATTATTATCCGCTAGGAATACTTTCTCTTCTGGGCCGTAAAGCAACCTATATTTAAGTACTTTTTTTATATGATTTTACTCATCCAAGCACCACCAAAGCCAAATTAATTGCATTTTTAACTACAAATTTCAACAACTCAACTTGACAACTGCAAAATGTAACCTAGAATAATTTATACATAACCACAATTAGATTTATAACTAGCTTAGTTTGTTTTAATCAATGCGACCAACTTGACAACTGTATTTACCAACCAAAACCCTAAATTTGCAACGTTGCCGCAGTCAAGGATTAAAAAAAATGAATTTTGCGAAAAAAATTTTAAAAATAAAATTACCTAAAAATAGGTAAATTTTGTGTAAAACATTTTTTTCATGTTTGTAATGAAAAAAATGAATTTTGTTTGATTTTTCTTCTGTATGTGTGTATTTTTTCTAAAATGTGAAAATTAGATTTTCGCCAGGTTTTTAGTTTTATTTTAAACGATTTGAAAACCGCAGAATTTTTTTTCAATTTCTAAATAGGAGATATTAGATTTTTAACACTAAAGTTAATTAAAAAAATCAAAACCAAACCTGATTATCTCACTATAAATATATGCATTTTTTTCAGCTCGAAAAAGAAAAACAAAAACAAAAAGAACCGTTCAAATGCTCAAGAAAACAATGACCAAGAAATAAGTAGCGATAAGATCGTGCCTGAAGGCGATGGACTGCCAAATCCTTTAAATCAAATCTCCATCAAGGATTTAAGAGCCGCCATGGAGGTGTTTTCTCTTAGTCAAAAACCTGCCAAGACGCAAGAGGAGGCCATGAAGAAGAGCTACATGTTCTGGAACACGCAGCCCGTACCAAAAATGGGTGAGTCATACTAAATTAAAGTGAAAACGATTTTCCAGTTTTTATTAATTCTGATATAGTAAATGTATAAAACGAAGTCTGTGATTGAATATATTAATGCATTTTAACCAAATTAAGTTGGCAGCAATTGCAATATTGCCATGTTTAGATTAAAATTTTGCGTAATAAAATGACGCATAGAAAAAGAAATTGACGTTTCAGAATTTCAAAGCCGGCAGTTGTGTTTTAGAATATTTCGTTTAATTCGTGTATAATTTCGTTTATTTTGTTTGTTGTTGTTGTTATTGTTATTTTATATCGTTTAAGTTTTCATTGCCGTTTTTGTGTTCGTTATATACCTATCGTTTTTTTTGTTTTTCCTGTATTTAAAATGCTGAAGATTTAATACGCTATTTTTTATATATTTTATTGAATTATTGTTGTTGTTAGTCTAGTAGCCAACTACAAGGTCTCCAGGATGCATAGTATAGGTGAAATCTATAATTATAAATTGGAGATTGCTGACTTTGATATGAATTGCTGGAGATTGCTCATTTTGTTGTAAACGTTTAAGGAGATTTAGAAAAATAAACAAAAAAATAATTGTATTTTTCTCCCTTTAATGGTTATACAATTAAACTATACAATCAATGTGGGAAAATTCTGAACTGGACCACATAAATCTGGAGTTTCTTCTAAATCTGGGACCAGGTTGCCTCGTGCAAAATTTTTAGTACAACAACTCATCATCTCCTTCCCACTATGCCCCGTAATGTTTTACTTGCAATGTTTTGACATTATCAGCCTTTTCTTGCTTTACCTTTACGTCTTATTATTGTATAATAGCACAAAATAAACAAGATAACTTTTTTTAAAACAATAAAACATAGATTTACCTATTTTAAATATATTTTTTAAGTGCAATTTACTGCAATAGAACTTAACAGTATGTACTAGTAAAAAAACACAATTTTGTATTTTAGAGATTTAATTTTAATTAAATCTCTAAAATACGTTATAACATCAAATTATAGGATATCAGGTGACACAAATTACTAATTTCTAATGGTGGAATTGGAGATTGTATACTTTGCTGCAAATCTATCAGTGGAGATTGTCGACTTTGCAATAAATGTCATTTTTAAAATAGGATTTTAGGCAGGATTTAGCTCCTTTTGCAGCACATAAACTTTATCATCTTATAGATAATCAGTTGAAGTATTTTTTGACCAAAAGTGGAGATAGGTTTTGCTATGATAGGCCTCATATGTTGGATACATAAAATAAGAATATATACTAGAGACTGACTTTAGATGGCAAAATTTCTGGGTTTTATAGCTAAAAATGTCTTTAAAAATGGCTAAAACATACTTTTGGCGGTGCATCATATAGGTTATAAAAACTTTGGTATTACAAGGTCCCAAATCTAGGGACCCTATGGTATTATTCATGTAAACGCCATCTATCGCCCTGTAGTTGCACTACCACTTTCACTTGATGCAATAATTTTATCATCACATTGACAACCGTGCCCGATCAGCTGATTGATGACGTTTACGTCGTTTCCTTATAAATTTACTATAGAAGAAGACTGATTTTGGTTGTTCCTGTAATTTGCCACTCAGGCCCTCTACTTTTCTTTAAAATAATTAAACAAGAATTGTGCACTTTTTTTATAATTTCATTTAATTTTTTTGGGAATGAAAATAATGTACAGACGCGATTGAATTTGTTTTTCTCGTGCCTGAAAAGAATAAAATCAAAATATTGCAAAAAATAAATGTTATGAAATGGGAAATTTCAACCTCTCAGGCACATGTTGATATTGTCCAATCAGCTTAAGATTATCAAAACACTGCATATTAATTTTATTTAGTAAAAGCATAGTAACTAATATTTAATTTACTTTGCCTTATAACCTTGTTAAATATATAAACACAATAAATAATTATTAGTTATCAATAATACAGTGCGCGTCAAAATTAACGCATAATAAGTAAAAAAATTCTAACTCTAAAACGGCTTTACCAATCTTTATAAAATTTTGGAACTTATATCTCAGTTTACTTGTTCAAGGGTTTTTCGAAAATATATCCTTAAAGCCCTTTTATTTAATAATAAAAAACGCTCAAAAAAAACTTTTATAAGGAATTTTTTTTAAGTAAATAAAAAATATGCTGTGAAATACCGTATATTTGTAAGTATAGGTACCCTGAAAATTTTGTACAAATCAAACAAACAGTAACGAAAATACAGCGCTTCAAAGTCGTCAAAAATGACCACTTTTCAGCAAAATAATCAAAAAGGGGTAATTTTTACCGACTTTGAAGCGCTGTATCTTCGTTACTGTTCGTTTGATTTGTACAAAATTTTTAGGGTATACTAACAAAAATACGGTCTTTAGCAGCATATTTTTTATTTACTTAAAAAAATTCCCTAAAAGTTATTTTTCGAGCGTTTTTTTATTAAATAAAAGGGTTTTAAAAATATTTTCTCGAAAAACCCTCGAACACGTAAACTGAGATATAAGTTGAAGTATTCTTATACAAAATTTCATAAATATTGGTAAAGGCGGTTTAGAGTTAAAAATTTTTTAGTTATTATGCGTTAATTTTGTACTATTATTATAATAGTACCTATAGGGCTTTCCATCTCAAATCAACCAGGCAGGTTGTTATTTTTCAGCAAAATTATTTTTACAATTTCTCTATTGAAATCGATGAGACCCGTATTTTTTCTTTTTGAAAAATGGACAGAAACATCGATTTTTCTCTTTTTACTAGCGATTTGTTCTTTAATATTACAATTTTTTTAAAAATTGTACGTTAATGTTTTCTACATCCAAAAAAATATAAAAAATGAAGTAAATTCACTCAATGTTTTGTTTTTTCTACAAAAGGCAAAAAAATTGAGTTCAAAATTTTGACATTGCCGCATTTTTTTACTTCATATTTTTTTCACCAAAAGTCCGAGTTTGCTAAATTCCTCTTTTCGAAATTATTATTTTTTAATGAAAATGCCATTTTCTAGTAAATTCGTGGTTCATGGCAAAAATTTGGTATTTGACATATTTAACATATTTTTGTCATTTCTGCTTTTACCGAAAATGCTTTTAAGTAAGTAAATTAAATTATTTTAGAGTAAAATGCAAATTCTTAATATTTTTGCATGTGTTACTTTTAAAATATGTAAAAATTATACGTAAGTTAATTTTGAGTAAAATAATAAAATATTTACCTAAAATTAATGAATTGAATGCACAAGAAACTTATAAAAACGCGATTTCTAAGAAATGTAGAACACAAGTATTAAGCTTAAGAGGTCCAGAAACTAATTCGCAGGGTAATTGTGTTTAAAAAATAACAAATTTTTATTTGAAATCATATTTCGTTTTTTTATTTATTGCCAGAGATTCCCTACAATGGCAACACTAACGGGCGGTTAGATACAACTTTTTATAATCATTACAAAATATTTGAATGATTTTATTTACTTAGTAGTACTAAAAACAAAAAAAATTGAGCAATTACTTACACCCCTTTGATTCTAACCACCTCAATTATTATTTTTATTTTACACACTTTAAAACCTAATAAACATTCAAATTTAATTAAGGATTTAAAAGCGATATTATTAAAAAATGCACTAATGGCATCAAATTAAAAAAAAGTGTATTTATTTTATGACCAATGAACCACCATTTAAAAAAAAATAGTTTTAAAATGAAGTATGGTTTTTCAATTTTTGCTCTTAAAAAGCAACATTGCAAAAAAAGAGTAAAATTGTATTTTTTCCAGACTACTTGGCCCAACATGAAGCAGAAAAGCTAATTCAATGCACTTTAGATATAAAAATAAAATTAATTGAAAAATTGACAAATGTATGTATTCAGAATTTTATTTTTAATCGAAATATGTAAAAATGCATAGGGTGTTTCATTAAAAAATAAAAAGTTAAGTGACAAAAATATGTTAAAAATGTCAAAAAGTTCTAAATTACACTTTATAAAGGTCACCCCAGTTTAATTAAAAAAATTATTCCGAAACGACGAATTTAGTCAACTCGGAATTTCGGTGAAAGTTGTTCCTATTATCAATTTTGACCTTAATTTTTTTGCCTTTTTTAGAAAAAAACAATTAAAAAAAATTGAGTAAATTCAATAATTTTTTATATATTTTTTGTAAAAACAAAACAAATTTAAGCAAAAAGAATCGATTTCGGTAAAGAAACTAAAAAAAAATTCGTTAAAAATAACTACCTAACCAAATAATTAACAGGTGTTTTTAAAAATAATGCGGATTCCTTCTTTTGGTTACTCTATTGTTGTGTAGATGTCGCTCTATATAAATAATTAAATTAATTATTTACAAATTATTTTTTACAATAATATTTGCCGTAGAAAAAGTATGGTATGCAACTCGTTTATAAATTTGATACATAATATGCAAGGTGAAATATTAAATGCTTAATAAAAACTCCAAATGCTCGATAAAAGTACCTTTAAAATTTATCGAGCAATTTTAGTTCAACCAAAGGACATTTTAAAAACAATTATTATTTTAAATTTTTTTTAACAACAAGGTATAACAAAAAACTTAAATGGATCAAAGAATGGAGAAAGAAAAAAATTGACTCCACAGAAAAAATATTCGGTTAGGTCAAAGTTAATAGTCCCATAAAGTATCGGCGTAAAATTCTATAAACATAAACTGGATTTAATTTATTTAATAGTCGATTATTTTAAAAATAACCGTTTTGTGAAACATATTATCGATTTGGCAACCTTGGAAAAGACTTAATGATGGGTTTGTAATTTCCAACTATATATACAGTCGACCAAACGTGTTATTGGTAAAACTAAATGGGGATTAAATTAAAAACGAGTTTGATACAATAATTGTAATAATTATAATAATCAATAAATAGAAAATGTATTTTTAGTAAGTTTATAATTACACATATACAAAACGGAAATAACCTTGGTCTGCCACCGCGGTGTTTTTTGTACCATGGTTCCGTTTATTATTTGTCTGGCCGACTGTTAGTTGCGGTATATTTTTTTGTTGTGAAGTTAAATACGTATTTATACCACAATAATAACCAGTTCGAAGAAGTGAATAATGGCGTAAACATCTAATTCCAGTGTTAGATTATTGCTAATGGATAATATGATTATCACTTAATATTAAATTAGTGTTAGTATAATTGAATTAAGTGTGTTAGTGAGACTCTACTAACTAATAAATATGAAGAGAAAGTTGCTGTTTCGTGTTTTGTTGGTTTTAATAGTTTTGCAAATATGTGACGGAAGACGATATGGTGGTGGTTCTTCTTCGAGAACAAGACCAAGCCCTTCTAGACCATCTTATCCGTCGCACCCCTCGCCTTCTAGACCATCTTATCCGTCGCATCCCTCGCCATCTTACCCTTCCCACCCTTCTCCTTCTATACCGTCTTACCCCTCACATCCATCACCTTCTATACCTTCGAGACCTTCATATCCTTCGTACAACCCCCCGTCACCCAACAGCGGTACCAACACAAACCCAAACACAAACAGTAAGCCCATAGGTTGGAATACACATGAAAGTCAACCGGTTGGACCTCCCAAAACCAACTTGCCGACCCAACAAAATTCCGGCAGCAGAACCCACGACAGCGTGTTGCCGGTGGCCACCCAGCAGAAAACTTCCGGTCTCGGTAACTCACCCCAAGGCCCCCCAATACAACCCGGCTACACCCAGGGCACGGCCAACCAACCCCCGCCGTACAACGCTGCAGGGCATTATCCGCAGCAGCAGTATCCGCCGGCTTATCCCGGTCACGCGTACCCGCCCGCTTATCCGGGTCACGGATACCCGCCGGCGTACCCGGGTCACGCTTACCCGCCGCCGGGATACCCGGGACACTACCCGCACGGAGGAGGACCGACCATAATCAACAACAACAATATCGTAGGCGGGGGCGGGTATGGCGGTGGTTACCCCTCGTACCACTACCAAAGCAGCGACACTGGAAGCGGCACTCTAGGGTTTTTCCTCGGTTACTCTCTGGCCAAAATAACCACTCCCACCTACCATTACTCGTCAAATTCCTACGACGGATACAGACCGCGTTACGATCACTACGAAGTGCACCATTACTACCACGGCAACAACGTCACGGTGATCGAGAAGGAGAGGGTGATAGAACCGAACACCATCACGGGTTGCGTGGGTGACAGCGGTAGCATCTGCCCCGCCAACACGACCTCCCTGTGCACCAATACGGGCGCCATTATGTGCGTGGCTAGCGCAACATCCGCCACAGCCTGCAAAGACGTCAAAGACGCGAACTGCATCAAGAGTACGGTGCCTTGCGTCGACAAAAATGCGCCGGGTTGCAAGGACAATCCGCAAAACACCACCACGGTGAACATCCCCTGCATATCCACGGCCAAGATCTACGGTAACATAACCTACGTCAACAACACCATCGTAGTGGAAAATGCCAACGCGACCATGAATGTAACGAGTAGCAACTCCACAATGTCGAGTAACGCGACTGAAACGACTACCTCAGCGCCAACCACAATACCCCCTCCAAACGTGAAACCCGAAGAGTTTTGCGTTACAATATTGGCACTACCTGCAGTAAGACAAGCTACGGAAGGTGAAAAAGTCTACAATGAACTAGAAAGTACAGTGACAAATTTCCTGGGTAAAGCCTTTGGGTTGTAGTCCAAGCATATGTGAATTATAAAATGTAATGTGATTGTATTTTAAATAAAGTGATTTATATTTTTACTTTCAATGTTTTTTACTGCTTAAAAGTATTATTTTTGAGTTTATTTGCAATTTAAGTCATGTCACATTTTCCAGCATATAATTTATCAATTAAATTACAAACAATTTGACAACAATGCAAAACGAGTATTTAATAGAAATCAAATAATATAATGCAACTAATAAATGTATTGACATCGATGTTTTTATCAATTTATATGGAAAAAACAATGATTCACCAAAATATGAAATACACTCAAAAGCAAAAATATTGTTTATTGTAGTTTCTGATTTTTGTGACTAATGAAATATAAATATTTTTTTTAATATAATTCTTAAAAGTTTTTAATAATCTAAAATATTTTTTTATTTATACAGGGCTTTGTATTTTTTGCACTTTTAAATCATACACACATTTTTTAGTATTTCCTGTATACAAATTAATACTAAATGTCAGGTTTATTTTCTTTTAGTCAAATTTGGAGGAGAGTAAATTTAGCACTTTTTATAAATCTTTTGTTTTGTTATTAACATTTAATTTTTTTTCAAAATTTTTAACAAAAACATAATGATTATGTTAATTCTAAGAAATATATTTTTATAAAAATTTCTACACTTAATATTGATTCGAATTTCTCTTTAGGTCTTCATAATTTACTTTCCCGACTGAAAATATAGTAAAATCTGTCGGCGCGTTTCAAAACAATAGTGTGTTGCGGTCTTAAATCGCACAGACTATACAGGGTGTTTTACATTCGTGGCCCGTTAGAAGTTTCTGGGAAACGGAAAAAGATATCGATTTGAAATTTTTAAAAGCGTTTATAATCCATTTAAGTCTGTTTTTAAAAAATATTTTGAACAAGTTGCCACTTCCGGTTTAACACCCCATATATTTTTACATTTTTTAAATTCTACATAAAATTCTGAGTAAAATTACCTTATCATGTCCTATACCTAAAGTGAATAATTTTCGAGTTAATAACACTGTGCGACAAATTTTGACCTTACAATTTGAACTGGGATGAAATGTGGAAAAATCGAATCTATGCAACCCCCAAAACTAATCTTTAAAGGGGTTTTGCTAGTTTAGCTCGAATAATGGAGATATACAGGGTGTTTATTTTAACTTGAGACAGCTCAATATCTCGAGAAATACGCATTTCACGGAAAAATGTCTTAAATAAAAGGTTAATGTGACCAAAGGTTAATGTGATCAGAGCCGACTATTGTTGATTTAATGTTAATTTTTGTTTTTCAAACGTTTCAAATAATACATTTTACAAGGAAACCCCTTTTTCTTAAATTTTGAATTACAGCGCCATCTGTTGATAAATTGAAAAAAACTTTCAAATAAAAGTTATTTATTTTTTTATGTACTACCAAACTCTGTGAAAAAAATCGGGTCATTCCATTTGACTTTCCAAAGTTACCCCCCGTTTCACCCTTAAGGAGGGGTAGGGGGTGGCTAGCGGTAGCACCAAATAATGTCCCCTTTAGTCACATTAACCTTTTATTTAAGACATTTTTCCGTAAAATGCGTATTTCTCGAGATATTGAGATATTGAGCTGTCTATTGTTAAGTTAAAAGAAACACCCTGTATATCTCCATTATTCGAGCTAAACTGGTAAAACCCCTTAAAGGATTTGTTTTGGGGGTTGTCTAGATTCGATTTTTTCAGATTTGATCCCAGTTCATTTTTTGTGTTACACAGTGTAATTTTTTCGTTAAAATTTGACAAATGCGCGTCTATTAAAAATGGCCTATAATTTGGAATCTAAATATTGTTTAAAAGATTCCATGCCAATTCTATAAACATGTTTCAACAAATTACCTGAGAAAACCCAGGGCAAATTAGGTCAAGTTGAAACTTTTTTAATTTAAATTCAATTTTTCATTTCAATTGATGTAACTATTCCCTATACCTAAAGTTAATAATTTCAGAGTTATTTAACAATTTCTAAAATTTTAAATATTATTTTATATCATGAAACCGTGTGACGGGTGAGTTGACGGTATCTATGGTTACCACGTAATCTGTCATTGTTAAAAATTTAATGGCGCCAATTTTTTAGGTTGTTATAAACAATTTATTGACTAATTAAGTGGTGTGTAAACAAAATTACTGATAAAAAATAGCAGTCAGTGACTTAAAAGAATATTGAGAAGCCAAACATTTTTCAAATTTAAAAAATAAAATACAAACAGCATTTGGTAATTTAAAAAAAAATCAACAAAGCTATATGATGGCAACTAGATGGAGCCCTAGCTCATTGGGGGCAATAAAGTATAAAATTTATTTTAGGAAATATTTTAATAACAAAAAGAATGTGTAACTGTAACAATTGTACATTAATGTAATAAACTAACAATATTTTAATTAACAATTTTTATTACCAATTGTTAAATTTAGGTATAAGGAATAGTTACATCAATCGAAATGTTTTTAATTTTCTATTTGATTATGTAAAAACATACAGGGTGTTACATTTTAAATAAAAAAGTTTCAAATTAGCCTAATTTGCCATCATTTTTCTAAAGTAATTTTCTGAATTGACCTGAAATCTTGTAAACAATGTTTTAAGATTACAAAAATTCCACCCCCATATGCGCAACATATGAACGACAAAGTTATTTTTGATTGTCATTTGTCAAATTTTAACGTAAAAAATTAATAACTCGAAAACTATTCACTTAAGGTATAGGACTTGGTTTATCTAGAATTCAAAAATGTAAACATATATCTGTACCTCAGAGCCATCAGGAGTTAAGTCCAAAAAGTTAATTATGCGTGGCGGCCATTTAAAGATGAGCCGGTGTTTTATTTTACTATATAACTTACAATTTTCCAATAAATGTACATTTATTGGAAAATTGTAATGTACATTTATTGGAAAATTGTAATGTACATTTATTGGAAAATTGTAAGTTATATCAAAGATTAAATATAGTATTATAGTATAGATTAAATATAGTATATTTAATCTTTGGTTATATAGTAAAATAAAACACCGGCTCATCTTTAAATGGCCGCCACGCATAATTAACTTTTTGGACTTAACTCCTGATGGCTCTGAGGTACAGATATGGGGTGTTCTATTTGAAATAACAAAGTTAATGTCACTTCCGGTCAAACCGGAAGTAGCATTTTGTTCAAAATATTTTATCTTTTGCCGTTCCCCAAAAACTTTTAATGGGCCACGAAATGAAACACTTAATTGAAATAAATATGACTTAATTTATGGTTAGTTCTTACCTATGTTACATATTGCAATTTTAATGAATCCTTTTTTTTAAATAAATATACATTTCTACAAAAATTCAAATTTTATTGGGGGATGTACAATTTTGTTAAATATAACTCAAAAATTATTTGAAAAAAATATATAAATATATAACACTTTTAAAATACAATCACAGTATTTATTATATACTATAGGTACTTAAGAAGTACCAAGGGATTTGCCCAGGAAATTTGTCACTGTACTTTCTATTTCATTGTAGACTTTTTCACCTTCCGTAACTTTTCTTACTGCAGGTAGTGCCAATATTGTAACGCAAAACTCTTCGGGTTTCACGTTTGGAGGGGGTGTTGTAGCTGGCGCTGGGGTAGTCGTTTCAGTCGCGTTACTCGACATTGTGGAGTTGTTACTCGTTACATTCATGGTCGCGTTGGCATTTTCCACTACGATGGTGTTGTTGACGTAGGTTATGTTACCGTAGATCTTGGCCGTGGATATGCAGGGGATGTTCACCGTGGTGGTGTTTTGCGGGTTGTCCTTGCAACCGGGCGCATTTTTGTCGACGCAAGGCACCGTACTCTTGATGCAGTTCGCGTCTTTGACGTCTTTGCAGGCTGTGGCGGATGTGGCGCTAGTTACGCACATAATGGCGCCCGTATTGGTGCACAGGGAGGTCGTGTTGGCGGGGCAGATGCTACCGCTGTCACCCACGCAACCCATGATGGTGTTCGATTGTATAACCCTCTCCTTTTCGATCACCGTGACGTTGTTGTCGTGGTAGTAATGGTGCACTTCGTAGTGATCGTAACGCGGTCTGTATCCGTCGTAGGAATTCGACGAGTAATGGTAGGTCGGAGTGGTTATTTTGGCCAGAGAGTAACCGAGGAAAAACCCTAAAGTACCGCTTCCGGTGTCGCTGCTTTGGTAGTGGTACGAGGGGTAACCACCGCCATACCCGCCCCCGCCGCCCACGATGTTGTTGTTGTTTATTATGGTGGTCCCTCCTCCTTGCGGGTAGTGTCCCGGGTAACCCGGCGGCGGGTAAGCGTGACCCGGGTACGCCGGCGGGTATCCGTGACCCGGATAAGCGGGCGGGTATGCGTGACCGGGATAAGCGGGCGGATACTGCTGCTGCTGCGGATAATGCCCTGCAGCGTTGTACGGCGGGGGTTGATTGGCCGTGCCCTGGGTGTAGCCGGGTTGTATTGGGGGGCCTTGGGGTGCGTTCCCGAGACCCGAAGTTTTCTGCTGCGTGGCCACCGGCAACACGCTGTCGTGGGTTCTGCTGCCGGAATTTTGTTGGGTCGGCAAGTTGGTTTTGGGCGGTCCAGCCGGTTGACTTTCATGCGTGTTCCATCCTATGGGCTTACTGTTTGTATTTGCGTGCGTGTTGGTACCGCTGTTGGGTGACGGGTGGTTGTACGAAGGATAAGAAGGTCTTGAGTGCGATGGAGGTGATGGTATAGAAGGTGATGGATGTGAGATGTAAGACGGTCTAGAAGGCGATGCGTACGATTGATAGGAAGGTCTAGAAGGCGAAGAGTGAGACGAATAAGATGTTCTAGATCTCGAAGAGGAACCACCACCATATCGTCTTCCGTCACATATTTGCAAAACTATTAAAACCCCGAAAACTCTAAACAGGAACTTTGTCTTCATGTTTACAGTTTCTCAAACAAACTGATTTAAAATTATGTTTATCCACAAATTTAGTATTAACTGATTAGCATGTTTTCAATGGCAGAGGTCAATAATTTATCTATAACTGGAATTATACATCTGTATTAACAGTATTATTATGAATATATAATAAGATTAACATAAATAACAAATCGAAGTTAATTAATTTTTTCAGATAAAACAAGTTTATAACCAAAATGTACATTTAAAGCTACTATTGTTTTCTATCATCTATAAGTTGCAAACAATTGATTTTACGTCAATTTTGGACATAATGAAACTTGTTCCTAATGCAAATGTGCTTAAAAATGTTCCCATACAAAATTTAGTTATGACTAATATGAGGCTGCAAAAAATCTGATCTTTATAAATAAATGTAATATCAAATATAGTTAGAGATCTTCAAAAAAAACGGTCCGTTTTTTGTTTTTTTTTTAGGTTTTTTCATTGTTTTTTTTTCAAATGTTTTTTTTTTCATATTTTAGTTTTTTTTCAAGATTAGTCCCATTTGCCTAATTTTTTATGTGTCCAGTCCAGTTCGCACGCGCCACCACCACCGAATTGTAACTACATATAATATTTTTGATTCAGCGCTTGATTTTTCAAAAAGCTACCAAAAGCAATTTTTTTATGATTTTTCAAATTCATGTAGAGTATTTTTTTTTTCATAAAAACAATAGCAAATTCTTGTAGAACATTTATTCATTGGTGGTTTAGTTAGAACATTCCGTGGACCAAAAAAGAAAGCCAAAAAAATTACGAATTTTTTTATTACGGTATTCGTTAGGATTGAGCAAAAAAAATTTTTTATCCTTTTTTCTATTAGTGTAGAAGTTTTACACTGCTATTGGTTTCTTATGTGGAAACTACCAAATAATAAGAAATCAGATTTTTTTGTCTCGGTCAAAATTTTCAATAATGAAAAATGTAATATATTCTACATTTCACTTTATTATTAATATAGGTACCTACATTTTACTCAAAATTTCATTTTGAAAAATTACTCCATTTTTTAAGATTGATGTTGTTTATTTACAGAATATGCTTTATTGCAGCGAATTTGAAAAAAAAAAGTTTTTTTTTTAGTTTTTTTTTCATGTTTTTTTCACATCTGAAAAAAACCTTTTTTTACATCTCTAAATATAGTACTAGTAAACATATTTTTTCTACTCCCACATTTAAAACACCCATTATAGTACATGTTTCCATGACACTAAATAACCTTTTAAATATTGACAATAATATTAAATGGGAAAATTATTTTATTATCTCAATATAAAATTATTAAATAGTTTCTTGACGCCAATATTTGAAAAGATTATATGAACGTTTGTACTGACCTTTTGATTTCGCTGTAGTACACAGCAAAAGAAAAAATAAAAATGTATTGGATGACGTCACCTTTGAATACAATTTTCTAAACCCTCGCCACGGTATAGAGTTGTATTCGTCAGTCGAGCGTTTCAATACTCTCCACAGTAAGGAGGTCGTAATTTGACTTTTGAACTAGTATATGAAAATTCCACACCTGTAATTTTTAACCAATCAAAACGTGTATTTTTGATAGATCACCATGGCAACGGTTGAATTTTAGTGGAAATTTTTTAACTAGTATATGAAAATTCCACACCTGTAATTTTTAACCAATCAAAACGTGTATTTTTGATAGATCACCATGGCAACGGTTGAATTTTAGTGGAAATTTTTTCCTCGTGGGTACCCAACAGCGAATTATACTGGAAATTTTTTTGACGTTTATAATGACAGAATATTTTTTTGACAATCTGGTTTTTATTTGTTTACATGATAATTTTGATACATTTCCATTACAAATTTTAGATGTTTTCTATATTCGTTGCCCTATTAAAAATGCCATATACAAACACAAAATAAAAATCTATATGGTTCTATCTGGTTCAATATAGGAATTTGAAACAGGCATTGCACTATTGAACCAGATAGAATTCCATACCTGGAAAACCATATAGAAAAGTGATTTCTATATGGATTGCCATATAGGTTCATATTGCTCTATCTGGTCCAATATGGTTTGGGTGTGAAAAAAATTATTACCATATAGATCCATATTTAACCATATAGGGGAATCTATATGGTTTAATATGCAATTTTCGTTTAAATATATATACATTTTAAAATGGAATTCCATATTCAACCATATAGGGAAACCTATATGGAAAGACACATAAAACAGAAACCAGATAAATCCATATAAAAATCCCTAAGTTGTACATTTTAAAATGAAATTCCATATTAAACCATATATATTCCAAAGTGTAAACCAGGTCGTTCCATATAGGACATATAGAACCATATAAATCCATATTAGTTTCCTTATCTGGATCAATATGGGTTCTATAGGGCATTTTTAATAGGGTGGACACCTCCTTTCTTCTTAATGGCGAAAATGCAGGACTTGAAATAAATTAAATGTCTATGTCTAATGAAATATATATAATATTTAGACACTATTCTATTCACCTTTTTTTCCATTTAGCACTTTGAGTTTTGAATAGTTAAGATGCAAATATTCGTGAACAATTCAAAACAAATTTTCTTTCTTCAAGTAGGAGCCACAATCCTCTAATAATGCGGGTAAATAAGTCATTGCACGATGATTGATCATTATAGCAGACAATTTCACATTTTTTTTACGTCGTGCCGCTTGACAGCTTCAAAACTGAAATAACTTTTAGGTTGGGGTTGACTTAGTTGCCATGGTAACTAAATAATCAAGTCGAGGTCAAGTTAAATCAAAAAATAAATTTTAATTATTTAAACACAATTTGGTGTGGAATTTTCTTACCGAATACCACACGAGGTCAAATTATTTCCGGAAATTTTTTCTCCCTCATGAATATTTTTAGAAAATTATCCCTCGTCTTCGACTCGGGATAATTTTCAAAATATTCATGAGCTCGAAAAAATTTCCGGAAATAATTTGACCTCTAGTGGTATTACTAGTGAAAATTATTTTATGCTTGAAAAAAAACTATATACGACATGATTGTGATTTTTTTCATTTTATTAATTAATTAAGCTGTGTTGAATATTTTTCCTAAAGGAATAATTGCCAATGGGCCATTAATTCATTTGTTCGTAGATGCTACACTGGTTTGTACTTTTTGATCAACCAGATTTAAATATTGCTGTACTAACATATACCAACAGACCTCATTACTAAATTAATAAAGTTTAATAGCATATCGATCGTTTTTTCAACATAACCTCTGAAATTTTTAATACAAATATAGATAGGTACTTTATATAATACATAAATATGCTTTACATCATATCCTCTTTGCTTTACATACCTGAGTTGTTGCGGTAAATAAAAATCAGACAAAGGAACCAAAGAAAGGAACTGTTTTCAACAATATCATATGCAGAAATGAGAATATTTAAAATACTTACATCCATCAAAAGATCAAAACTTCTTGCAATATTGAATTACACCCTCTTTTATACTCTCAGAAATATTGACCAGAACAGTATTAGGGAGACTCCAGTTTCTATAACTTGGTAGATTAAAGAGAAGTCGAAACCGTTGCGATATTGCATTGCGCTGTTTTTTTTTTAATTCTCGGGGACATTAACGAAAATCATTGCCAGTAAAATTCGAAAAGTGTGAGTTTCTATGTTTTTGAAGAGAATAAGAATCCAAAGTTGCTGAACCATTGGACTGAACCCTTTTTCAATAATTTCTAGAGACATAAATGACTGCACCATTCGACAGGGTCGAGTTTCTACCTCTCTGTTGAATATAGCAAATCAAAATAATGTATCTTGTGAGTTTGACTTTAACTATAGTCGTGCATAGGTATAGAGGCGAAAAATATAAAAACAAAACATGATTCAATACAGTTCTGATAAAACTTTAAGATTTAGTATTCAAACGGGGAGTCATCCTATACACTTCTATATTTTTCCGTTTGCTGTGTAGTGCAACATTCTCTACTCTTTTACTGTGAAAAACTGCTTTGATTTACACAGAAAAATTTGAGATTTTAACGCCGGTAAATTCCCAAGTTAGAAATTCTAACGGGAACTTCAATAAATGCAACTGTCATTTTTGTACCTTTAACATTTTCCGTGTAAGAATTTTTAATACTTTTTGATAATATTTAAGTATAAAATATTTTTTTAACTTTAATATTAACATTTCAATATTTTAAAGTATCAATAATTGTTATGTTTAATTAAAATAATAACGGGCAATGTTTATGGTGAGAATTACGTCAAAAATGTTTATTGGGATGGTTACTTTATTTTCGTAAAGATGTCGCTTTGTACAAATATTTAATTTAAATAATTTTTTTGATAATATTAAGTATTTGTCGTAGAAAAAGTATAGTTTGCAACTCGTTTATAAACTTTTCTGGGCATTCATTAAATTAAGCAATATTAAAATCTATTACAATAATTTAATTTATTTTATTTTTAGACGAAAAAATCACCGTCAACGAGGCCATCGAGCCAGACCGGCCTGCAGGTGAAATTAGGGCTGAGCCCTACAGTTTACCTGATGGTTTCTCATGGGACACTCTTAACCTGGACGAGCCCCTTGTACTGAAGGAACTGTACACTCTGCTGAACGAAAATTACGTAGAGGACGACGACTGCATGTTCCGATTTGACTATCAACCTGAATTTTTGAAATGGTGAGTAAGTTTTTCAACCTAATGTTGTAAAATATACAGAATGTACACTAGGGTGATGCAAAAAAATTTTTTTTTTGAATTCTATGCGAGACCACTCGGGATTTCAAAGAGTATCTAAAAAATAAAAATCTGTAAAAATTTGAGAGAAATCAATTAAAATTTAGAGGTCGCTCAACGCAATTGTTTAATTTAGAAAAATCACGCATCTCAAATGCATTGCTATAAACAAGTAGGCATATTTCATACAAATTTGAATGAAAATGGTTGATTTTTTTTTGTTGGACTCTTAATGATTATTCTAATAAATAATAATGTCCCGATTTCAAAAAAATTTTCATAATATTTAAAAATATATATATATTAATTAGCAAATATAGCTTATTTAACAAATAATTCATTCAATTTTTTTTTGTTTCAAAATCTGTAAAAACATTGTTAATATGTCTACAAGTAATTATTCATTTACAAAAACACTCGCCCCCATCGTTAAATATGAGAAAAAAAATAATATTTTAATTAACTACACTTCGCGTCAAATTTAACGCAACACTAAAAGTTTGTCACATTTTCAAAGTTGATTTTCTCGCGAACCGTCAAACCGAATTTGGTAATTTTTGTTTTAAAATTGAGGTTTATTCTTTGGTTATGATGCCTTTATTAAAAAATTCTTTTAAATTTAAGTTTTGAGTATATACATATATAACCGTCAAACCGAATTTAGTGATTTTTATAATAAATTGTAGGTTTATTCTTCGGTAATAATGCGTTTATTAAAATATTTGTTTAAATTAACATTTTGAGTATATATAGGGTGCAAGTGTAATAATTAGTTTTTTTCCAGAAATTTGAAACGCCCTGTTGGTTGTACCAGCTATAACAGCATATGTCTCTTACAATCAAACTATAGCCCCATGTTCTATTAACATTTTGTATTTTTATTTTTATTTATTTTTTTGATACATTTGATACATTTGATACAAATTTATCTTTATTTTTAAATGAAATATACATTTAAAGATTAAGGTACCATGATAAGTGTAAGATATATCGAGGACATTTTATTTGAGCATGTTGTCCCTTTCGCCCGGTAATAATTTTTTACTGATGCAGGATAATGCTATATAGTGCAAGAGTACTTACATGAGGTGGGTGTTAAAACTGGCCTGCAAATAGTCCGGATCTCAACACCATTTGTGGGATAATATGGGTAGACGACTAAGAAATCATGATTCCTTGCCTGCCTCCCTTGATAACGTAGCAAATATGCTACGAGAAATATGAAATGTCATTGATCAAGACGAGATTAGACATCTGGTTTCGAGTGTAAGCCGTCGATGTAAAGCCGTAATTAGAAGTAGAGGCAGAAATATGCGATATTGATATTCTTTAATGTTGGTTTTATTGATTTTGTTAATATTTTTGTTGTTATTGTTACAATCGTTCTTTTTACATTTTTGTATTAAACTGGAGTTCTTTAATCTTTAACTGTATATTTCATTTAAAAATAAAAATAACGCGGTGAATCAAAAAACAAAATGTTAAGAGAAGATGTGGCTATAGTTTGATTATAAGATACATATGCTGTTATAGCTGGTACAATCCACAGGGCGTTTTAAATTTCCGGGAAAAAACTTTATATCACTCTTGCACCCTGTATATACTCAAAATGTTAATTTAAAAAAATATTTTAATAAACGCATTATTACCGAAGAATAAACCTACAATTTATTATAAAAATAACTAAATTCGGTTTGACGATTCGCGAGAAAATCAACTTTGAAAATGTGACAAACTTTTAATTTGACGCGAAGTGTAGTTAATTAAAATATTATTTTTTTTCTCATATTTAACGATGGGGGCGAGTGTTTTTGTGAATGAATAATTGCTTGTAGACCTATTAACAATGTTTTTACAGATTTTGAAACAAAAAAAAAATTGAATGAATTATTTGTTAAATAAGCTATATTTGCTAATTAATATATATATTTTTAAATATTATGAAAAATTTTTTGAAATCGGGACAACATTATTTATTAGAATAATCATTAAGAGTCCACCAAAAAAAAATTCAACCATTTTCATTCACATTTGTATGAAATATGCCTACTTGTTTATAGCAATGCATTTGAGATGCGTGATTTTTCTAAATTAAACAATTGCGTTGAGCGACCTCTAAATTTTAATTGATTTCTCTGAAATTTTTACAGATTTTTATTTTCTTGATACTCTTTGAAAACCCGAGTGGTCTCGCATAAAATTCAAAAAAAAATTTTTTTTGCATCACCCTAATGTACACGGATATGGGTACAAGGGGAAAAAAGGTATTTTATATTTTTCAGCAAATTTTATTCTTGATAATCCTAAATTTCATTTTGGATCTTTAAAAATAGCTTTTAATAATTTATATTTTTTGATTTTTAGGGCGTTGCAACCCCCTGGCTGGAAAAAAGAGTGGCACTGTGGTGTTAGAGTTGTGAAAAGTGGTAAATTAGTGGGTTTTATTTCTGCAATACCCGCGACACTTAACATATACAAAAAGTAAGTACGTAGGCAGATAAAATACAGGTACAGACATGTCCATATAAGTAATTTTTTGTTCAAATGTAGAGATTCATTAAAAGTAAAAATTAAGTCCATTAAAAAAATATATTTTTATCTTATTAGGTATCCATCTATAAATTGCAATTTAATAATATTTTTTACAAATACTATTTATCTTAATTTTTATTATTATTTTAACAGGATGTACAATTAATAAATTTAAATAATTACTCACATATTTATTATCTCAATTATTTTAATGTTTTGCATTATTTCACGGAAGTCAAATTATAATAATATTGTAATCTTTTTAATAATTTATTATTAACAGTTTATTTGTCTAGAAAATATGCGTTATTACAATAGTTTTGATAAAAACATGAATTAAAATATTAAGATGCGTTATAATAGTACATTATGTGTCAAGTTTGATAAACGCAATTTTTATATGATAGTCAGTGATTTGTCAAACAAAATCGATAAAACCATAAACGGACTGTTCTTTCTCAGAATTTTAGAATATTTATCTTTATCTACTCCTACATTGACAAGCTGTGACTTTATGGCATTTTAGTCACGGGTTAAAGTTAGAAACATTGGTTTTTAAGCTTTTTAGTCACGAGCTGAAGTTGGATTTTTTAAATTGAGAAAAAGTAAGGTTAAATTCGGGTGACAGATGTCAAATTTTTAACAAATAAAATTGTCGTAAATACAGCATATTATGCAACTCGTCTATAAACTTCTCTAGACACTCGTTTTTATTAAACACTCGCTCGTGGCGTTTATAAAACTTGATACATACTACCTATTAAGAAACAATATGGAATTTAGAAAACTTTTAAAATATCAAAAATACATTTTTAAGAAGGTCAATGGGGTTGGGACATAATATATAAAATCAATGATAAACAACTTCTTTTATAGAGATTAGTCACTAAAAACAACTATACCGTTGAAATCCCGATTTTTGGCAATTTTTTTCTTAAAAATTACTAAAAATCGATAAATTGGACGTCACGATATTGTAATATAAATGTTATATTAGGCGTGTCAAGTTTTACGAATGGGGAATTCCACGTCAAATATAAATTTGTCTGAATTTGTTTTATCCTTTTCCAACCCACTAAAGAAGTTTATCAATTTTTTTTTCGAATTTTTTTACCCAACCAAAATACGAATCGAATACCCGTAACTTTTTTGAAAATTGACTAAATGTGCGGTTTTTTTTAATTTTTTATTCTTCAATGCATTTTTTACAAATTAATATTTTATGTCAAATCTATAAAAAATGTAATTTTCGCGTTTTTTAATTTATAAAAAAATAAAAAAATTCTTGGAAAATTTTTGTGGGGTAAAAAAATATAAAAACAATTTCATCCAGGTCGGGTTCAAAAGTAGATGATTTGACGTCGACCAATTTTTTATATCCTTTTTTCTACTTTCACTTTTAAAACGCCCTTTATCGTACATGTTTCCATGACACTAAGTGATCTTTTAAATACACAGTTGTGGCTTTACGGCGCTTTAGTCACGGGCTGAAGTTAGCAACAGGTTTTTAGTCACGGGCTGAAGTTAGTTTTAAGTTAGTTGACAGTTGTCAAATGTCATACAATCGTTAAAATAAAGTGCCTTTCTTGTAAAATAATACTAAATGTGAAAATTATTTTATTACTTATCTCAATACATAAATATTAAATAGTTTCTTAACGCCAATATTTGAAAAGTTTATATGAACATTGTACTGACCTTTTAATTCGGGCACGGACTCCACTGAACTGTAAATTTTCAAGATACATTTTGATTTATAACCTTTATAATTGTGTTTATAAAATGTAAAAATGTGAATCTGAATGTGACATTTGACAGTTTCCCCTGTTGTTTCATAGATGGCGCTCTATACAAATTTTTGATTTAAGTCATTTTAAGATAATAATAAGTATTTGTCGTAGAAAAAGTATAGTATGCACCTCGTTTATAAACTTTTCTATACACTCATTAATTTAAGCACTCGCTCGCAAGCTCGCTCGTGCCTAAATTAATTTCGTGAATAAAATGGCGTTTATCAAACTTGATACATAATACACTATTATAGTCCTAATTGCATTTTTGCGGGAATATTAATGTATTTTGAACTTTAAAATTGATTTAAAAAAATGACTTGTCAAAATAAAATTTTTGGACTTGTACTGCTCTTATTCCGATTCAATTTATTTTTTGCATTCATATCAATATTTCAAAATTCTGTGTAAATTTCGAATCGATTTAAGCTGAGAAACTTTAAATTCTGGAAAATATTAATTTGTCTTTTCTCCGTCTGCACTTAACCTATAAAATGTTTTATAAAATTCCAAAAACCTATTGATTTTCTCGACCGATCAAATGTACAATATTTCTCGAATCGAATCTAGCACCGCTAGAGATGCGACTTGAAAAAAAAATGGTCCGTTTTTTTTGTTTTTTTTTCATTTTTTAGTTTTTAAATGGTTTTTTTCACATTTTAGGTTTTTTTTCAATATTAGTCCCATTTACCTAATTTTTTGTTTCCAGTCCAGTTCATGGACTAAAATTAGTCACTAAATGACAATTAGTAAATGTAAATACAGTCTCGCGCTATGCACGCGCCACCACCACCGAATTGACCAATAAGGGCCGCACTTGATTTTTCAAAAAGCTACCAAAAGCACTTTTTTCATGATTTTCCAAATTCATGTAGAGTATGGATTTTTTTTAAACAATAGCAAATTCTTGTAGAACATGTATTCATTGGTGGTTAAGTCAGAACATTCCGTGGACCAGAAAGCCAAAAAAAATTCGATTTTTTTATTACGGTATTCGTTAAAGGATTGAGCGTTGCACGTTTTTCATCTAAAAATCTCAAAACTAGAAACTTCAAGCTTCATATTGCTTTTTTTACGACCATTTTTAACAAAGATTTCAAGAATCGCAAAACATTTTTTTATCCTTTAATTTTTTGTATTAGTATAGAAGTTTTACATGTGGAAACTACCAAATAATAAGAAATCAGATTTTTTAGTCTCGGTCAAAATTTTCAATAATGAAAAATGTAATATATTCTACATTTCACTTTATTATTAATATACATTTTACTTAAAATATCATTTAAAAAAAAAAACAAAAAAACCGTTTTTTTTCTAGGTTTTTTTCATGTTTTTTTTTCACATCTGAAAAAAAACGATTTTTTACAGGGTACCCATTCACCTGGAAAACAGGGAAAACCTGGAAATGTCAGGGAAATTAAATATTAGTAAAAAAGTCAGGGAAAAGTCAGGGAATTTGCTGAATTTTACGAAAAGTCGGAATTTAACTAATTTTTACGAAAAGTCAGGAAATTTAATAAATTTTTCTTGATTTTTTCGAAAATTGTTTCTATTTTTATTACCGGCCGAAGATTATTTTTTACAAATAATATAGCCGGGCATTGAAACTAAAATAAATCATTTGCGCAAATACTATAATTATATTATATATATTAATATAAAATGTATGACCTTATAAACTAAGTTTGTTTCCTTTCAAATTTTTTATGAATGTTCTGTTTAATTTTTTTATTATATTTTAAGAAATGTTAAAAAAAAATTGTAAAAAGAAAAATAAAATATATTTTTACTTTACTATGCTCCACACCTTAAATTCCCACCACGTGACCACGTACGGAACGCAGTCTTTTGAAAATTTGGCATTTAAGGCTTTTCAGGTTATGTATCTGTCAAAGTCAACGAAAGAAATAATATTATGTTTAGGCGTTAAAAATGTATAAATCTTTATAACATTACAATAACAATGGATGGTTTAAGAATTTAAGAATATAAATACTGCATTTAATGAAATTCTAAAGTGTATGGTGCCAAATAAGTAATATTTTTGTGCATTTTGTCCAAATATCTGGTTTTCTCCATGAAATAATTTTAACTAAACAGCATTTATTTAAAAAAATCTAGCTTCTCTATTATGGAATAAGAATATCTGTATTAAAGGTAGGTTAATATATTATAACAAAAATATCATCTAATTTTGTAATTTTAAGGTTAGAAAAATTTATTTTGACCAAAATAAATAAGTATTTTGGATTATTTAAAAGACTGTATAATATGGTATTTAAAAATGTGGTAGTTTTTCTTATCCAGCTTAAAGTGTACCTACATAAAGTTTTGTCAATACAAATAGTTAAAAAGCTTCGACTGAATTTGATCTACATCAAAAAATCATTATAACTTTAAAATTTTTAATAAATCACATGTCATGGGAGTATTAAATATTATCACATTGCAAGTTTCTCTAAAAATTGTTTGTTTTCTTATAATCTACATAACTTAAAGTAGGTATGCCGAGAGGTATGCACAAGTTTTGTCATTAGAAGTATAAGAGCTTCATTTTAATTTGAACCATATTCAACAATTATTTAGTATACCTATATTTATTTATGACCAAATTAACACACTCTTCCAAGTAATCCACTTATTTATTTTGGTCAAAATAGATTTTTCCAACCTTAAAATACAAAATTAGATGAAATTTTTTGTTCTAATACATTAACCTAGGTTTGATGCAGATATTCTTATTTCATAATAGAAAAGTTAGATTTTTTTTAATAAATTCTGTTTAGTTAAAACTATTTTATGGAGAAATGTAGACCCAATGCACAAAAATATCACTTATATTGCACCTTACACTTTGAAATTTCATTAAATGCAGTATTTATATTCGTAAATTCTTAAACCAACCATGTTATTGTGATACTATAAAGATTTATTAACTTTTAACGCTTAAACATAAGCGGTAACACCATAAATATTATTTCTTTCATTGACTATACTTTGACAGATACATAACCTGAAAAGCCTTAAATGCCAAATTTTCAAAAGACTGCGTTCCGTACTTGGTCACGTGGTGGGACTTTGAGGTGTGGAGCATAGTACCTATAATTATTGCTGGAAATTGATGAAAATTGGTCTGGAAAACCTGGAAAAGTCAGGGAATTTTGTTTCATTTTACATCTCTAAGCACCGCTCTGCTCTATTCCAGAACGCAAAAAATGGTCGAGATAAACTTCCTGTGCGTGCACAAGAAGCTGCGCAGCAAACGCGTCGCGCCCGTGCTGATCCGCGAGATCACCAGACGCGTTCATCTCACCGGGCTGTTCCAGGCCGTGTACACTGCCGGCATCGTGCTGCCTAAGCCCGTGAGCTCGTGCACGTACTGGCACCGGTCGCTGAACCCGAAGAAGCTGATCGAGGTGAAGTTCTCGCACCTGTCGCGCAACATGACGATGCAGCGCACGCTCAAGCTGTTCAAGCTGCCCGACAAGCCCAAGACGCCCGGGTTCAGGCGGATGACGCAGGAGGACGTGCCGCAGGCCCACAAGTTGCTCGTCGAGGTGAGTACGATTTTTTGCATTAGTGCCATTTAAAAAAAAAATTCAACCTACACCTCGCCAAAGTTTTTTGTTTTGAATGCATTCCACCAACTTTAAATACCGACAGACAGCTGTTTCGACCTATATTGGGTCTCATCAGTGTCGGGCAACTTGGTGTAGTGGAACACACCCAAAACAAAGGACTCCCTGAGCTTATATACTTGGTTGGTAACCCAACAGAGGCGAGATGTAACATCTACATCTCGCCTCTGTTGGCTTACCAACCAAGTATAACACAGGTCTGCAAAAAAAATTTTTATCCTTTGTTTTCATACATGATAACATTATATTTGGTGCTCTAAACACGGAATTTAACATCAAATGAATACAGCACATATTTTGTGAAATTATTATATGGACACAATTTATGTCCATTTAATAAAAAACGATATTATTAAAGTAACAACAATTACAAAAAAGTGAAAAAATACTATGGTTACATAAGTTTTACATAAACTACACATAAAATACTTAACAAAAATATATAGAATATGATCTTTGTACAAAATTTGATATAGAGCGTAAACAATTGCAATTAAAAGACAAGTTTTCAAGTGCTGTAAAGTCACAGCGAATACTGCGAAAGCGCATACATACTACCATAAAAATCACTTTTGGTACTTTCCTTCTTTCAGCAAAAAATGTCAAAATTACAAAAAAACGTCAAATTTAAAATGAAGGTGACCCATCAATAATATTAAACGGTGCGCGCCAGCAGTTAGCAACTGGCACACACAAAAATTACTAAGTGAATGATTTTATTTTCATAATTTCGTAAAAAACGTTTTAAAACGGAAATTGTTACAGCTCTTGGTAAACAATACGCAAATGATTGATATTTTTTTTATAGCACATCAGAATTACGCCTTAAAACCAAATTTAACAGCAGTAACTTTACAATTCATAGTTGGTGATGCTGACGTCATTATATCGCATTGATGACGTGAACCCATACAGATTTGCCGGCGACTATACAATTTATATTTTATTAAAAATAGATACACTTTTTCTTTTCGTACGTTTAAACGAATTTTCGTAGCACTTTTTCCACCCAGGTGGAAGTACTATGCTCCACACATCAAAGTCCCACCACGTGACTGATAAAAATACTGAAGGTTAATTTTCTGCTAGTGTTAAGCTAATTTCCTTTTATTTTCTTAAATTAATGCAATAAATGTATTTATCTACTGCTACATTGACGAGCTGTGACTTTATGGCGTGTTAGTCACGGGCTGAAGTTATCAATAGTGGCTTTTGGGCATTATAGTCACGGGTTGAAGTTAGCTTTATTTTAAATAATAAAACTCGTAACTAAAATGGCGTTTATAAAACTTGATACATAATACACTATTTTTGTGTTCTAAATTAAGACTTTTATACACAAAAAAATACGTTTCTCGATTTTTATGTAAGAATGTCATATTCTCGCACGCAAAATCGTTGAAGAATGAAGCTCATTCTTAAACGATTTTTGGTAACATTTAGTTTTTAAGTATTGGTACCCCCAAAATGTCAAACTGTTTAATAACCTCAAATTCATTACTTTTAGGATTATTTATAATAGCTTTGTTTGTTATCCTGCACTAGTGCAACCTGAACTACACTTTTATTGAAAATGAAGCCTTTATTATTGTTTTGTTATATTAAGTTTGCTCCAACAATGCATTTTAATGCAAAATTTTAAGTTTAATGTGAAAAAGTGCAGTTCAGTTGTACTTGTGCAGGATAACAAATATTGACAAATAAATGAGCCAGACAGGTCAATCAAACTATATTTTATTGGAAATATTATATACCCACAGTACACAAAACACAAAACTACTATAAATTAATCACTAGCACAATTGTTATAAACTTTTATTGTAATGTTCAGTGTTGCTTGTAAAACCTCCTGTGACATTTTTCACTGCTAAAAGTAAACACAATTGTTCAAAAATATCAGAAAACATTAAAAAATAATACAATACTTACACAAAACCTTATTATCCAGTTGACAAATACAGACAGATTATTAATAAATAGCAAATAAAAATAAATCTACCTGTCCATGCCAACTGACATTTTGCAAGAAAAATCCCCCAACTAACAACGACCACAAAACATTTAAAAAAACCTAAATAAAAGTTAAAATCGAGAAAATAGTATAAATCACACGTTGCAGAAGGCTATTCTCGCACTCATTCGTTCGTCCACTCGCTCCTTCGTCGCTCGAGGCCAAATTTCGAATTCGTGCGAGAATATGTGGCCTTCTGCAACTTGTACTTTAATATAAAAAAAAATGGGACGAAATTAGCTTGACACTGACAAAAAATTAACCTTAATTGTTTCTATCAAAGTCACGTGGTGGGACTTTTATGTTTGGAGCCTAGTACCTTCATACCACGCCTTTTTTTAAATTTCCATTTCCAAATTTTTTATTTTTATTTTTTAAATTTATATACAGGGTGTAAAGAAAATAACGGATAAACTCTTCAGTGCGTTGTAATATAATTAAATATCTCGGCAACCCGTAGCACAAATTTAAAAAACGAAGCGCCATTTTAAAGATTTATCACAACATACCCCTTCACATTAAAAAAAATAAGGGTGAATGCCGCTCCCGGGGTTGAAGTAACAGTGATGAAATTAATGTTTAAATATATTCCCCTGAAAACAAAAGTATACGTTTTACTGTTTTTGATGGGCCACCCTATATATGTATACTTTTATTTAAAATTATAAGTTATAATGTCCTACGCATTGCAAGAGAAAATTGACATGATAAGCTGGTCTTTAGTGGTCAATTTTCTATGTCAAACAAGAGACCTATTCTCAGTTAAATATCCGGATCTTTTTTTCCTTCAATTAATTTATTTATTTGCATTTATTTTAATTTGTTTTTAAGAGAATTATTTTATTTTAGTTTTTAAAGAGAATTTTTTATGTTTAAACGTTTTTTATAAGAAAACACTTTTAGTTAAATGCAAAACAAATAATGATTTTCCACCTTCAATTAATAATTTACTGTTAAAAGTGATTACGTTACATTTTAAGTATCTGAATAATCCAGAGCAAACTTCGACTTTTACCCAACGCGGGTACTGCTTGATTACGAAAACCATATTTTGGCGCCTCCCACTCTTAAAAATTATTCTCCCACTCTTAAAAAACGAATGTAAAATGAAAGTACGGTATAGTGCCCTACGTATTAAAATTAAAAATAATTGTAAGAGCGGTAAAATAAAAAAGTTTTTCCTCCATAATTTTTGCATTGGTGTCATTTTTTTAAATAAAAAAATCATTAAATTTTTTATAATTAGAAATTTTGGGCCGCCACTGGTGGGCTATAATCTACATTCATTAAAAATTTACATTTTTGTTATCATTGATTACTTGTTGATAATTGTTTTTTGTTTTGCATACTCAGCTATTTTTAGGTATTTTGAATAAAACAATACTTACTTTTCATTGTTAGGTACCTCGAGGTTTCCGTGGTTTTCCCGTCGATTTTAATCTTCTCCTTTCACTTTTTACGTCGATTTATGCTCATATTGCTATTTTTTAAGTGTTCCACAAAATCATAATAAATGTTCAATTATCCCGCATTTATTATCCACACAAAGTTAACAGCGGCGTAAAAAATTATGATCTTGCTATCATATCCGGCTGATTTCGGAATTCATCTGCCGCTGCAGTGACAAGTTCGCGGAGTTGTTCTAATCTGCCAACGTCACTCTGGTACACTGAACTGTTCATGTAGCCTCAGAGAAACCACAATAACAACCGAACTGTCAGTAATAAATGATTTATAGGATTGGTCAGTGACATCCATTGGCTCTCTGGTTTTGTCAAAAAAATTTCATAATTTTTATTAAAAAACAGTAACTCTAATGCAAAAATAAACGTACTGAAGAGTTTATCCGTCATTCTAAAGAAAACCCTGTATAAGTCTAGAATGCTTGTTTTTTTTTTGCAAAAATGAGTGCCGGTTTTGTTTATCTTTCGACTGAAATCAACGTGTTTTCAGTACCTAAAACGGTTCGAGCTTGCGCCGCACTTCACTGAAGAAGAGTTCGTGCACTGGTTCATGCCGCGGCCCAACATAATCGACAGCTTCGTGGTCGAAGCGGGCGGCGACATCACCGACATGGTCAGCTACTACACGCTACCGTCGACGGTGATGCACCATCACCAGCACAAAAACCTCAAGGCCGCCTACAGCTTCTACAACGTGTCGAAAGAGACCCCGTGGCTGCAGCTGATGAACGACGCGCTCATCTCCGCCAAGCAGCTCAGCTTCGACGTGTTCAACGCGCTCGACATCATGGAGAACTCCGAGTTCCTCGAGACGCTCAAGTTCGGCATCGGGGACGGCAAGCTGCAGTACTACCTGTACAACTGGAAGTGCCCGTCGATGGGCTCCGACGAGATCGGTCTGGTGCTGCAATAGGGAGGCGCGGTAGGCGGTGGGTTGGGTGGACCGAAACGAAACACCGAACTTTCAATCAGCTTCACTTTGGGTTTGCCGATGAAGTTCCGCAGGCGCAACGATGCGTCGATATTAGTTTTTAAAACAACGTTTTTTTCAGATAACTAGGTAGTGTTGTTCCGTATTTGCTAGGGTGATTCAAAAAAACCAAATGTTTTTTTTACTTCCGACACTGAAAGATTGGTTTTCAGGCATCTCTAGAAAGTGCTCACCAATTTAATCTCTTAATATTAATAGGAAGATCCTCATCACAGTTTTCCATTTTTTACTCCCTTATAAAAAAGACCATATTTCATTATTAATCTATCGTTTAATCAAATCTTTATACGCATTTTTGTAGGAAATTGAATGCTCCACAAAAAAGGACTGATGTGTTTAAGCGATTACTCTAACCATTTAAAAGATATTCACGATCAAAGTTTAAAAAATTTATTAAATTTCTTTAAAAAATAATTATTGTCAAATGAGTATGACATATTTGTAGGAAATTTAACGCTCTACAAAAAAGGATTGATGCGTTTAATTGATTACTCTAACCGTTGAGAAGATATTTACATCCGAATCCCTAGCGTACTGATACGAATATCTTCTCAACGGTTAAAGTAATCAATAAAACACATCAGACCTTTTTTGTGGAGCGGTGAATTTCCTACAAAAATATGTCATAATCATTTGACAATAATTATTTTTCATTGAGTTACAAAATAATTAAAAAAAACGCTTTCTAAAGGTGCCTGAGAACCAATTTTTCAGCGTCGGAAGTAAAAAAAGAATATTCGATTTTTTTAATCACTAGTATTTGCGACTTATTAAAACCACCTGTTTTGATAATAAACAAATTTTATTTATGCACCGTTTTGCCCCTACAATTTCATCGACAAATCGCAAAGTGAATAACCCTCCCCTCCCTTATTGTCTCGAACATTTTTCAGGTTTGTTTGATTCTTTGAGACAGTCGCGTATTTTTTGATTACCATTAAATAATTTTTAAAGTTTTACTAAGTAGCCCTCGTAAGTCACATAACGTATAAGTCGAGTTAGAGACCTGTAATTTAAAAGAAATTATTTTGAAATCAGGTGTATCATTTTTATTTTAATTCTACCAAAAGCCGTGAAAGTGCACGGCTACCAATTATGCTTTATGGTTATTTTTTATGTAATTTTTTGTTAAATAAAAAATAGATTCTATATTGTCTATTATTTCATTAATCTACTTTTAAATTTAGAAAAAAGTGAGGTTAAAGCCTGTTGACAGATGTCAAATTGGTAAAGTCTGTTCCATCGTTTCGCGCATACTAAAAATCACGAAGTTAGGCAACCAACTGCACAGATTCTAACGGCGGCCATTTTTATGTTGTTTACAATCCTTGTCCATCAGGTTTGTGCTGTTTATACAGATTAATAATCGTTTTAAACGCTGTGTTGTAAAAAATAAACCTTATTCTTTCAGGGCATCAAATTGCCAATTGTAAATTTTAAGGTTAATTTGTAGATATAGTAAATTAACCTTAAAATTTACATTTGACAGTTTAATGACAGCCCTGATATAATAAGATTTATTTTATACAAAAGAGGAGAAAAATGGTTGTTCTTGGCACTTTAAGGCCTCATTTGATGCTTACAAGTGCCTCTGTAAGAAACACAACGTTTAAAACCATTATTAATCTGTATAAACAGCACAAGAATTGCAAACCACATTAAAATGGCGGTCGTTATGGTCTGTGCAGTTGGTTGCCTAAATTCGTGATTTTTAGTAATATTACTTGTACAATTGGAAGTGTCTGTCGATGGGCTCCGACGAGATCGGTCTGGTATTGCAATAGGGAGTCGCAGCAGGCGGTAGGTTGGGTAGACCGAAACGAAACACCAAACTTTCAATCAGCTTCACTTTGGGTTTGCCGATAAAGTTCCACAGGCGCAACGATGCGTCGATATTAGTTTTTAAAACAACGTTTTTTTCAGATAACTAGGTAGTTTCGTTCCGTATTTGCCAGGGTGATTCAAAAAACCAAATGTTTTTTTACTTCCGACACTGAAAGATTGGTTTTCAGGCATCTCTAGAAAGTGCTCACCAAATTTAATCTCTTAATATTAATAGGAAGATCCTTCTTATCACAGTTTTCCATTTTTTAGTCCCTTATAAAAAAGGCCGTATTTCATTATTAATCTATCGTTTAATCAAATCTTTATACGCATTTTTGTAGGAAATTGAATGCTCTACAAAAAAGGACTGATGTGTTTAAGCGATTACTCTAACCATATAAAAGATATTCACGATCAAACTTTAAAAAATTTATTAAATTTTTTTAAAAATAATTATTATATAAACTCATTAAAAAATAATTATTGTCAAATGAGTATGACATATTTGTAGGAAATTTAACGCTCTACAAAAAAGGATTGATGCGTTTAATTGATTACTCTAACCGTTGAGAAGATATTTGTATCCGAATCCCTAGCGTACTGATACGAATATCTTCTCAACGGTTAGAATAATCAATTAAACACATCAGACCTTTTTTGTGGAGCGTTGAATTTCCTACAAAAATATGTCATAATCATTTGACAATAATTATTTTTCATTGAGTTACAAAATTATAAAAAGAATATTCGATTTTTTTAATCACTATTATTTGCGTCTTATTCAAACCACCTGTTTTGATAATAAACAAATTTAATTTATGCACCGTTTTGCCCCTACAATTTCATCAGCAAATCGCAAAGTGAATAACCCTCCCCTCCCTTATTGTCTCGAAAATTTTTCAGGTTTGTTTGACTCTTTGAGACAGTCGCGTATTTTTTGATTACCATTAAATAATTTTTAAAGTTTTACTAAGTAGCCCTTGTAAGTCACATAACGTATAAGTCGAGTTAGAGACCTGTAATTTAAAAGAAATTATTTTGAAATCAGGTGAATCATTTTTATTTTAATTCTACCAAAAGCCGTGAAAGTGCACGGCTACCAATTATGCTTTATGGTTATTTTTTATGTAATTTTTTGTTAAATAAAAAATAGATTCTATATTGTCTATTATTTCATTTATCTACTTCTAAATTTAGGAAAAAGTGAGGTTAAAGTCGGTTGACAGATGTCAAATTGGGAAAGTCTGTTCTATCATTTCGAGCATACTAAAAATCACGAAGTTAGGCAACCAACTGCACAGATTCCAACGGCGGCCATTTTTATGTTGTTTACAATTCTTGTGCATCGGGTTTTTGCTGTTTATACAGATTAATAATCCTTTTAAACGTTGTGTTTCTTACAGAGGCACGTTTAAGTCTTAAAACGGGATTTAAAGTGCCAAGGGCAAACATTTTACTCATCTTTTGTAAAAAATAAACCTTATTCTATCAGAGCATCGAATTGTCAAATGTCAATTTTAAGTTTAATTTGTTGGTATGGTAAATTAAGCTTAAAATTGACATTTGACAGTTTAATGACAGCCCTGATTGAATAAGGTTTATTTTTTACAAAAGAGGAGAAAATGGTTGTTCTTGGCACTTTAAGGCCTCATTTAAGGCTTATAAGTGCCTCTGTAAGAAACACAACGTTTAAAACGATTATTAATTTGTATAAACAGCACAAGAATTGCAAACCACATAAAAATGGCCGTCGTTATAGTCTGTGCAGTTGGTTGCCTAACATCGTGATTTTTAGTAATACTACCTGTACAACTGGAAGTGTCCGTCGATGGGCTCCGACGAGATCGGTCTGGTGCTGCAATAGGGAGTCGCAGCAGGCGGTAGGTTGGGTAGACCGAAACGAAACACCAAACTTTCAATCAGCTTCACTTTGGGTTTGCCGATGAAGTTCCGCAGGCGCAACGATGCGTCGATATTAGTTTTTAAAACAACGTTTTTTTCAGATAACTAGGTAGTTTCGTTCCGTATTTGCCAGGGTGATTCGAAAAACCAAATGTTTTTTACTTCCGACACTGAAAGATTGGTTTTCAGGCATCTCTAGAAAGTGCTCACCAAATTTAATCTCTTAACATTAATAGGAAGATCCTCCTCATCACAGTTTTCCATTTTTTTAGTCCCTTACAAAAAACACCATATTTCATTATTAATCTATCGTTTAATCAAATATTTATACGCATTTTTGTAGGAAATTGAATGCTCCACAAAAAAGAACTGATGTGTTTAAGCGATTACTCTAACCATTTAAAAGATATTCACGATCAAATGTATTAAATTTGTTTTATATAATTTTGTAACTCATTCAAAAATAATTATTGTCAAATGAGTACGACCTATTTGTAGGAAATTTAACGCTCTACAAAAAAGGATTGATGCGTTTAATTGATTACTCTAACCGTTGAGAAGATATTTGTATCCGAATCCCTAGCGTACTGATACGAATATCTTCTCAACGGTTAGAGTAATCAATAAAACACATCAGACCTTTTTTGTGGAGCGTTGAATTTCCTACAAAAATATGTCATAATCATTTGACAATAATTATTTTTCATTGAGTTACAAAATTATAAAAAAGCACTTTCTAAAGGTGCCTGAGAACCAATTTTTCAGTATCGTAAGTAAAAAAAATATTCGATTTTTTTAATCACTAGTATTTGCGTCTTATTAAAACCACCTGTTTTGATAATAAACAAATTTTATTTGTGCACCGTTTTGCCCCTACAATTTCATCAACAAATCGCAAAGTGAATAACCCTCCCCTCCCTTATTGTCTCGAACATTTTTCAGGTTTGTTTGACTCTTTGAGACAGTCGCGTATTTTTTGATTACCATTAAATAATTTTTAAAGTTTTACTAAGTAGCCCTTGTAAGTCACATAACGTATAAGTCGAGTTATAGTCCTGTAATTTAAAAGAAATTATTTTGAAATCAGGTGAATCATTTTTATTTTAATTCTACCAAAAGCCGTGAAAGTGCACGGCTACCAATTATGCTTTATGGTTATTTTTTATGTAATTTTTTGTTAAATAAAAAATAGATTCTATATTGTCTATTATTTCATTTATCTACTTCTAAATTTAGGAAAAAGTGAGGTTAAAGCTAGTTGACAGATGTCAAATTGGGAAAGTCTGTTCTATCGTTTCGAGCATACTAAAAATCACGAAGTTAGGCAACCAACTGCACAGATTCCAACGGCGGCCATTTTTATGTTGTTTACAATTCTTGTGCATCTGGTTTTTGCTGTTTATACAGATTAATAATCGTTTTAAACGTTGTGTTTCTTACGGAGCACGTTTAACTCTTAAAACGGGATTTAAAGTGCCAAGGGCGACCACTTTACTCATCTTTTGTAAAAAATAAACCTTATTCTATCAGGGCATTGAATTGTCAAATGTCAATTTTAAGTTTAATTTGTTGGTATGGTAAATTAACCTTAAAATTGACATTTGACGGTTTAATGACAGCCCTGATAGAATAAGGTTTATTTTTTACAAAAGAGGAGTAAAATGGTTGTCTTTGGCACTTTAAGGCCTCATTAGAGGCTTACAAGTGCCTCTGTAAGAAACACAACGTTTAAAAAGATTATTAATCTGTATAAACAGCACAAGAATTGTAAACCACATAAAAATGGCCATCGTTATGATCTGTGCGGTCGGTTGCCTAACTTCGTGATTTTTAGTAATATTACTTGTACAATTGTAAGTGTCCGTCGATGGGCTCCGATGAGATCGGTCTGGTGTTGCAATAGGGAGTCGCAGTAGGCGGTAGGTTGGGTAGACCAAAACGAAACACCAAATTTTCAATCAGCTTCACTTGTGTTGCAATAGGGAGTCGCAGTAGGCGGTAGGTTGGGTAGACCGAAACGAAACACCAAACTTTTAATCAGCTTCACTTTGGTTTTGCCGATGAAGTTCCGCAGGCACAACGATGCGTCGATATTAGTTTTTATAACAACGTTTTTTTCAGATAACTAGGTAGTTTCGTTCTGTATTTGCCAGGGTGATTCGAAAAACCAAATGTTTTTTTTACTTCCGACACTGAAAGATTGGTTTTCAGGCATCTCCAGAAAGTGCTCACCAAATTTAATCTCTTAATATTAATAGGAAGATCCTCCTCATCACAGTTTTCCATTTTTTAGTCCCTTATAAAAAAGACCATATTTTATTATTAATCTATCGTTTAATCAAATCTTTATACGCATTTTTGTAGGAAATTGAATGCTCTACAAAAAAGAACTGATGTGTTTAAGCGATTACTCTAACCATTTAAAAGATATTCACGATCAAATGTATTAAATTTGTTTTATATAATTTTGTAACTCATTCAAAAATAATTATTGTCAAATGAGTATGACATATTTGTAGGAAATTTAACGCTCTACAAAAAAGGATTGATGCGTTTAATTGATTACTCTAACCGTTGAGAAGATATTTGTATCCGAATCCCTAGCGTACTGATACGAATATCTTCTCAACGGTTAGAGTAATCAATAAAACACATCAGACCTTTTTTGTGGAGCGTTGTATTTCCTACAAAAATATGTCATAAACATTTGACAATAATTATTTTTCATTGAGTTACAAAATTATAAAAAGAATATTTGATTTTTTTAATCACTATTATTTGCGTCTTATTCAAACCACCTGTTTTGATAATAAACAAATTTTATTTATGCACCGTTTTGCCCCTACAATTTCATCAACAAATCGCAAAGTGAATAACCCTCCCCTCCCTTATTGTCTCGAACATTTTTCAGGTTTGTTTGACTCTTTGAGACAGTCGCGTATGTTTTGATTACCATTAAATAATTTTTAAAGTTTTACTAAGTAGCCCTTGTAAGTCACATAACGTATAAGTCGAGTTAGAGACCTGTAATTTAAAAGAAATTATTTTGAAATCAGGTGTATCATTTTTATTTTAATTCTACCAAAAGCCGTGAAAGTGCACGGCTACCAATTTATGCTTTATGGTTATTTTTTATGTAATTTTTTGTTAAATAAAAAATAGATTCTATATTGACTATTATTTCATTTATATGCTTCTAAATTTGGGAAAAAGTGAGGTTAAAGCCGGTTGACAGATGTCAAATTGGGAAAGTCTGTTTTATCGTTTCGCGAATACTAAAAATCACGAAATTAGGCAACCAACTGCACAGATTCTACCGGCGGCCATTTTTATGTTGTTTACAATTTTTGTGCTGTTTAGAGATTAATAATCGTTTTAATCGCTGTCATCATACTGTGAAATGTCAATTTTAAGGTTAATTTGTGGGTATGGTAAATTAAACTCAAATTGTAGAACTGGTTGGAAAAAAACTAAATTGAGCTTTAAAAATGTTTATTTAACTTTTCTTCTTTAAAAACTACATGAACATACAATACAATTTAACACCTTTCTAAAATATATATTTGTAAATTTAATATTAAAACTATACCTAAAAAAATAGGAATGATAAAAACTGCACCAAATTGGCATTACAAAAAAAGTGGAAACCCATATTATTCTAAACCACTTTTTTAATTAAATGCTTAAAAATCACTTACTTAAAAAAAACATGAGACGAAAAATTATAAAATACAAATAATATTAAACTGATTATTAAAAACGCGGTTAATATTGTCGAGATTATAAAATAAAAAGTTTTTTGACAAACTACCTATAGCTATTGTACTTTGCCAGTAAAGCGTTGACTTCTTTGTCAATTTTATCATCCTGAAAAAAATAAAGAAAGTTAATAAAATTCAACTCAAATTCAGGGTTGTTGTATGTATTAAACATTTACCTAGAATTAAAAAAAAAATAAACGTTTGAAACATTTTTATTTCAATAAAAAATGTCACTCGTAAAAAGGGAAAAATCGATGTTTCTGTCCATTTTTCATCAAAAATTTCCTACAGATGAAAAAACAAATTTAAGCAAAAAGAAAAAATTAAGGTTTTATCGATTTCTGTGGAGAAACTGTAAGAAAATTTTGTTGAAAAAAAAAACGACCTACCCCTTTTTGCCTGGACATTTGAATAAGAAAAGAACGTACTGTATACTGCTACGCTGCGTTCAGGCTTTTAACTAATATTTGTGTCACATTGTATTAAGTTAATTATAGTGATGTAAACAGAAAAAAAACGCTTAAAAAAAAACAAAGGGGTTTGTTTTTTTTCAAAAATGTTTTTTTTCAGAAACATTGTTTTTCCTTAATAGAGATTATAAGAGAAAAGCAGAACAATTTTGAAATTTTAAAATAATCGTTATTTATAATAGAAATAAAAACACCAAATAAAAACTTGCTTCTAAAATAAACACACATACTTAAGTGTTGATGAAAATTAAAACAAAAATTAAAATAGTTTTTATTTATAAAAAAAGATAGGCAGCATCTAAATCTTACATGTCAATGTAGGTGTAGGACTTTTAAAACCAACTTCAAAACTTTTATTTTAAACCAAAGAATAATTACTTATTCCGTTATTTAATATTTATTACATAAATCCAATATTATATTTATATTAGACTGGGCCAAAAAAATCGACTATTTTTTTTGTAAAGTACCTATATCGAAAATATTGTTTGGGGCAAAAAAAAATTATGGTGAAAGTTTGAGTCCATAATATTAATATTAAGAGGTCTATCATCGCAATTTTAGATTTTTTTTTTCTGAGCGAGTTTTTGTCTGAGAACTCCCAAATCATTGAGTTTAACAAAATTGACTTAAGAATATTTTTTGAAGAAATTGAATGCTCTACAAAAAAGGTTTGATTGGAATTTCCCGTCAGATGAACCCTTTTCTTACAATCATGCCTTAAAAATTGGTATAGTTTTACAATTTGATCTTTTAACTTTGGAATTTTGTAATTCAAGTAAAAATCAGTACCTTGAAAAAAACCGATAAATATTTTTATGGGAAATCAAATGCTCTACAAAAAAGTCTTTTATCATTTTTGGCTAAATTCTCTCCATCAAAAGTTATTCAAGGTTAAATTTGAAGTCAAAACGAAATTTTAACCTTGAATAACTTTTGATTGAGTGAATTTAGCCAAAAATGTTAAGAGGCTTTTTTTGTAAAGCATTTGATTTCCCATAAGAATATTTATCGGTTTTTTATGGGTACTGATTTTTTACATGAATTACAAAATTCCAAAGTTAAAAGATCAAAATGTAAAACTATACCAATTTTTAAGGCATGATTTTAAGGAAACGGTTCATCTGACGGAAAATTTCATTTTAACCTTTTTTGTAGAGCATTTAATTTTCTTAAAAACATATATCCATGTCAATTTTTTTAAACTCACGGGTTTCGGATTTCTGAGACAAAAACTTGCTGAGGAAACAAAATTTAAAATTGCGATGATAGACCTCTTAATATTAATATTATGGACTTAAACTTTCACAATATTTTTTTTTGTCACCCCAAACCATATTTTCTATATACTTTACAAAAAAAATCTAGTACTAATGATAAACAATGGTTATTAAAGTGTTATAAGAAGCTCAAACACAATTCGGCGCGCTCTACTTATAAAATAACAATATAATAATAAAACCCCCGTTTGAAATCTAAATCGCATCGAAACTCACCATGCAGTCTCCTTGTTTGCAGGCCTTGGCCTCGTCCAACCAGGTCACAGCCTCCTTGTACTCGCCCTGCGCAACCTTGCACTTCGCTACGAACAGTTTGTTCTCCTTCCAGTCGTGGTTCGAAAGTTTCTCGCACTCCATGAAGTGCTCCAAGGCCTCCTCGAACGTAGCATTCGGCGGAGTGGCGAACAGAGTCGAGGCCACTTTGCGTTCGTACCATTTCAGTCCGGCCACTTCGTAGGAAAACCGGCCGAGCATGTGGTGGAGCGTCGAGTCGTTAGGCAAGTGCCGAAGCGCCATGTCCACGTGCAATTTGAACAGGTGGCTGTCCGCGATTCTCTCCTTCATGGGCACGTAGTCGCTGCGGGCGCCAATCAGGATCGCGGTCCACTTGTGCGCGTCGCCGCTGTCCGGCGCCAACTCCAGGGCTTTGGTGCAAGCGTCCAGACCTGTACAAAGTCAATGTCTACTGAGTAATATGTTTTTTAAGGAGTTTTGGATTGAAACAATTCTAGGTTGTTAAAGAGTCTACTTAAAAGACATTTAAAAACACAAATTTTCGATGAATTTCAATCGCAAATAACTTTTTTATTTGATTTCGGATTTAAACAAATATTAAAGAATATTGTAGATAAATTAATGGACAATCGCTCACATTTAAAAAAATTACTAAAAAATAGACGTACGTTTATAATATACAGGTTTAAACAAAAATATGTTTTTTACCGTAAGTTTAAGACACTCTGTAGAGTGGCAAAACCGTATATTGTTCTAAATTAAGTTTTATTTATCAAGCCACATCTATACTTAACAGTTTTGTTTTTGGTTCACCTCGATATATTTATTTTTGTGGAAAATATGGATTTTTAAAAAAAACATTGCAATTTCCAATATTTTTCTGTATGAAGAACTAAGGTTGCTATGGTCCGTCCATAGGCTATGGAGAATGACAGTGACAGTTTTGTAGAATCATCCCATACTTTGACATGTCATACACGGCTTTCAAAAGCTATCAAATTGTTTTTTGCAAATTAATGTTTAAATTTTGAGGTGTCTTCTTACTTTTAAAAATGGATATGTTTCCGACTGATGTTGCCAGAGCCATTAATTTAATCCAGGATGGACGGTCACAGTATTACGTGGCAAGTGTTTTAAACGTCACAAGTAAAGTACAAAGGGCAACATCAGTCGGAGACATTTTTAAAAGTGAGAAGACACCTCAAAATTAACACATTAATTTACAAAAAATAATTTGATAGCTTTTGAAAGCTGTATATATATGACATGTCCAAGTATGGGATGATTTAACAAAACTGTCACTGTCATCCTCCATAGGCTATGGATGGACCATAGCAACCTTAGTTTATACAGGAAAAAACAGCCCATGTATTAATGCATATCTTATAACGTAACATTTAAAAATTAATGATTTTTTTGTTGTATGTATTTGGGTCATTATACTATTAAGGCTCTCTACCTTTTGTCAGTTGTCCCTAACATTTCTTATTAAAAAAATAATAAATTGGAACAGCTAATATAGAATTAGATTCATAAATAAGAACCCAAAATAACAAAAATAAATAAAAAATGTTTCAATTAAATATCAAAATATTTTTAATGTCTTAAGATTGAAAGTTAGCATCACACTCTATAACCCCATGTCCCCATCACATTACAATAGTGGAAACTTAGATATATTTCATAGGTTTTGTATGAAACAGAATTCTAAAACTAAAATGAAATATAAATAAGTGGCTTCTCAGTACTAATAAAGAATGTGATAAAATGTCTGTGAATAATCTTTTAAGCGTGACCAAAATGTCTACGTCACAAACCGCCTGAATAAAACCGCTTTGTTTAAAATACACTGGAGTTTAGCATTACATATAAAAGAACTCTGTAACCCATGTAGTTTATAACTGTGGCACAAAATAGCGCCGCTGCAGGCAATGTTATCGCTATTGATATTTTGCGCGTTACAAACAAGCACCGTGTGTTCTCGAAAGTTAATCGCTAACTGTTTGCAGCAATTAATTTTCTTTTTTATGTAAAGGAACCAATCTTTTTGTCACTTAAAAAAAATATTTTTTATTGTAAAAAATGTCTACTGCTCAGAGTAACATTAGAATTACCTTTAGTTTGCCTAAATAATAGTCAAAATGGATATGAAAATGTGAAATATTTATTTTTTAGAGGTAGATGGGACTAAAAAGTATAATGACCGATTTATGCCTGTATAAGTGCCTTATAAATTTTTATCTATTTTGCGTTCATAATGACTTCATTGTAACACCGCTTTCGGTGTAATGAGATACTTTATCCCACCCAAAATTTTGATTTTATAAGTTGGCTATATAATATTTTGCATATGGTTATAATATTTTTATGATTTTTCTAGTACTTACGAGACTTTTCTGGCAATAAATTTTGTTTAACACCAAAGAAAATTCTTTTTTTCTTCTTTAACATTAACAGCCGCTTATTGTAAATAATGGCGAATCGATTTTGACATTAACTGTCAAACCAAATTAAATTTAAGGTATTAAATTATATTTTTTTTATAGAATTTTTGCAAAATAGATAAAATAGCATAAAGAACTCATGTCATAAGACCTTTTGTCGTACTCGTCCAAATTGTTTGCGCTCGAGCTCGCTGGAATATTCAGGAAGGCACGTAGGATGGAGCAGTCAGTCAAGCTTTGGTACTCGCGATGAAATAAATAAATAAACGTGCAAATAAATAGACCCTTGTACAGTAGTGATAAATAAATATGTAGTAGTTAAGTGTTTAGTTAGTTTTATAGTTTCTTAGTGTTTTAAGTGTAATTAAGTTATAAAATAAATCGTTTAGTTCGTTAACAGTAAAAACGTTACAGTAACATGGTACAATTACTATAAGTTTAATTTTATTTCAATGTTTTTTTCATGGATAACTTGACAGAATAAATTTTTGTAGTTATTATTGTGCTTTTTAAACTTAAAATTTTTCAATAAAATTTAGTATAGGGTCGTTTTAAGGGGTGGTGAATCCAGTGCCGTGCTTAGATTATGTTTAAAAAAATCGGTAATATGAATTCTTAAAAATATAGTTTTAAAAACTGACATAGTAGGCCTTGTATTTTGTAAAAATATGGCGTTTTTTGCTCAAAAAATACAGTTTATCAAGATCTACACTTTAAAACAAATCCGGTTAAAATCGCACAATAAATAAAGATTTTACAGGGGTCGCAAACAAATGGGTCACACTGTATATGTATATAGTGCCTTTTGTATTAAAATAAAAAATGATTATAAATTCATTTAAAAAATTGGCTGATTTTTAAATCAAATGCGATAAAATGACTAAATAAATTTTGTTATTTCAAGTTATACCTATTGTTATTTATGTAAAATAAAAATTCAAATATCAAAAAAAAATAATTTGCGAATTTTGGGTTTAGCATGCCAAAGTGTAGAAAATATATATAATAATATAGAAAACTAACAATTAAGTGTTTTTTGTTTTCAACCCGGAATCTTGAATTTTAAAATAAATGAACTGTAACATACAAACCTTTTTTTAATTGTTGTTGAATGAACTCCTTATCTTCGCTTTTTTCCAATAATTTGTAATGACACTTTCCTATTCTCCAAAGTAGTTCTGCATTTCCTGGATGTTCCAAGCACAAATCTTGCAGCTTCACCAGACACGAATTTAACTCTTCAACCACCTCTTCGTTTGATTTTCTGTCTATATCTGCTAGGACCTTAAAAAAATAAGTTTGAAGTTCGCGATTTTGTTCTTACAGTTTAGAAATAATTGCTCAATTATTGTCTCAAGGATTTTGCCCCATTAAATCAAATTTAATAAATCTAACAATTATCAAAAACAGCCTAAAACACTGAGTTAAATTTAAGATGTCAGATTTTTGGTACTATCTTTGAACAGCAGTAATAGCATTAAGTCAATGGTAATAGTATATTGTGCGACTAGTGGGACAAAGAGGTAATTGTGGAATCTTCTCTTTTGACCAATAGACGCACACAATAAATTTATTCAACTACCGCAAGGAATTTAAAGCCACTTTTATTTGATATTTTATATGATGTCTGACAACTGGCACCATATTTTTATATTTAAATTTATATCTCTAAAATATTTATCTTATTGTTATTGCAATTTTATTAATGTTATGTGTAAATTAGTTTTAATAAACCAACATTTACTCTTTGAGGCGTTTTCATAAGTAGGTACTATGCTTAATAGGGTGGGTTGAAAACAAACTGTCCTTTTTTTTTCTTAGCATGGGGGTAGAATTTGTACCTTATAAAAAAAAATTTCAAAAGAAAAACTTTTTTTTTTATTCAACATCTTGAGGTGGCCCACTCGTTTTTTAAATAAATATTTAATCAAATGGGGTAGTTCCAACGGGAAATTCTTTTGTTGGTCCAAAATCGTGAAAAACATGTAAAAATTGTAGATTATGATTTTTTTCACTCAACTTTCATTCAAATACAAAAGAAAGTGAATTTTATTTTTTAATTTTTTACTTAAATTACAAAAACAATGGGAAAAAAACTTTTTCAACTTTTGACTTCCAATTGGCTTTTAAGGGGAAACCCTACAGATTCTAGAACAAAAAAACAGAATTTTCCGTTGGAACTACCCCATTTGATTAAATATTTATTTAAAAACCGAGTGGGCCACCTCAAGATGTTGAGTAAATTTTTTTTTTTTAATTTTTTTTATAAGGTACAAATTCTACCCCCATGCTAAGAAAAAAAACAAACATTTTGTTTTCAATCCACCCTAATGCTTAACATCAAAAAGTCCCGCTTTAAAATTTGAATAAGCAATGCAGTCAAACAATAATTTTTGAGGTTATGTTTATGTCAGTTTAACGCTAATTTCGTCTTAGTTTTTTAAAATAATACAATATATTTATTTTTTGTAATATCCATGTTTTATAAAGTAATATGTGGTTTTTTGTAAATATTTTTACAAACACCCTGTATAATGATGAATGAATGTTAATAAATGATAAAAGTGAATCATCATTTCCTACATTTTTTGGGTTTCTGTTATTTTGGACATTTTCGAAATTCACCCATTCTACAAAAAATATGTTCATTTTATAGAAAAAAGTTTGGCCTAGCCTGATAATGTCAACCCATCCCCAAAACGATTGAAAATTTATATGTAGAAGAAATCGGATTTTTTATCCAGCGAGTGAAATCAAATAGACAAACCTATATTTCAAGTAACTTTTTCATAAAAACTCAAAAATAAGAGAGAAACAGCCTTTTAAAGATTTTTAAATGGTTTAAAGAATATTGAACATAACCTAGAAAACTCGGGCGTAAAAAATCGTGACGGTCTTTTAAAACCCCCCTCCCACCTTCAGCGTCAAGAGGTTTATGGACGGCCACTTCACTGAATTATAAAAATTTAATTTTAGACACCATAATGAACATATTTTTTATGTAGGACGGATGAGTTTCCAAAATGACCAAAATATATACAGTGAGACCCATTTGTTTGCGACTCACCCCTGTAAATTCTTTATTTATTGTGCGATTTTAATCGGATTTGTTTTAAAGTGTTTATCTTGATAAACTGTATTTTTGAAACAAAAAACGCCATACTAGTACAAACTACAAGGCCTACTTTGTCAGTTTTTAAGAGTAAATTTTTAAGAATTCCTATTAGCGATTTTTTTAAACAAAATCTAAGCACGGCACTGGATTCACCACCCGTCAAAACGACCCTTTACTAAATTTTATTGAAAAATGCACAATAATAACTACAAAAATTAATTTAGTCAAGTTATCCATGTAAAATCATTGAAATTAAATTAAACTAATAGAAACATGGTATAATTTAACAGAATAAATTTTTGTAGTTATTTATTGTGCATTTTTCAATAAAATTTAGTATAGGGTCGTTTTGAGGGGTGGTGAATACAGTGCCAGCTTATATTTTGTTTAAAAAAATCGCTAATATGAATTCTTAAAAATGTACTCTTAAAAACTGACATATAAGACCTTGTATTTTGTAAAAATATGGTGTTTTTTGTTTTAAAAATACAGTGTATCAAGATCTACACTTTAAAACAAATCCGGTTAAAATCGCAAAATAAATAAAGATTTTACAGGGGTAAGTCGCAAACAAATGGTCACACTATAAATAAATTGACCAACAGACACTTCATGCACATAACCAAACTAAACAACGCATTAAATCTTATACATTACACACCCAAGAATTTCTATGACCCTAAAACGTATTAAATTATAAATAAATTTATTTTTTAATTTTTTTTAATTAGGCAACAAAAATACCGTACCACATCAATTTTTTTTATTTGGACATACAGGGTGTCCCAAACATTTACTTCTCCTATATCGTGGTTGAGCCGCATGTTTGCTCCAATGCAGGTAGGCAACCAATTACAAATTCACTACTATACTGCATTCTAAATTAAGCGAATTTTTGGATTCAGGAAACAAAAAAATGGTAAAATTTTGGACTGGTCCGTTATTTTCGGCGCTCACTTTATATTTGGAAAAAAAAAACCTATAAAACTCACTTGGTAAAGACTAACGGTTTGGGTTTTCTTTTTTTGCCCCCAAAATGTGCCTTCGCCCCACTTCAAATGCAGTACGTTACTGTTCCGCACAGGTGGCGCTGCACCACCATTGGTGGTTAAATATTGACGGTGTGGCAAAACAAATGGCAAAAATGATAACAACCTACAAAAAAAGCAAACAAATACAAACATAAGTCACACTAAACTGCGAAATGAGGCCTTTAGACAGAAAAAAACGCCCAATGATGGAAAGGGTCCAATATTATTACTTAAAAGTCTAAATCTTGTTTTTAAGAAGCCTCTTTTCGACATTTCAGATATTTCATAACAATTTTTTTATGAAATTTCCAATGCTTTTACATAGTTCGTTTTTAACGGAAATAAGGACCGACAAATACTTAAAAGTACAGTAAAACACAGTTTAAGTAAAGCTCAGCTACTAAAGTTTGTATTTACATTACACATTTTAAGTGATACTTAGCGTTTACAAATGGCTTAAATCCCTAAAAACGAACTTTAGTCAATATTTCGAAACAGAAACAGCAAAGAACCAAATAAATAAGTATATTAACAGTTACTAGTAGAAAAAGTAAAGTAAAGAAAAGTTTGTTTACCTAGAATACCTCATTTTTGAACGAAAAAACGTAAAAACAAAACGACACTGATAAACGACAAAGCACAGTTGCAAAATACGTGAATATTTTTGTTGTTATTTTAAATTTATATCTTGTTTTGATACCTTATTTGTATGAAATATGCACCTGCATTATAATATTTTTAAATTACATTTTTATTGCCTACTTTAGGATCTAAGTACTTTACAATAGTAACAGGTAAAATGTCTTGGTAAAAGAGAGTTAATATCACAAAATGGGTCATTATACTATTAAGGCTCTCTGCCATTTGTCAGTAGTATTAAATTAAGACAGCTAATATAGAACTAAATTCATAAATAAGAACTTAAAATAACAAAAATTAATAGACATTTTTTCAATTTAATATAAAAATATTTTTAATGTCTTAATTAAGGTTGAAAGTTAGCATCACTCTTTAACCCCATATCTATGGCACGCCGTTTTAACATTTATTAAATAATTTTTTAATTTGAAATTTTATTAGTTTAAAATTTTCCTAACAAAAAATTTAAGGTTTACATTTATAAATTTATAATATTTTCAACTATCATGTATTGAAAGACAAAATTTACTAACCAACAGTTCACTTCTTTATTAAACAATATTATTTTCTATCAATTTTTGCAAAAATTATCAATTTTTAATAAAAATAATTTCCCAAGTATAATTTATTTGGGTGGCATTTTGTTAACTTAAGTTTTTTAATATTAAAAAATAGTATCAAGCCATTTAAAATAAAAACACATATAAAACATTTTCTAGCAAACTAGTTTAAAAAGTAAAATTTTTGTAAACTCAAAACTATTGATAATCAAAAAATATTTTAAATATAAAATGCAACTGTAAAAGTTTAAGTTTAAAAATATTAATTTTTAAAAAATGGAATTTAATATTTTATTCTTCAAAATTATTGGTTTGAATTTGTAAAGAGTCATTTAAATTATAGTCGATAAATTTTCAATACAAAAATTTGAACATTACAAGTTTAAAATTTTAAAGTGGTAATTTTTGCATTAAAAATTTATCGACTATCATTTAAATGCCTCTTTACAAATTAAACCAATAACTTTTATTTTTAACAATTTTAAATTGATACATTTTTAAGACAAAATTTATAACTTTACATTTAAATGTAAGTCGATAATTTTTAAATTACAAAGTGTAAACGTAGCTTTAGTAGAAGGGACAAGAGTCTGGGATCGGAGCCACGATGCAGCCAGTTTAATCCGCAGAGTTGCCAAATCGTGCTTGCTCTATAAATATTTGAGGCGTTTTACAAATTATCGTAATGAAATGTTTCTTTATTACATAAATTTAATAATAGAACAACAACATTTTTAGTGCCTATTGTACTAAGTTAATTCGACAATTAAAAAACATCAACATAAGTTTTGTCTTAAAAATATATCACTTTAAAATTGTTAAAAATAAAAAAAATTGGTTTAAATTTGTAAAGAGTCATTTAAATGATAGTCGATAAATTTTTAATCCAAAAATTACTACTTTAAAACTTACATTTAATGTAATGTGAGAATTTTTGTGTTAAAAATTTATCAACTATCATTTAGATGACTCTTTAAAAATTTAAACCAATAATTTTGTAGAATAAAATATTACAACCAAAACTTTTAAAAATCAATATTTTTAAACATAAATTTTTACTGTTGCATTTTATATTTAAAATATTTTATGACTATCAATTGTTTTGAGTTTAAAAAAATTTAACTTTATAAATTTCTGTTAAAACATAATTTAAGTGCTAAACTTTAATCTTTAAACTTTTATCTAATAAATGCTAAAACGGCGTGCCATACATATCCCCATCATATTGCAAATAGTGAAAACTTGATTATATTTCATAGGTTTTGTATGAAACAGAATTCTAAAATTAAAAAACAAATAAGTAGCTCCCCAGTACCAATAAAGAATGTGAAAAAATGTATGTGAATAATTTTGTAAGCCTGACCAAACCTTGTCCTTCTATTTATTGTCCACTTCAATGTCACAAACCGCCAAAATAAAACAGCTTTGTTATAAAATGCACTGGAGTTTAGCATTACATATTATAGAACTCTGTAACCCATGTAGTTTATAAATGTGGCACGAGATGGCGCCTCTGCAGGCAATGGTATAGCTATTGTTATTTTGCGCGTTAAAAACAAGCAACGTGTGTTTTGAAGGTTATCTTTCAGCACGGCATTTACTCGGAAGTATTTGCAGTATTTAATTTTCTTTCTCATGCACAGTAAACCAATTTCTTTCTTTTTAATTAATTCAATGTTTTATGTGCATTGATTGTGTCACTTGGAAAATAGATTTTTTTATTGCGAAAAATGTCTCCTTCGTCCCATGTCTCTTTTGTCACACTGCACTGCTATCGCTACGACATTAAAACTTAAAAATAAGACTCTTTAAGCGAAACTTTACTGCTAAGAGTAACATTAGAATTTAGTTTTAGAATCACAGAATTATCTTTGCTGTTTTCGAATCATTAATATATATATTTGTTTGCTTTTTTTCGCCTTGAAATAAGTTTAAAAATATTCCCCACCATATGAAAAATAATCTAAGCAACAAAATTAAGGCAACACCGCGTATTTATATTTATTTATGTTTTACCAAAATCTCTGTACACACCCTACAAACAATGACGACATCGTCTTTTATATCGTCTTTCGTATCGTTATTTTTTTTTAAACTATTTCACACTAAATTCACATCGCAGCATCTTTTTTGGTCGTAATTGTGCATTGCATTAAAACATAATATTGATTTTTAATTATATTTAATCAAAACATAGCTAAAAAGAACCCTAAGTTTACAACTCGTAGGACGACAGTCTTGTCGATAGAGAAACCTATATCGTTGACGAGATAAGTCCCGATATCGACAAAACAGTCGTCAAAACGACAAACATAACGATATCGTCTTTGACATCGTTTTTCGTACCGATATTTTTTTTTAACTATTTTACACTAAATTCAAGTCGCAGCATGTTCCTTGGTCCTAATTTTGCAGTGCATTATGATTTTTATTTATATTTTTATATTTAATAAAAACAAAGCTCTAAAATAGCTTCCCAAATTTGACGACTCGTCTAACGACCCTCTTGTCGATATATAAACATATATCTTCGACGATGTAAGTTTCTATATCGACAAAAGGGTCGTCATGACGACAAACAATGACGATATGGTCTTTGACATCGTACGATATCGTCTTGCGTATCGATATTATGTTTTAACTATATATATATAGGTAGGTAGGTATAGTGGTATTAATATCTCATGGCGGTTGACCTTGGGCGCGCAAACGTCACAAATCCGTCAAATCGCGCTATTACTCGCCGTCCTAAAAACATACTACCCCAGGGTTGGCAATGCTAGCATCAGCTGACATTTATTGACATATTTAAACATATTTATAGGCTAGAAATTCTATTATATTTTTTATATCATATTTGTCATATCATATTTGTTATAACTAATATTATATTTGTTATATTTGTTCTATTATTATATTTGTTATACGAAATGAATAACGGCAAAAAAGAAGTCATTCACATCCAAAGGCGGCAGATCGTCTACAACGTTATCCAATATTTGAAACGCGAGTGAAAAGTGAAGTCCAATTCTCTTGAAAGAAAGAATAAAAAAAATTATAGAAGAAAAATGTTGCATATTTTTAAAATATGTAAGCCTTTTGTCGGAAATAAAGCACATTTAGAAGTTTTAGAACTTATTCATAATACGATACAAGAAAAATATTAAATAAAAACCTTTAGGTACATTTTTACAGCAAAATTCGGATTTTACACAGATTCTATTCTTTTTTTTACTGAAATCCATTATATATTTTACAGATCATTGCTCAACATTTGAAGACCTTGCTGCAAAAAGGGGGTAACTTTTACAAAAGTGACTTTTACACCCTTACAACTGTGAACTAGACTATTCTGCATTGTTTAATGCAAATATGACTCAAAAATAACTTTTATGGAGTTAGCTCCTTTTTGCAGCAGGGTCTTTAATTGCAGTCATTATCTAATGTTACAATATATTTCATAAAATAAAGAAAAAAACGCTTTACTATATTAGTTAACAGATGACAGATTTGGGAAGCATCCATAGACATTTAAGTTAACTTAAAGGTCTATGGAAGTGGCCGATGTTTTTAGTTTCCATTTATTTATTAAATTGAATGGCGTCTGTCAGCGTCTCTCAAGGTCACCCGCCATGAGATATTAATACCACTATATATAGTTTTACCATTGATTTAATCAATTTGATTAAGGTAGGTACCCAACCCTATTCCTTTACTCAACGGTTTTACACTAAATTTATGTCGCTTATAGTGCAACGCTGTCATTGCATTGCAAATAAATACTGATATTAAATATAGAAAATAGTAAGAAGACAAAATCATAGAAAAAAGTATTATTTTATTATAGCTGGTGTTGTAGGAAATAAATTTAAATATACCGCTGACGTGATGTCGGTAATGTAGGTATCATTATCAGATAGAAATTAATAACATGGCCACCCTGAACATGGCGAAGCTGAGTTCTTGTGGCTTCGGCTGGTCTATTTGTGTCTGTTTAGAGCTGTGTTTATCTAATCTATGGATGTGGAGCTGTAATTAAAACGTAAGTAGACAGATTGTTTTATTATAGTTCGTATTTGTTCGTATTGTATACCTAAATGATGGACAGGAATTCAACCTAAATGAAGGAGAGGAAACCAACCTAAATGAAGAACAGGAAACCAACATAAATGAAGGACATTATTATAATATTATTAAGGGGGTGATACACACTAAAGTAAGCAAGTTTTTTCTCTATCACTTTTGCAATAAGCTACTGTTTTTGAATAAAAAAAGTATAAAAATTGATGTAATTTTTCGTATGCCACTGCTGTTTTTTGTTTAAGTTTATTTTATTTTTTAAGTTTGTTTTAAAAATGTTATAAATTTATTATTGTAATAACAATTCCTTGCCATTGTGGTTTTTGTTTGTAAATGTCATAAATAAAAAAAGGCTTTTTTAATTGCATATTTTTTATTTAAAATTTTATCACCTCTAGATTTGTTCGCGATATCGTATGTCGATTTGTTTACGATATCGCTTCTCGATTCGTTTACGATATCGCGTGTCGATTCGTTTACGATATCGCGTTTCGATTCGTTTACGATATCGGCGGACATCGTTTGACGATATCGCGTTTCGAATCGTTCGCGATATATCGACAAGCATATCGGTATCGACGTTAGTTGGCGATATCGCGTTTTGACTCGTTCACGATATCGAAATACATATCGACATCAACGTCATTTGACGATATCGTGACGATAAGAATGTAGAATCTAAAAGTGTCGGATTACGAGTCCTCGGAATTCTTATCGTTTTTTGTATCGTTATTGTTTGTAGGGCATGTACACCATGATTCTATTTTAGGAGGTTATTTTTAAACTTTCTATGAAACCATTTTATTGAGCCCTACATTGACTACTAAGTAATTTAAGTTTGCAACAGTGTATTAAGTTACTTAATCCACGTGCTGAAGTTAGCTTTGAGTTAAAATAGGAAAAAAGTAAGGTTAAAACCGATTGACAGTTGTCAGATGTCATATAAAATGTCAGATAAAATTGGCATTAAATTCTAAGAAACATTATTTTTGTGTTCGACGCAGATAAAGTACGGTATGCAAACTTATCAAGAACAGATAGATAACCTCAATTATTTGTATTCGAATGTTAAAGTGCTACGAAAATTTATTATTTTTGTTGCTTAGTTTATTGAAAAAATCTCTTACCGAATCCAAATTAACGGTACTATTATTGTCCAGCTCGTCCTCGCTAACGTCATAAAACTCTAAGTCCGAACTGTCCATGTTACTTGCACTTAAATAGTCATCGTTCGTCGAAGAGGAAATAATCGAATTGGCTTTTCGAGATTTTCGCGACTTAAGCGTTCTGAAAAATACCCAAAATTAACCAAAGTAATGATAACCAACCAAAAACTGATAATGATACTGTTGAAACAAAGAAAAACAGCCATAAAAATGTTAATTCGCTAAAGAAGTATCGGGTTTTCGCAACGCGCGCGCCATCTGGTGGACTTCAAAAGCATTGCGTGAATTTAAGAATTTTCAACAATACATTTAAAGCATACGAACTGTACATCATTTTTAAATAAATAGGTAGTTTTTTCACAAAAGAGAGGAAGGCAGAAGTCTTACTCGACAAATTTTGTTCAATTGCACGATGAGCGTTTTTGGGAGGAGAAACAACCATAGTAAATAAATTAGGTTATAATGTACTATAGACTCACCAAATTATAAAATAATATACAATAAGCTGACAGTGGCCTGTTATCTTAAAATGGTTGTTATCCAATTTAAATAAGGCAACTAAGGCTAACATAGTTGACAGATGTATTTTCTGAGAGTTACAAAAAAAGCAAACTTTAAATCAAAATAAAAAAAATTGTGGCCATTTTTAAAAAAGTTACTTATACACTCACTGGCAATATAATCGATCCACACAAATTTTCGATGAATTTCAATCGCAAATAACTTGTTTATTTGATGTCGGATTTAAACGAATATTAAAGAATATTGTAGATAAATTAATGGACAATCGCTCACATTTAAAAAAATTACCAAAAAATAGACGTAAGTTTATAATATACAGGTTTAAACAAAAAGATGTTTTTTACCATAAGTTTAAGACACTCTGTAGAGTGGCAAAACCGTATATTGTTCTAAATTAAGTTTTATTTATCAAGTCACATCTATTCTTAATAGTTTTGTTTTTGGTTCACCTCGATATATTTATTTTTATGGAAAATATGGATTTTTTAAAAAAACATTGCAATTTACAAAAAACAATTTGATAGCTTTTGAAAGCTATATACAGGGTGTTTCATAATATATGCGCAGGACTTCAGGATGTGATAGCTCATCCAAAAAGATGAAAAAAGTCGCTATTAAGTTACGCTCTAAAATGCACAATTTTCGAGATACAGGGTGTTGAAATTTTAGAAAAAAATTCGTTTTTTTCGAATATCTCCGGAACCGTTTATCGTACAAAAAACAGCTTTTGTAAGCATTTTCTACTCAAAATAAGCTATGTTTTGTGCTGGAAAATTTTTTTTTCCTCCTAATTGGTGGAGATTTTGAAGGAGTAGCGGGTGTTTTTCTCCTCAACTTCTACGCCCCTGAAAAAAAGTACGGTTTTGAGAGGCCAATTCGAACCGACAATGTTTTCTACACAAAAAAGGTACTCTTGGTCATAAGCTCTAAAGTTGACCGTTTTCGAGAAAAATCAACTTTTATGTTTAAAAACATGGTCAATTTTTTGAAAAAAAAATTTTATTACTAATTAAACAAAATTTATTTTAACGTTAGAAAAAGTAACAAAACCAAACGATAATTGCTCTCAAAACCGTACTTTTTTTAGGGGCGTTGATGTTGAGGAGAAAAACACCCGCTACCCCTTCAAAATCTCCACCAATTATGAGTAAAAAAAATTTTTTTCTGGCACAAAACATAGCTTATTATGAGTAGAAAATGCTTACAAAAGCTGTTTTTTGTACGATAAACGGTTCCAGAGATAATCTAAAAAAACGATTTTTTTTCTAAAATTTCAACACCCTGTATCTCGAAAATTGTGCATTTTAGAGGGTAAGTTAATAGCGACCTTTTTCATCTTTTTGGATAAGCTATCACATCCTGAAGTCCTGCGCATATATTATGAAACACCCTGTATATGTCCAAGTATGGGATGATTCAACAAAACTGTCACTGTCATCCTCCATAGGCTATGGATGGACTATAGCAACCTTAGTTTTTCATTGTTATGTTTATTAAGTATTATAAATTGTGGAATGTGAAATTGTAATATTATATATTATTGATATGAATACGTGTAAACTTGCAAGTATATGCAGGTTATTTTCTTATTGTGACATATCTATCCAATGTAAATTGGCAATTACGATGAAATATATCTATCTATCTATCATACAGGAAAAATATTGGAAAGTGCAATGTTTTTTTAAAAAAATCCATATTTTCCACAAAAATAAATATATCAAGGTGAACCAAAAACAAAATTGCTAATTATATACCTATGTGACTTGATAAATAAAACTTAATTTAGAACAATACCTATACGGTTTTGCCACTCTACAGAATGCCTTAAACTTATGGTAAAAAACATCTTTTTGTACCTGTATATTATAAACCTACGTGTATTTTTTAGTAATTTTTAAAATGTGAGCAATTCTCCATTAATGTATCTACAATATTCCTTAATATTTGTTTAAATCCGAAATTAAATAAAAAAGTTATTTGCGATTGAAATTCATCGAAAATTTGTGTGGATCGATTATTTTGTGAGTGTATTAATTAAAAATTTTAATTTTTTTCCACAAACCCATTTGCCTTATTTAAAAAACTTTTTCCTTTAGGATTTCCATCATAGAATAATATTTATAATGTATTTATAAAATAAACATAATAAATACTATTGACCAGAGTAATAATGATATTAGTAAAGAAATGAAAATTAGTATAAAAAACTATATATACCTATACTATAAAAAAAATTAAAAACATACCTTTCCCTCTTCTTATTCATCAAATCTTGCAAATCTTTTTTTACAATCGACAACTCCTTATCCATTCGAGCCATATCTTTGGCCATCTCATATCTCCTTCGTTCTTGTCTGTAATGCTCCACCAAAAACATACCAGCTGCACTAATCACACCCAACATCGCAGCGCCCAGAAAGGCGTTTAAATTATTTGTTATAGGCATTTTAGTTGAAAATTTTAATTTTTAGGTTAGAATCTCTAAAAGCCACTTATTTCATTCTTTATTAAATTAAACTAAACAATTACAACGCAATTTGTTGGTTTTGCTTTTATTATAATGGATTAATTGATGAAATATGGTTTAAAAACCGATTAAACTCGCTGACAACAGTACAACTTAAAAAAACTAGCTACGTCAAAAGTCATAAATAATAAACAAAAATTCAATTTTTACACCGTTAACCGAAAACTTGCCCAGACAAAAATAAATTAACACTTAAATTCTACCTAATTTTAATTTTAAATTAGCCGATAGATTTCTAATAATTATTAAATCATTATTTACAAATTTGACGACACCGTTGCCTTTCTACAATACTTAAACAACAAAACACCCAGCAAATACGTTTAAAATCGATAAACTTTTATTTTGGTAATTCAATTTTGCATACATTAAAATAAGAAACAACTATAAATAAACAATAAAACCTAAATATAAATGTTTAAAATGCAAAGAAGAACACTTGGCAACGGCGCACACATAACCTAACTTACAGAAGAAGAAGATTAACCTAATACTGACATTCTTGAAAAATATTTTAAAATGATTAATTTAAGGAGTTGTACAAGATTGGCGAATAGGATTGTGCAGGAAACGAGAAATGCCAGTACGAAGGTACAAAATAGCGAAATATCGCCGATTTTTACCAACAGAAATCCAAGAAATTTGGAAAAATTAAGAATTGCCTATAAACCCGATGGTTATCATGTTGATGCTCCTGGAAAATGTTATTGGCATAAGTAAATTAGTTTTATAGTACTTTTTACTATATTTTTTTATTTTTTATTGTTTTAGGTTACATTTAACAAAAAGTGAGAGATACGTTTCGGCTTATATTGAACATTTTGAAAATGGGGCTGTTGTTAAAGCCAGTACCTCAGAATGGGCTCTAAAGAAATTTTTATATAGGTATAATGATACTTCTGCTTATATTAATCTAGGAAGGGTAAGTACCGACAATAAAATTGGTAGTCATTTCTGCTCCTGGTATGTCTAGGGCTCCTTAAATATAGTAATTAATTAACATTTATTTATGTAATAGTTTTTTTAAACAATTATATTTTTGAAATTTATTTTATTAGTGCAATTTAAATTTAAAAAATGGCTGTTTAAAATAATATATTATTTATGTAAAAATACGAATTTAAATATTAAAAAACGGTATTTTTTCAATATTGTATTAATATCTTATTCAGAAAATTTTGACCAAAAAATATATCACCTTAAAAATTGTAGGTTCTTGCACAAAGATGTTTGGAATCTGGGCTGGCAGAAATTAGATGTGATATTAAGCCGAGAAACAGTGATGGTAAAGTAGCTTTATTTTTAAAAGCTGTCCAAGATTCGGGAATTAAATTGGAAGAAGCCACACAATATAAACCTGCTAGACCTTGGGATCAATATCGACAAGAAAAACCATGGGAAGTCACAGAATAAATTGAATAGTTTAATAAATAATAGTTTTAAGTTGATTTTGTGTTATTTATACCACATTTTTTAAATTTTACTGACATCAAGTGTGCCTTGAAAAAATCACCATTTGTTGGTTGTTACAAAAAACGACAAATTTTGTTTTGTTGAGGTTTATTTACATTAAATATAACTAAGTTTTGCTAAACAACATTAATTTACAATTTATCCTTCATGTCGTTCCATAATTTCTGAAAAAAAAATGAATTAACTCAGCTAATGTCATATATTTTTGGTTATGTAACTTACTCCCTGGTTGACTTTTTCAAAGACTGTTTCGGAGCCCAAATCCAACGTTCTTTCAAAGAAAAATGCTGATATTCCGCAGGCGAGTGCGAAAGTTGAGGTCCTTTTGAAAATTGTGTTGTAAATTGTGCTGGAAAGAGCCATTTTTGTTGAATTTGTTACTTGTTCGATGATTTAACAAACGTCAAATGCTTTGTGGCTAACTTCGCGCAGTTGGATTTTATGATAGGTCTGTTCGCAGGTCCAACAATAACGACACTAGAGTACCCTGAACCAAGGTGACCAGAATTTAAAAATATCTCATGATAAAAGAAAAATTTTCTTAATGTAACAATGCTGACTGCAAAGTTACGTTATTTTGTGATAAAGTATCATTATGTTAGGTCACAAATATGATATTATCATCTGATAACTGCTACTTATTTCTGCAATGTTGCCATTGTTGATTTTATTATTACATTAATTTTTCACTACTAGATTTTTCACAAAAAGGTTGACCCTAACAGCAAATAATTTGTATTTTTTGTTTTTATATTTCCCTTATTTTTTTAAATTTCAAAAATTGTTGATTTGCTTAGCTGAAAATAATGTATAATTTAATATTTGTAAAACCAAAAACGTTTTTTTTTTATTGATATTATATAATAATTAAAAAGTAATTACTAATAATAAATATTACTGTCAATTTCAGTACTTAATTAAGGTCTTCAGCAGGAGAAAATTAACTGTACTTAAAACCAGGGATATAAAAAGTGGAGGAAAAAGACATGACATAAATTGCAAGTTTATATTTCTTATTATTATTATTATTATTATACAGGTTAAATAAAAAATAATTTAATGATTAGTTTGTTTTTTGGAAAAATGTTACATTTAATAAAAAAAGTAATAATTTATTTACAATTGACTTAAAACTAAATAAAAATCATTGTAATTTCGTTTAAAAAAACTATAATTATAAGATTTGAAATAAAAAACCAATGTTTACATGTCCAAGCGTTTTTCATAAAAATCTTTTCTCATTGAATAATTTTATTCCATAAGTAAATAATAAAATAATCAATGATTATGATTTGAATGTTTTTTTAAATCATTGGCAAGTGTGGTTTTATATTTACAATGTTGGCAATAATAAACTTTGGAAGTGATTAAATTTATATTTGATTCATTCAACAAACTCGAATGTTTACTTAAAATGTGGTGGTCCAAGCTTATTTTCCTGTTACATTGATGTTTACAAAATAAACATTGTAATTCTTTGGTTGTATTGTGAGTTTTTCCATGCTTAATTAAATCATAATTTCTGATGGTTCTGTAGTGGCACTTGTGACATTTAAACCATTTTACATTTTTCAAATTCAAACAAACCTTAACGTGGTTATCATAACGTGATTTAAAAACAGTCGAGTATGAACATTTGGTGCACTGATGTATTTTACTCGTTATTTTTATTTCATTTTCCCCCTTATTTTCTAGCTTATGTTTGCTTATGATGTGCGCATTTAAAGTGGATAATTGAGCTGCTATATATTGACAAAAATGACATTTTAAGTAGGTTTTTTTATCGTGAATTTTTAAATGCTTTTTGAGACTACTTTTGTTTACAGTAACATACTCGCATTCGTTGCATTTCATTTTTTCCAGTTCATGTTTTGGGTGGACATACTTTTTATGTTGAAATAAACTTATTCGGCTTTGATATTTTTTGGAGCAAATGTCACACTTAAACATCTTTTCTTTGTCTATACAATCAAAATTATCATCGTTTCTGGGTTCTGGATTTTTTTCAATTTCTGTAAAAAAAGTTTATTTATTAGGGTGTTTGATTCTACAAAAGTTGGGCAACTTTTGACCTCATTTTGTTTATATAGTTTTCGGAGAAAATTAAACAGTATTTTGTTATGAAAACATAAATAATATAATAAATATACTGTTCCAGACCGGGCCAGTCACTTTTTCAAACAGTTTCTGAAATATCTGTGTTTTCTAAATTTGAATGCAAGGAAAGTGACAAGTATACCAGGGTACTAATTAAATACATAATTTATTGGAAAATATAAGATTTATTGCAACTTTGAGCATATACATTAAATTTCTTATAACTTCCGAACGCGAAGAGATACGAAAGTGCGGTTTGATTTTTTGAAATCAGCGTGCTCGAATTAGTAAGGAAAAATTATTTTTGCAACTTTTTTTTCATGTTTTTCAGAAAAAATTTCATAAGGGGGGACCCTTTTGAAAAAAATATCGCGATTTTCGAGTGTAACTTCCGAACGCGAAGAGATACGAAAGTGCGGTTTGATTTTTTGGAATCAGCGTGCTCGAATTAGTAAGGAAAAAATATTTTTGAAACTTTCTTTTTCATGATTTTCAGAAAATATTTCATAAGGGGGGACCCTTTTGACAAAAATATCGCGATTTTCGAGTGTAACTTCCGAACGCGAAGAGATACGAAAGTGCGGTTTGATTTTTTGAAATCAGCGTGCTCGAATTAGTAAGGAAAAATTATTTTTGCAACTTTTTTTTCATGTTTTTCAGAAAAAATTTCATAAGGGGGGACCCTTTTGAAAAAAATATCGCGATTTTCGAGTGTAACTTCCGAACGCGAAGAGATATGTTTGTTGATATTTTTGATAAAAATGTTTTACACAAAAATTGGATAAATAAACTGACACCAAAAAACTCAAAACTTGGCCATAAATAATGGAGATAAAAAGGTATATGTAAAAAAACATCGATAATTTGAAAACTAAAAAATGTTCATTTGGAAAAGTCTTTATGAGATCTATAACTTTTATAACATTGTACATTTTGAGTAGAAGAAATAATTAAATTTACTATTTTTAGTATAATTATAAAAAAATTCTTATTAAATTGTTTATATTACTGTTCTTTTACATTCACAATAAAATAGTACTAAGTATCTAAAACATTAAAAAAAAACACTTACCTTTTCCTGCATTTGGACTGACTATTTTTGCCAGTGTTTCTTTATTTACAACTTCACTGTCTGTCCTACAAAAACATTTAATTTTACATTTCCATACAAGGATAATTTTTTTATAAAATATAATTTCATTTAAATAGGTTTATCATAAACTGTTTATGTTTAAAAAAAGTTTAAAAATTACATTTATTTGTTTGTGTTTATAAAAATTATTATGAGTATCTACTACTAAAAAAACCTTTGAAACACGTGAATTGCTTTTACTAATTTATTACAAAGTATAACTCACCCTGATTCATTATATTGAATCCCATGATATTCCACCTCGATTTTTGTATCGGGCATGGCTTCATCCTCATCTTTTTCTTCACTGTCTTTATTGAGGAATAGTGAGAAATGTTTGTCATATTCTTCAGAAAAGTCACTATGCATTCCTTCTTCCTTAACATTGCAAGGTAAATCTTCACTTTTGTCTCCATCATCAGAATTGTCACTACCTTCATCACTATCATTGATTTTAGATCCAAAATTATGAGCAGGTATGTTTAAATATCTTTGTGGCAAAGTTATGATGTATCTGCAGAAAATTAGCAAAGGATATTAGTATATTAATAAATAAATAATAAATGACGACAATGCCTACCTTTCATCATCCTCCAATTCTTCTTTTATTGCTATCCCAGAGGTTGAAGGCATTTCTTGGTCAGCAGAGGTACTTGGTTTATCATAATTCATCAAAATGTCACCATTAAATTCGTCGTCTACCTCTTTTTTAACAACTACATGCTCCATTGTGTTTGAAAACTTCTACGTATATTTAACAATCACAGAATAGTTGTATTAACTCTTGAAAACTTTGGAAAGTTGTGAAAAACAATACAAAATCTTTATAAACCCTTAAACAACGGTTTAACACAAAATATTGCATGATATGAATATTATTCAGATTCCAATATTCTCGAAGAACTATTTTGATTTTTGACAGAAAATTCCCTAACATAACAAGCAGTGTTGCCAACTATTTGAAGTAGCTATGCACAGTGGTAATGTTATGGCTATTTTGTTATGGTACCCTGTTACAACCTTTTAAAAGATGTTGAAGAACGGTAAATGTCTAAAACCAGACCAAATTTCAAAATTTGCCTGTACACAAAAAGCTATATATACATATATTATTTATTAAATTATAAAAAATTGGTAAATGCAACTAAATTATATCGTAAAAATTTTTTTTGTTTGCTCAAAATAGATTTTGGGCGTAACACCCAGACTTTTTTTTGCCAGCATAAGGGCCCCTACCAGATTTTTGATACGGGGCCCCTTCGAGGCTAGCTACGCCACTGCAGTGGTAAATAGTAAATATATATTAAATTGAAATCATTGTTGGTTAAGCAGTATGGCTATTTTACTAGTTAAGACAGTGAAATAATTGACGCACATTTCAAAATATAATTATTTTGTTTTACAAGGTAAGAAATTTTAGTTTTGCTTTAAGCTTGCTTTCGACGTTTAATTTTCTTAGTACCTAGATACGAGATTCATAATTGTAAAATCCTGAAGTTCAAGCTTTAAATTTTAAAATTTAAAAGTCATTTTTTGGAATTAAAATTCTACTTTTAATTGAACGTCTTAAATTTCGATTGTATAAAAAATAGAAATAGATTAAAATCCAAATGAAAGAAAGATGCAAAAAATGGGAATGCTTATCGCTGAAAGCCGTATGAAAAACTCTTTTATACTAGGGCGAGTATAGTAAAAAACTTTGAAAAACTCTTTTCGACTAGGGCGGCAAATTTTCACTTGCACCCGGGCGTCAAATGTGTATGAGCCGGCCCTGCCCCAAGGAGTCCAGCTGCAGGTGCTTTACGTCGAGGCTCTGGTACATCCCCTGCGCGCCCTGCGTGTTCCCGATCGCGTGGTCGATCCTGAGCGCCAGCAGCTTGCCGTGGAAGTTGCAGCGCCACCAGTAGGTGGCGAAGAGATACGAAAGTGCGGTTTGATTTTTTGGAATCAGCGTGCTCGGATTGGTTAGGAAAAAATATTTTTGCAACTTTTTTTTTCATGATTTTCAGAAAATATTTCATAAGGGGGGACCCTTTTGACAAAAATATCGCAATTTTCGAGTGTAACTTCCGAACGCGAAGAGATACGAAAGTGCGGTTTGATTTTTTGGAATCAGCGTGCTCGAATTAGTAAGGAAAAAATATTTTTGCAACTTTTTTTTTCATGATTTTCAGAAAATATTTCATAAGGGGGGACCCTTTTGACAAAAATATCGCAATTTTCGAGTGTAACTTCCGAACGCGAAGAGATACGAAAGTGCGGTTTGATTTTTTGGAATCAGCGTGCTCGAATTAGTAAGGAAAAAATATTTTTGCAACTTTTTTTTTCATGATTTTCAGAAAATATTTCATAAGGGGGGACCCTTTTGACAAAAATATCGCAATTTTCGAGTGTAACTTCCGAACGCGAAGAGATACGAAAGTGCGGTTTGATTTTTTGGAATCAGCGTGCTCGAATTAGTAAGGAAAAAATATTTTTGCAACTTTTTTTTTCATGATTTTCAGAAAATATTTCATAAAAATATCGGGATTTTCGAGTGTAACTTCCGAACGCGAAGAGATACGAAAGTGCGGTTTGATTTTTTGGAATCAGCGTGCTCGAATTAGTAAGGAAAAAATATTTTTGCAACTTTTTTTTTCATGATTTTCAGAAAATATTTCATAAGGGGGGACCCTTTTGACATAAATATCGCGATTTTCGAGTGTAACTTCCGAACGCGAAGAGATACGAAAGTGCGGTTTGATTTTTTGGAATCAGCGTGCTCGAATTAGTAAGGAAAAAATATTTTTGCAACTATTTTTTCATGATTTTCAGAAAATATTTCATAAGGGGGGACCCTTTTGACAAAAATATCGCAATTTTCGAGTGTAACTTCCGAACGCGAAGAGATACGAAAGTGCGGTTTGATTTTTTGGAATCAGCGTGCTCGAATTAGTTAGGAAAAAATATTTTTGCAACTTTTTTTTTCATGATTTTCAGAAAATATTTCATAAGGGGGGACCCTTTTGACAAAAATATCGCGATTTTCGAGTGTAACTTCCGAACGCGAAGAGATACGAAAGTGCGGTTTGATTTTTTGGAATCAGCGTGCTCGAATTAGTAAGGGAAAAATATTTTTGCAACTTTTTTTTTTATGATTTTCAGAAAATATTTCATAAGGGGGGACCCTTTTGACAAAAATATCGCGATTTTCGAGTGTAACTTCCGAACGCGAAGAGATACGAAAGTGCGGTTTGATTTTTTGGAATCAGCGTGCTCGAATTAGTAAGGAAAAAATATTTTTGCAACTTTTTTTTTCATGATTTTCAGAAAATATTTCATAAGGGGGGACCCTTTTGACAAAAATATCGCGATTTTCGAGTGTAACTTCCGAACGCGAAGAGATACGAAAGTGCGGTTTGATTTTTTGGAATCAGCGTGCTCGAATTAGTAAGGAAAAAATATTTTTGCAACTTTTTTTTTCATGATTTTCAGAAAATATTTCATAAGGGGGAACCCTTTTGACATAAATATCGCGATTTTCGAGTGTAACTTCCGAACGCGAAGAGATACGAAAGTGCGGTTTGATTTTTTGGAATCAGCGTGCTCGAATTAGTAAGGAAAAAATATTTTTGCAACTTTTTTTTTCATGATTTTCAGAAAATATTTCATAAAAATATCGGGATTTTCGAGTGTAACTTCCGAACGCGAAGAGATACGAAAGTGCGGTTTGATTTTTTGGAATCAGCGTGCTCGAATTAGTAAGGAAAAAATATTTTTGCAACTTTTTTTTTCATGATTTTCAGAAAATATTTCATAAGGGGGGACCCTTTTGACATAAATATCGCGATTTTCGAGTGTAACTTCCGAACGCGAAGAGATACGAAAGTGCGGTTTGATTTTTTGGAATCAGCGTGCTCGAATTAGTAAGGAAAAAATATTTTTGCAACTTTTTTTTTCATGATTTTCAGAAAATATTTCATAAGGGGGGACCCTTTTGACAAAAATATCGCGATTTTCGAGTGTAACTTCCGAACGCGAAGAGATACGAAAGTGCGGTTTGATTTTTTGGAATCAGCGTGCTCGAATTAGTAATATTTTTGCAACTTTTTTTTTCATGATTTTCAGAAAATATTTCATAAGGGGGGACCCTTTTGACAAAAATATCGCGATTTTCGAGTGTAACTTCCGAACGCGAAGAGATACGAAAGTGCGGTTTGATTTTTTGGAATCAGCGTGCTCGAATTAGTAAGGAAAAAATATTTTTGCAACTTTTTTTTTCATGATTTTCAGAAAATATTTCATAAGGGGGGACCCTTTTGACAAAAATATCGCGATTTTCGAGTGTAACTTCCGAACGCGAAGAGATACGAAAGTGCGGTTTGATTTTTTGGAATCAGCGTGCTCGAATTAGTAAGGGAAAAATATTTTTGCAACTTTTTTTTTCATGATTTTCAGAAAATATTTCATAAGGGGGGACCCTTTTGACAAAAATATCGCGATTTTCGAGTGTAACTTCCGAACGCGAAGAGATACGAAAGTGCGGTTTGATTTTTTGGAATCAGCGTGCTCGAATTAGTAAGGGAAAAATATTTTTGCAACTTTTTTTTTCATGATTTTCAGAAAATATTTCATAAGGGGGGACCCTTTTGACAAAAATATCGCGATTTTCGGGTGTAACTTCCGAACGCGAAGAGATACGAAAGTGCGGTTTGATTTTTTGGAATCAGCGTGCTCGAATTAGTAAGGGAAAAATATTTTTGCAACTTTTTTTTTCATGATTTTCAGAAAATATTTCATAAGGGGGGACCCTTTTGACAAAAATATCGCAATTTTCGAGTGTAACTTCCGAACGCGAAGAGATACGAAAGTGCGGTTTGATTTTTTGGAATCAGCGTGCTCGAATTAGTTAGGAAAAAATATTTTTGCAACTTTTTTTTTCATGATTTTCAGAAAATATTTCATAAGGGGGGACCCTTTTGACAAAAATATCGCGATTTTCGAGTGTAACTTCCGAACGCGAAGAGATACGAAAGTGCGGTTTGATTTTTTGGAATCAGCGTGCTCGAATTAGTAAGGAAAAAATATTTTTGCAACTTTTTTTTATGATTTTCAGAAAATATTTCATAAGGGGGGACCCTTTTGACAAAAATATCGCGATTTTCGAGTGTAACTTCCGAACGCGAAGAGATACGAAAGTGCGGTTTGATTTTTTGGAATCAGCGTGCTCGAATTAGTAAGGGAAAAATATTTTTGCAACTTTTTTTTTCATGATTTTCAGAAAATATTTCATAAGGGGGGACCCTTTTGACAAAAATATCGCGATTTTCGAGTGTAACTTCCGAACGCGAAGAGATACGAAAGTGCGGTTTGATTTTTTGGAATCAGCGTGCTCGAATTAGTTGGGAAAAAATATTTTTGCAACTTTTTTTTTCATGATTTTCAGAAAATATTTCATAAGGGGGGACCCTTTTGACAAAAATATCGCGATTTTCGAGTGTAACTTCCGAACGCGAAGAGATACGAAAGTGCGGTTTGATTTTTTGTAATCAGCGTGCTCGAATTAGTTAGGGAAAAATATTTTTGCAACTTTTTTTTTCATGATTTTCAGAAAATATTTCATAAGGGGGGACCCTTTTGACAAAAATATCGCGATTTTCGAGTGTAACTTAGTAAGTAATCAGCGTGCTCGAATTAGTTAGGAAAAAATATTTTTGCAACTTTTTTTTTCATGATTTTCAGAAAATATTTCATAAGGGGGGACCCTTTTGACAAAAATATCGCGATTTTCGAGTGTAACTTCCGAACGCGAAGAGATACGAAAGTGCGGTTTGATTTTTTGGAATCAGCGTGCTCGAATTAGTAAGGGAAAAATATTTTTGCAACTTTTTTTTTCATAAGGGGGGACCCTTTTGACAAAAATATCGCGA